AAAAAAAAAGTGTGCTATAAGCAGTAATCACAGTTTAAAATATTAAAGAGAATAAAGAGAATTAGCAAAGAATAATATATTTTATGTTACAATCAACAACCATATTTGAACATCTAGTTACCATAGCGACCTAAACACAGATATATAACTACACTGATTTAAGATCACTAGACGTGCCACATACTGGAAGTGCTTCCATAACATTCCCTCTCCTTTTTCAAGCCAAACTCATTATATAGCTTTATTAGCATTGGCTTGTAAACAGGCTTCGTAAGAATATCAGCAAGCTGTTTTTCAGTTGATACTTCTTCTATAGTGACTTCTATTTCACATACACAGTGTCTTACATAGAAGTGTATCGGCTTTATATGTTTTGCTTTATGGTGTAGTTCATATGATGGATTATGTACTAATTTGATTGTAGAGTCAATGCGTAGAGTAGGCATATTAAGATTCATTTTTAATTTTAAATAGTCATTTGCATTGTAATCCTTTTCTGTTCTTTAGCAAATCTGTCATTTTCAATGTCTCATTCTCATATAATGAATTTATTTCTTTATTCATTGCCTCAATCCACTTATCCTTTTCAGGACTGTTTAAGACTTTTTGGTATAAAGATGACTCAGAAACAGATATAGCCTTATTAATAACTTCCTCAAAATTGAATCTCTCAGGAGGTTTAATCTGGCTACGATCACGAAGCTGTCGCCCCATCGTTGCCTCTATTTCATTTTCATCCCTTTCATTATCTTCTTTTAACGATTCAATATTTTCATCCCTACCATTTGTCTCTATATATGAATTTAAATGAGAATCATCATCAGTTCCACAATTTGCAGAAGGTATTGGTAGTACATATGTTGTATTTCCTACTGGCTCTACATTAGGTTTTTCTGGAGGTTTGTCAATCATGCGTTTTTCTAGTAAAGATTTCTCATCAAATACTACATCACGTGATCTCATCAATTTCAGATTTTTCACATCGTAAACGCGATATCCTTCATCTCCATCATACCCAATAAGTATTCCTTTCTCGGCTTTACTCTCTAACTTTCTCAATCTTTTCTGTTTTGGGATATGTACATAGCAATTGCATCCTATAATTCTGAGATGATTTATTTTTGGCTTTTTATTATACCATAGCTCATGCGGTGACTTTCCATCTACTGGAGTTGGTCCCGTTCTATTGAGTATATAGACTGCAGCTTTAGATATTTCAGCCCATAAACCTTTTGGTATCTCATTATGAGCATGCATAAGTGCTCTTGACATCTCCACAATTGTACGATTCTCTCTTTCAGCAGAACCATTTTGTTCAGGAGTATATGGCATTGTCAACATTTGCTTTATTCCAAATTCTTTCAAAGTATTACGTACCTGTTCGTTATCAAATTCTCCTCCATTATCGCTCAACAACCCTTGAATAACGTGTCCAGAAGTATAAACTTCAGCTAGAAATTCCTTCAAGCGAGCGTGTACTTCTGACTTGTATTTCAAAAAGTAGATCCAACGATATTTTGAGTATTGATCTTTAAACAGAACATAAAATTTTGAAATTGAATAAGAAAATGGTCCACAAACGTCTGTGACAATTAGCTCTCCAGGTTTGGTAGCTTTAGGTCTTTCTCCGAACTTCTTTCTGTGGCTCTTGCCGAAGATACAGCCTTCACAAATGTCAGCAGAACTGGAATCTAGCCTTATTCCAAGCTCTTTTTGTATTAATTTAGCTACATGACGACAATTTTGGTGCTCTAAACGTTCATGATACAGCTGAAGATTCTGTAGCGTCGATAACTGGTTTGCTTCATTTTTAGGCATTAATAGTTTTACATTTAATTTATATAAACTACCATGCTCCTCACGATTTCCAACTAAAATCACTTTACCATTATTCTTCATACAACATGATCGAGCAGTTGATTGAAAAAGACTATTTTTAAGCACATCTTGCGCAGCTAGTACAGAGAACAAGTTTCGTTGTATACTTGGTACATACCATACATTAGTCAATGTTATCAACTGTTTTTGTCCATTTATATTAGCTTCAAGTTGGATAGAACCTTTGCCAATGGCTTCAATTCCGTCCCCGTTAGCAGTCGTAATTGTATGAGGATCATGAAAGTACTCGAAAGACTGAAATACATCTCTCCTATTAGTTACGTGACTTGTCGCGCCGTTATCTACGTACCATGATTCTTTATGAAGATTTTTATCATTGCAAGCTAGAGCTAGACCTGTCGACATTACTGCATTCGTAGATTGCTTTTGAGGTTTTGGAGGTCTACCATCCGCAATCCACTTTTTACATGACCTGACTTTGTGAAACCCTTCTCCACAATAGTTGCATTTGAACTTTTTCTTCTTACTTTGCTTCTCATTACGTTTCTCACCTCGTACCATAAGAAGTTCATTGCTACTTTCACCTTCATCTATATTTTTCTTTAAAGACTTTTCATATGCGCACAGCTGAGTAGTCAAGTTCTCTATCGTATGATCATTCACTGACATCAAGGCCCAACTAGATTTGAAATTGAAGTACTCCTCAGGAAGTGAATCCATAATTTTACATATCAACAACATCTCTGGTAGTTCGGTTTTGCCCTGTTTCATTAAGATCAGATTTACTTCATGCCATAAATTCTTTGCTGTAGTCAAGTGTGTCCCCATATCGTGAGTAGGATCAAGCTTGTATCCAAAGAATTGCATGCAGACATCATAAAAGCGATCTTGTGATACTCTTTCATAAAGCCGGTTCAGTTCATCCCAAGCTTCTTTAGCTGTAGTAAAACGCATAACTTTGGCGAGCATTTTCTCTGTCATATTGGTGGTGAGTAGTAAAAATGCAGTGCTATTGATTCGCTCATAAGTATCGTACTCTGCTTTATAAGTCGATATAGCTCCCGGTGTGGCAGTGGTACTTGGATGTGTTGGCTTTGTGAGTGTCCCTTGAACCGCTTCCAAGGCTCCGGCGTGTGTTCTCAACAGCATTAACACTTGAAATTTCCAAGTGGTCCAGTTAGTTCCGTCGAACGGTCGAATGTCGAGTTTTACATTTGTAGACATGTTTACACTCTCTCCGAACCTTTGTTCTTTACAAACTATCTATTTACCGAGGTCGCGAACGCTCTGCTACCATATTAAAGAGAATAAAGAGAAATAGAGAAGAATAATATATTTTATGTTACAATCAACAACCATATTTGAACATCTAGTTACCATAGCGACCTAAACACAGATATATAACTACACTGATTTAAGATCACTAGACGTGCCACATACTGGAAGTGCTTCCATAACATAAAACTTGTACCTACAACAAATAATCTTGAAGTTTGAAAACCGTATTATATAAGAACTATAATTGTATAATCTTCCAATCTAAATGTACTGTTACACCTTCAGCATAAGCAAATCATATGGAAGTTTTGCATATAAATTTCATATATGTAGCAAACGTAAAACCAAATTATTTTATAGCATATGTTTGGACACTTATTATTGTAATAAAATTTTTACTAAGAAAAAAAGACTTAAGCTACTGTGCTGTTTCTAGGAAATATGTAGTAACTGGTTTGCTTTCAGATAACCTGAGTACATTTATGAGTACATATACATTTAGAGTACATATATATTTAGCATGACTCCATCATTTGTGTCAGATCAGATCAGAAGTCCTAGGTAACTAGGAATAAACAAGATGCTTAAGAAAATTAATGTAAGTACATGTGATTCAACCAATAAATTAATTATTATTCACCGGTCTTAAAGGCATGTATCAATGACTCATAGCCATACTGAATCAAAATCTAAGCACCTATATCTGTTTATTTATACTACCTAAATTATATCCCATATTAGTTTTTAAAATATAGAATTTTCAATAATACATGCTATCTGTTACATTCATACAATTCTATAGAATATTGTTCTCTATATCAATATTTAAGTATCTTAGGATTATCAGGAAGCTAAGTTACGAAGGTTTTATTGCAAAAATATACCACTGTTAACCATCGAATTACAATTTTTTACTACAAATACCCTTATATAATTTATATGTTACGAAGGTGGGTGAAATTTCAGGTTGATATTTTAATAAAACACGTCATTGCAATCAGAACAAGCCAAACAGGTTATGATAACAGAAAAAAAAACTTACCTAAATCGTCCATGGCAAGATTTAAAAGCTTTTTCTCCTCGAATTATTAATGTCACCTTATAAAACTCAAGATTAATTTTCTAGAAAATTACACAAACAATTTGAAAATCGAATAAACCGCTAATTATATTACAAGTAACAACAAAATAAATATTAACCCCAATCTGAATTATAGAAGGGTACAAAATAATGAAGGAACTGTCAACGTTCTGTTGTCAGCTGTCAACTGTCACCATCTCATTGAAATTTAAGGACCAAAGCTGTAAAATAGATTAAGAATAGTAAGTACTTATAAAATAGTACATTACACTGCCACACCTGTACCTACCTACTTATATAAAAAATATGCACACGATTATAGGTATTTTTTTGTGGTACAACATAGTCCATTCTTGATAAACGTAGATGAATTCTTAAATGTCATTCAAAACACGTGCAAAAGTTTTTAATTTCTGAACTTTACTCTTGTTCATATTGATCATTTCCTCACTTATTTTTTAATCTTCGTCTTGATAAGTTACCAATGTAATAATTCCAAATTTTAGGGAAAAAATAATTGGATTTTTAGGACACAAGTAATTTGGACCATAATTAAGATTAATATTAATTATTAGGAATAATACGCTTTTTGTTAGTTCTTTAATATGTTACAAGTATCTAGAAATAAGCATAATATCTGGTATGGGCTTAACTCCTTAGAAAAGAAATATCGTATCGCATCCCAGAGATAATGACTACCCTTACTTTATATTATTACTGTCTATTGTTCTTATGTACCTAAATAATTTTAATGAGTATAGTAGCAAATTACGATTGGGTAAATATTTGTAATTTATGGCAACAAAATCGTGGCTGTCAAGTGTCATTGTCGTAACCCCGTTTACTGTGTTTTCTTGTGTAAATTTTACGCCCATATTCATATTCTTCTAATCTGCTATAATAGAAAAAAATCAGAAGATGACTAGTTCAGGTGAACAGTTAACATTAGCAAGAGATATCAAACGGGCTATTGAGCTACTGGAAAAATTACAGCAAAGTGGCGAGGTACCTGCTACGAAACTGGCAGCGCTGCAAAAAGTATTACAAAGTGACTTTCTGAATGCAGTGAGAGAGGTTTATGAACATGTATACGAGACTGTCGATATACAGGGCTCCGCTGACATTCGGGCGTCAGCTACTGCCAAAGCGACAGTGGCTGCTTTTGCTGCGGCTGAAGGTCACGCTCATCCTAGAGTCGTAGAGCTGCCAAAGACAGAGGAAGGTCTAGGCTTTAATGTGATGGGAGGCAAAGAACAAAATTCACCCATCTATATATCTAGAATTATTCCTGGAGGTGTGGCTGATCGTCATGGTGGATTAAAGAGAGGAGACCAGCTGCTTTCTGTTAATGGAGTGTCAGTGGAAGGAGAGAATCACGAAAAAGCAGTGGAGTTATTAAAGCAAGCTGTGGGATCAGTAAAGCTTGTAGTTCGGTACACTCCTAAGGTTCTAGAAGAGATGGAAATGAGATTTGACAAGCAGCGCACAGGACGGCGACGCCAAAACTACAACTAAGATTTTGTATGTTCCATACAGTCAAACTGTGTTCAGTTCATGAATGATATTTTATGAGAATGTTATGTTTAAAGTGCCTGGCTGAGAGTTGTAGTGAAATATTTTGATTTGTTCCATGTTTTTGGGAAATGACCTAATTATTGATATTTTATCTTGAATTTTATGTGGGAATTACACATTTGACAAAACATGCCAAGAGGTCACAACTACAAATCAGTATGTTACTTAATCTTAATACCCACATATATCCTTGAGGCTTGTGATAAATGCCAAATGTGTAAATCTAGCATAAAACTTAACAGTCAACATTATATAGGTAATGTTGTATATTATAAAGATTAATTATGATCAAAGATTAATTATGTTGAACATTTATCATGATATTTATTAAAAGAATAAACACCAAAGTCATAATGACAGTTTGTTATTATTATGCTATAACTGCATAATTGAATAGTGGTTGGTAATGTAGTTGCATTGCTGCAGTACTGTACACCTTGCAAATAGTTGTACAAATCTATATATATCAATATGTAACCTCCAGTTATCTAAAAATAAGATTTTTGTCGGTACGAATAGACCTTTGTATTATATCTTGAGAAAAGTGGAGGTTAAAAGACCTTAATTTCATATATGAAACTGACAACCATGAAAAACACAAGAAGATATATGGTTCTACATCTTACTAGTACACCATTATTATTATTATACTAGCAACTTGTAGTAAGCAAAAAACAGCCTTGTGCATTATTCATCATATTGTTCAAACCTTTGGTGGTGGTTGCTATTTTCCATCAGGTGAGCCATCACCTTATTAAAACTGTCAACATGCAGTTACAATTTTCATATTAAATATAAGTTCTAAATTTTAAAGATAAATATAACAATTCTATAAGCATGTATTATACCTGTTGAATAAATGTAATATCCTTTTCATGGTGACAGCTTGAAGGACATGCATACTTACTATTAAGCTACAATATATAAAATGTATGTTTTAAGTACGTATATGATGTGTGAGTGAATGCACTTTGGCTCTAAAACTAGTCTTCTAGACAAATGTGTAATCATAGAAAAAATAGATTCCACAATTTTATTTTTGGCATCATATCAGCCTTTAACTGTCTACAGTTGAACTCCTTGGAGGGTTTTAGTAATAGTTGCCACACTTGGTAGGAGGAATGGCAACCGCAGTTTGGCTTTAGAGATATTTTAAGAGGGATGCTGTTGCCCATTCCTCGCCCTCCCTTAATTGCCTCTTACAACACACACGGCAAAGGGGTGACCTATTCTATGCAGGGACCATACAGCACAACTTATATGAAAACTACTAAATGACTATGATAACAAATTATTTGCTTGTTTTACAAATATGGCCTGTGATGTAACAGATTCTCTAAGTTTTTACCAGGAACTATTAAAATTTAGTCAAAGTCAATTAGACTATATATCACTCGATATGAAATTTGTGGCATCTATTTGTGTGTATCAAAGGGTCTTTTCCAGTTAGAAAGTATGTTAGTAAAAATTGGCATCACTTAATTTTAAAAGTCAGTAGCTATACCTGATTGCACACAGGAATTTCTGTAACATTTAATTTGCAGATTGGCATTTAGTACTTCAGGGTTCTAAGGGTTACATTGGCTTTACTTAATATGTTTTTTTTTTTATTTTGCTATCACAGATTAGTTATGATTGTTATACTATTTTGGTATTTATTTCTTAATAAATAAAGTTTGAATTCAAGTAATGAAGGAGAGCTGATGTTAATATAATTAGGTGTTCAACTACAAAAAGATAACAGTTTAGATAGCTACTTGTATTTTATGCACTTCTATTTTATAGAGCTCATAATATTCACTTCTATAGGAATAATTAATGAAGGAGATCTCTTTTAAAACTTTAATAATATGATTAGAAATGTACCTTATTCACATTCGATATTTATTTGTAATGCAATATGTCAGTATTCTAGATTAAAAAATAAAATAAATTATATGGTATATACATGTTTATTATTATTTACAACAATTATCGAGATACATACACTACCAAGAGTCAAAACTTCCAAATTTATAATTGGAATCTTTTTTAGGTTTCTTGGCTGGTACTTCTTCTATTTTTTTACTGCTTGTTGACATTTCTTGTAAATTTAAATACTTTCCAACGCCATCCCTGAATACTTTGAGAGGCTGTTTAGTTGCTTTCTTAGGTTTTATGCCAGGCCCATCTGCTTCAGCCTGTCTTTTCAATTCTTCTGCTCTTTCTTTAGCCAGCTGTAAAATAAACAATCATTTACATAGCTGTATTTAAAAATACTTCATCCTTACTAATATTATTATGTGAAAGTGAGGTTGTTTGTTACCTCTTATTACTTTAATGGCATGGGACAGAGAAGAACATAGGTTACTTCTTATCCCTGTCAGTGAATATATCTCAGTTACAGGAACGAAGTTGTAAGTAAAAGCTAACAATTATTGTTACAGTACCTATAAAAATAAAAAAATATCTTGTACTTAATAACTTTAAAGGAGTAACTATGGAGTTTCTTGCCGGTTCTTCTCAACAGATAACAACATTCCAGACAGCAAAAGAATTATAAAGATATGTCTATTTGAATAAAAATTATTTCTATTCTAATTCCATACATTATCTATGTATTATGTGTAAAAAGATTGTATCTAATGCTTAGAAAAATTTCAGTATTTTATTTCTTTTTAATAATATGGATCATGTATTTTTTGTCTATGTTATATGTGAACCAATTTCGAGTTGGTCCTATGTCACTTTGATCTTAGCTAAAAGGCCGAGAAGCGATAAAGTTATTCCTATGTCAGGTCTATACTACTCATAATTTATCAAAATTAAAATCAGCGCGAATATTTTATAATTGTAGAATTTTCATTTTTCTTTACTGTAATAGATAGTCATTTACCTGCTCCTCTGCTTCACTGAATGGGTCCACAAATACTTGTGCTACTTCAATAATAATGTCGTGAATCGGTCTGTCCTTATTATCCACCCCTATTTGCTCTATAACATTCAATGTGTCCACTCCCCCAACCATTTTGCCAAATATAGTATGTTTGCCATCCAGCTGTTTGCAGGAACGAAATGTTATAAAGCTGAAAACAGAGTTTTACAAACTTTTAAAATAAAGTCACAAAGAATTATCTTATGTAAGAAGTATCTTATGAGTGTATTAAATATATTCTCACTCTGTTACCACTTTTCATTCTTAGAGTATTGTAAGAAACCACTATAGGTAGAACTCTTGTACTGTGTTGTTACATTACACCAGTGTAAAAAATGAAAATCCTTACTTATAATATGCAATATAATATATGTGAAATGAATTTGTTTGTTACCTCTTAGCATCTCAATGGTTTAACCAATCTCTATTAAAAGCTTATGTATACATATAATATGGGATGGAAAAGGGCATAGATGACTTTATCCTGGTCAGGCAGACAACATCGTGGGTGAAAGCTATGCATTACCCAGCAGTGTTTTTTTAATAGATTATAATGGAATGGTAACCCTGCTGGCGTTAACGATATATGCTGCTGGCAAGACACCAGTGAGGGATGATAGATGAGAATGAAAAAGACCCGTCACAATGGGCTACCTGACCTGACTTGGGTTGACTGACTGACTTGGGATTCAGAACGATGGTTTCCAGGGGGAGGATAAGGGGGAGGTCAACCTTGTTAGATATATTGCTAGCAATAACGCCCTTAATCTCCAATACTAACAATCCCTTCCCCCCCCCCCCCCACACTGGGTTGTTAAGGCAGCATTTTCTCAAAATAAATCTAATGATTCAATGAAATCCATGTTGCAATGATGCACTGCCGACTAAAGCCAGTCTGCATTTTTAAAGAATATACTTACAACTGAGACCCATTCGTGTTAGGCCCAGAATTGGCCATTGATAGTACTCCGCGGCCAGTGTGATGTAGATTTGGTCTGAATTCATCCTCAAATGGTTTTTTCCAGATTGATTCGCCTCCTACTCCTGTGCCAGTAGGGTCGCCACCTTGTATCTGAAATATAATATTGATGTTGAAAAAACTATAAGAAATCTAAATACGAGAGAATATAATTATAAAGATAAAAAACCACATTTTGAGTGCAAAACAAAAAAAAAGGGAAATGATGATAGGCATTCTTATGCGTATCATGAGTAAGCGATCAGTGAAAGAGAAAAGTATACTGAGCCAATCTTATATAATGAGCGAAAAGTGAGACAATAAAAATAATTTTCAATGTAAATCGAGAAATGAGAAAATATTGTTTTGAAAAATGTATGTCTCACTGAAGTCTGACACAACAAATACTGTTTAATAATTACCATGAAATTCCTTATCAATCTGTGGAACTTTGTGCCATTATAGTATCCATTATGGCAGTGCTTTATAAAATTGTCACACGCTTTTGGAGTGACGTCACAATAGAGCTCAAAGTTTAGTGGACCCATATTCGTCACAAGCCTTACATATCCTGCAATAACAAAAAAACTTTCGACATTTTTTTTTATACCACAGAGGTGGCAAACAAGCAAACAGCCCGTCTGACGGTAAATAGTCCCTATAGCCATTGCCCATTGTGTGTAAACCAATAAAAATAAAAAGGCACAAACGCCTCATGGCTGGAATTCAAATTGACCATAGAATGATGATTTTAATTGACGTAGATTCTTCATTAACGGAAACTGTTGTTTTATATATTTTACTTTCTGTCTTTTTTTTACTTTTTGTTGCTTTTTTTTCATTATTTTATCTCTTTTACTGTGTATTATGTGTATGTATTGTATTGTAATTTGTGTGCTGTAAGTAATGCAAATAAATTATTTCTCTATCTAACAGGGCATACATCTTCTGCTAATATGCATGCACTCTACTTATGGTTACATAAACAATAAAATGATAAAACGTCAAAGAAAAAGATGCGTTATAACTTTGATCAGACCAGTTATATTTACAATTAGTCTACAAGACTGAGCAAACGTGTTGTTTGCAATTAACAACAAGAGAGAGTATGCTCTACCACGAGAGCATTTAATAACTTTATTTAGGCCCTATCACTTAAAATCTATATGTTATATCATTGAAACCTTATTGAGATGTAATAATAATAATTAGTAAGAGCATTTCTTCAATGCACCTACAACTGTGCGACTGGTTGAATGACAGTGGAACGTGTCATACCTTTTTTCTTAACTCTCTGATATTTGACCTCGTCTTCACAAATTATTGCAGCCTCGTGGACCGTCTCTGGAACCATAGCAGTGGAAGTAAAGCTGGCAGCAACCATTCCGGTAGAGTAATGTGCAGCATTGAACTGGTCTGCTACCTATGCAACAATATAACATAAATGATGATAATATAAGCCATTAACAGTCAACTGCTGAAAATAGGACAAATAATTCTTTAAAAACATATCAACGAGTATGATTCCATTAACAAATATTCCATTTCTTGTGCCTAAAATGTGGTGGGTGGGGAAAATTTTAAACTTCTATAAAATATATTTTGTCTTGACTTATATTTAATCATAAAATGTGATTTAAAATGGAAGATTAAAAGAGTTTGCAAATAAGTCTATTTAAAAAAGATTATTTCAATTCTATTCTACCTTAGACAAGACAAAAAAGTAATATAAAGTCATGAACTCAAAATCCTCATTATTTTACATATTTACTTGATTTATAGACTATTATTTTGATGAAAAATATACGCCATGATTATTTATAAAATAATGCTAATTAAGAAAAACAAGAATTGTAAAATAAATCTTTCTGAACTTCAATAATTTTGAAAACAAAAAAAAAATTCACTTAGATTGACATACATACTTTAGTATAGATACTGCAACTGCAATCATTTCTTGGGGTTGAAAAAAAAAAAACAAAATATATTTGTTATTTTGTTTTTATTAACCCATATATATATTAGCATATTCGTTTTTAGTGTGGGAGAGTATAGCAAAGCTATTAATCAATAAATAGTAGCTTTAGTAATATAGACACAAAGTAAATATTTCAGTAGTGGCAAGCTTAACTTTCAAATAAAATTACTTGTGTATTCTTATTATGTTATATATCTTTGGGTTTATTTAATATTGCATACCTCTTTTTTATTTTCCTGTTTTTCTGGTGCTTTGTACTCTTTCTCCAGTTCTCTCAAGATGTCTTTAGTTTCAGCCGATACTGTTTTCAATCTGGCATGAGGATCTTTTTTCATTGCAATTTCCTCTGTAAAAAATAGAAATTATATTAATAAACTGCCATGTGGCTCTGTTTTATATTTATGCATAATTAATGTGTATAATAAAGTATTAAATAAATAAACCATAAGGGTATTCTGTAAAATCTATAGGCAGTGCATTTTACTTCAGCTGAATCACTTGTTATTTATTGTTGTTGTTAATATTTTAATATAAATTGTATAAAAAATTATAGATTTCATTATCATACCTTCGGTTTCAACTCTCAAATTATTCTTGACATGATGAAACTTGGAAATATTGAATTTGTCCAAATTATTTGGGTCCTGTATTGTGATGATATCACTTCTGGCAAATGAAACATCAGTAATAAGGTCCTTCCAATTCTTTCCTTTGACATTAAGTTGCTCAACAGCTTCATAAGAAAATACATTGCCAGTTGTACGAATTGCAACAATATGAGAGTTTTTGGTGAAGGGTTTAAATAAAACGGGACAATGGTAATCATCTTGTGCATTCTTGAAGAAGTTTAATTTGATCAATGATTTTATGTCAAATTTCTGGAACAAAGTAAAGGTTTTAAATAAATTAAAAAACATAAAAATTATCTGTCATCAGATATGATTATAAAAACAATGCCCATCTAAAATACATATAACAATTTACTAACAAATCAATACTAGATCAAACCACTGAAACAATATTGTATAAACATATTCCTCTCTAATTAAGATGTGTTTTGTTTTTACTTACACTTTACATTTAATAAGCTATAATTTTTTTTTTTATACTGTAAAAACTGCAAACAAGTATACAGTCATTGTAGCCTACAGATGCCTGTAACACTAGTATTATCATCAGCTTTTAACTCTTCACTGCTGAACATAAGCCTCCCCCTATGGGGGTTTTATCAGTAGTTGCCATACTTGATGGGCATATTGGAATCCGCAGTTAGGCTTTGAATATGTTTTTCGAGGAACACTGCTGCCCATCTCTCACCCTCCCTTAGTCACCTCTTATGACATCCACATTAAAAAAGGGTAAAAATACATTGTAGGGAGTCAGTGGATGCAGGTGTCTCAGGATCATTCTTTATGAATCTAAAGGGGAGGCCAGTGTTCAGCAGTGGACAGATAATGGCAGATATGATGATGACTACATTCATCCAATTCTATTACTAATATTGTTGAACTATTCATGTGCGCAACAATGTTCAAAGGTTTTGAAATCTACAGATATTCATGAACTTTGGATGCAAAATGTACATTGGTAACATTATTGTAAAAAAAAATTGTAGACCTATTGTTAATCACTCACTTTACCCGTCACAGGATTCACTTTAAATTTCTTCACAAATTCAATAATAGCTTGCAGTTCGAAAATGTTTCCGTCAGCATCACAGTAGGGATCGTCGAACGGCTGCAGGCACAAGCAACAATGATCAAATGGAAGCCGCTTGAAAGTCGTATCTTCTTCTACGGAGGTGCCAGATCTTTTACCTCCATACAGAGTAGTCCATTCCGTGTACGTTATGTACCTAAAATATGTGAAAAGCACAGTTTCGTGATTACGTTTACTAACATAAATATTTATTTATATATGAACAATAACAAATAACTGAGTCATACATTTTATCCTTTTGGTGCTGTCTTTTACCCATTTTCTCTTGCTTTGATTAGATATAGTTGGAAAAAAATTGAAAACAGTAAAATTCGAAGACTGTTATTATTATAAACTAACACGCTTATTCTTTCACTTTAAAAATAATCTTCTTTAATTTATTCTATATTATTGAATATATCTCAAACAAAATTCAAAAAGTAACATTGAATACTTAAAAGAAATAAATAATAGAGATCAATTAAAGAATTAATTGACATTTAGTGACTGTGTCAGAATAAAATTTTTTTTTTTTTAGTACGTTTGTTCCGTTTGGAACAGGCTAAGGTCGGAGACCATGCTGCCTAGTCTTCAAAAAGATAATTTGTCTGGAATTTTATTTTTCTAATGTCGCTTCAATTATTGTCATAATCTTCAATATTTCATTTGTCAAATCCGGTAAGTACATTTTCATAAATATCTTTTCTTGAGTTTTCTTAAACCAGTGGATTTATCAAATTAAAAATAAATAATTATAAAAAATCATTGTCTTGCAATTCAATAAAAGTATTCTTATAGCTCCTTGAATGTTGTAGTAATATAAGTGAAAATAGCTTTGAAACAAGAAGGAAATCTTAAGAGAAGCGGGATTGAGTGCGGGATATTTTCGGGTTTTTTGAAGATAATCCTAAGTTCGTCAAACATAATGTGTCTTTGAATGACAAATTCAGAGCAATCAAAAAAAAAAAGGTGATGTAGAGATTGGGCTGTATTTGAGTTACACCATGTGCATGATGGGGAAGCGATCATGCCCATTCGGTGCAGGTGTTCGTTGAAATGTCCGTGGCCGATTCGTAATCTACAAATATTGGTGTAAAATTTTCTGTTTGTGTCCTTTCCTTTGCAGAACCACGGTTTTCCAATACGCCAATTAATTTTGCGGTACCATTTGCCTTTAGTCTGTAATATTTGAGTCCAATGCTCCTCCCATTTAGTTGTAACGATTTTATGTATTCCAATACTACAATCTGAGTAACAAAGGGGTAAATCTTGAACACGAGCAGCACTTGAATTAATAATTTTAGCCAAAGTGTCTACTTGTTCATTCCCAAACACTCCAATATGTGAAGGGGTCCAGATGAAGATAATATCTTTTCCATATATAGTACAGAGATGATAATATTTATTACGAATTTCTTGAATTAAGTAGTTTGATGATGAAATGAATGTGTTATTTTTTAATGCCATAAGAACACTCATACTATCTGTAATTATAATCCATTTCGAATATAGTACCTGTTTTTCTATGTATTCTAATGCTAAAAATATAGCTTTTGCTTCTGCTGTGTAAATACTAGCCAAAGTTGAAATTTTATAACCGTGACCAAATCTATTTGACAAATCGTAAAAAGCCACTGAAGTGCTAAGTGCATTTTTGGAACCATCTGTATATATCTGCCTGTAGTCAATAAATTCTGATAAAGTCTCATACATATCGTGCTTTTCTTTTATGTCTTTACGTATAACAATTTTGATCTTACAGAACTTACTCTCATAAAGGCCATTATAACAAGGAAGTATCTTACTACTATAGATGTTATATTCATCTCGTAAATTCAAATCATTGACAATAGTTTTATTCAAAAACATAGAAATGGGGCAATTTAATAATTTGAGTATGAGTGGGTTATTGGAAACTGAAAAAACTTTGAAGAGAAATTTGAGTTTTAGGTATTCGAAACGAAGAAGGATAGGAGGCAAATTACATTCTACTTGCATTGAGATAATTGGAGAAGTATACATAGCACCTAAAATAAGTCTTAAATTCATATTTTGAATTTTTTCGAGTTTTTCTACTAATTTATGTTCTGAGGCATAACAAAAGAAAGCGTAATCAAAATTACTTCTAACAAGAGATTTGTAAAGTAAAAGGATAATTTTAGGATCAGCTCCCCAGTTACGACCAATTACAGATCTTATTATATTAGTGGCTCTTAAAGCACGATCTACTAAGCAATCAACGTATAGATCCCATTTTAAATTTTGATGAAAAATTACCCCCAGAAATTTAACGCTACAGTCTGTTGGAAGAGTTTGATTATTATATATAATATTCATTAATGGAACATATTTATGAACTTGATGAAAAACAACTACTTTACTTTTGGTTAAACTAATATCGAGGGAAAGAAGAGAAAAATATTTCTCAAGTCTTTTTAATGACTCATTTAACACTAATTGCATATCAATAATATTCTTTCCTTTTATATAAATTAATAAATCATCGGCAAATTGCAAGTTGTTCACACTGTTTCCTAAAATTGAATTAAGTTTATAGATATATAAAATATATAGTAGCGGGCTTAGAATACCACCTTGACATACTCCTTTAGAGCTTAACCTAGGTCCTATTAATTTACTATTTACTTTAACATACACTTCTCTATTACTAAGAAAATTATAAATCCATTCGATAAGTTTCATTGGAAGAAATGAGGATAAAATCGAAGATAGAACTGTTAAATTTACATTGTTAAAAGCTCCTACGACATCTAAAAAAACAGATAGAACATATTCATCGTTATTCAAAGCAGTACTAAGGTCGACATAGAAGTTCGCTAAACTTTCGCGCGCTGAATATCCACGGCGAAAACCAAATTGATTCGATGGTAATATACTATTACTTTCAATAAAGAACTCTAAACGCTGTTTAATTAATTGTTCGAATAATTTGCCTGCACAGGACGTCAATGTTATAGGTCTATAGGAGTCGAAATTTGTAGGATCTTTACCGGGTTTAATTACTGGAATCAAACAATCCATTTTCCATTCTGGTGGGATAATACAGTCCTTCCATAAATCGTTAAAAATTTGTAAGAGTTTAGTAAGGTTTATTTTATTCAGCAATCGAAACATATTGTATGTTAAGCGATCAAGGCCACTAGCTGTATCTTTTCTAGATTTTACTGCACTGGATATTTCATCAATTGAGAATGGGTCAGTGAGAAATTTTGGGCATGAATTAACAGAATTAAACTGTTTGTCATCAAAAGATGAGTGTACAAAATCAGGAGTATATTTGCGTAAAAAATCATTGACCCATGATATATCTTTAAAATGATTTTGACGATGTTTTGAATTTAGTTTTCTCATATTTTGCCAAACAGTGGAAATTGGTGTTAATCTATTAAATTTGGAACAAAATTCCTGCCACCCCTGTTGTCTTACTTGCTTAATTACTAACTTTTTAACAGCTTGAACTCTTTTAAAATTTATGTAATTATCGAGAGTTGGATTTTGTTTAAACCTAAGGTAAGCCGCTTTACTATCATTGACAGCTGTCGCACACCTGTTATTCCACCAAGGTACTGCAATATGTTTGTGCCTCTTTGAAGTATTTGCACCGCTATTTGATAAGTTCCTACGTGGAACGGAACGTTCCACAGCTGTCAAAATAATTTTACAGAACCTATTGTAATTGTTTAAGGGTTCATTGACATCATACTCGAAATCCAAAAGTAATTGATTAACAGTTTCAGAATAAAGATCCCAATTAACGAGACGTAGGTTTATACGATTTAACAAAAGTTTATTAACTTCATCTATAGGAGCATGTTGTTCACCTGACGGAGTTGATGAAGAGTTCTTTGTGTTTATTTTAGTAAAAGTCGGCAGGTGATAACTTCCTAACGGATCATCATGAACCGACCACTCGCATTTTAATGATATGGATGGGGATACCATAGTTAAATCAAGGCCATTGGGTCTCCAAATATGAGAGCCAACAGTAGTAACTTGCTTATCATTTAATAGTACCAAATTACATTCATCTAAACAATCAAGAATGTCTTTACCTCTTGTATTAGTGGAGGTACAACCCCACATAGTATGATGTGCATTTAAATCTCCAGATATAATAGTGGGTTTAGGAAGAGACTCCAAAAAGAACTTAAATTTGGCTTTAGTAAAACTAGGTGTACTATTGGTAGGACAGTAAATACTGGCAACTGAATACCAAGAATTATTAACTTCAATACTAATAGCTATAGTTTGCAAAGAATTGTCGAAAAAAGAGTGAAGTTTTTTATATCTAATACTATTATGTATAATAATCGCTACTCCATTGTGGTTATTACCACAATCATTTCGTTCTATACAATAATCTTTAATTTTTAATTTGTAATGTGGTTTTAGCCAAGTTTCTGAGATGAGAGCAATGTGAATATGATGTTCATTTAAAAATTGTGTAAAAATAAGTCGATTGCTCAGTAGGCTCTGAGTGTTCCACTGTATAATAGTTAATTGGTCTCGATTGAATTTTGTGAAATAGGTGTATTACCAAAAGTATCATATAACACATTCAAAACACTTTTAGTGTTAATAGATGTGTTCTTTGTGTTATGTAGTGAAATAAGTTTGATTATGCTTTCTATTAAAAGTGATAAACTCTTGTTATCAGAATTTAGAATTGAAATTAGGTCTACATTTTTTTTAGGTTTGTTACCCAGTTTAGGAAATATTTCAGTGCTAAGTATATCTCCAAAAGAAGCAGGTCTGAATTTAGATCTATTTTCAGCAATTTTCTTTTGTTTAACAGGGCATTGCGGTGATACACTTGTGTGATTTCCATTGCAGTGTACACAAATAGCGTTTTCCATTCCAGTTGTACAAGTTTTATAATTATGCTCACCTTTGCAGATGCTGCAACGCTCAGAATTCTTACAGAATTTAGCTAAATGTCCATACCTCAAGCACCGGTAGCATTGTTTAACTGGTGGTATATATGGAGTGACATTGTGGCGCCAACCTCCAATATCCAGATATTCAGGTAATACAGATGCAGCAAAAGTAATTGTCACGGTTAGAGTTGGCTGTAACACATATCCATGAGTCAAGGTATTTTTTCTTAAAATTCTTTTAATAGCAATAATTTTCTTAGAACTCGATATCATAGTATATATTTTTTTATTAGATATATTTGTAGGTACATTTCTAATAACGCCTGTAACTTCTGTTGAAGAAGCAGGAATACTGGCCTTAAAATGGTAGTCATTTAAAAAAGTTTTATTATTTAAAAAAGCATTGGCTAAGTCTGGCTTTTGAAAGTATACTCCGATTTTGAATTTATTTATAGATCTAAGATAAGTTACCCCTTTATTAAATCGTTTTAAACAGGAGGAGAGTGAGAGCAAGTCTCTGGATCCAATGGTTTTCTGACTATCTGAGGATTCTACAAAGACAACAAATTCTGTCCCAGGGGATTCCTCGGGATATCTTCTAATATAATCTGTGACGTAGTAAGGTTTATACTTATCGGCCTTATCAATTTCAGATTCTGAGTCAGTAGAAGTATCTTCCGAATATATATCCTTGTCATTACAAGGTTCATGGTCTACATCACCTGAATCGTCATCTTTTTTTTCCTTTTTCTACAACTGCGCTTCCCCATGAATGCTAATTATATTACTGTCGCTGAATTTAGTGAAAATATAATATTTTATTCAATAATAAGAATTGATAGAGATAGTTTTAATAAATTAATAAAAAAAAATTTAAAAAACCCGCTTGTTCTTATTCGAGTTTCCCGCCTTTTTTCTCAGAATAAATGTGAATCACAGGGAAAAACAAAGCTTTCTGCCACAGAGCAAGTAATGTGTTATTTAAGAATAAGGAATTACATAGAAGGAATGATAAAAACTGTAAATTATATGATTACTTCCTTTCTTCTTACGCAAATATAATTAGTAAAAAGAAGACGAAAGATATATCATCATTTGCTATTTTTGTAAATTCATAGTAGGCTAGTATATGAAAATGTTATGTGGCCATATACCCCTACCAAATTCAGATACAACCTGCATGCATACTTTCTACATAAATTATATCGAATATATAATCTAGTAATGTAAAATTTGTCATTGACAATTAATCGACATTATTAAACATTTCTATACTAGTTTATAGCCTGCTATGAATTGAAAAATATAGCACTTCATGGTGTATCATTCGTGTATATGGATCACTTAAAACTGCTAGCTCCTAGCGTTGAACGCCTCACAGAGCTGTTAAATATCGTAAACGATTATAGCAGTTTTGTTAGAATGGAGCTCGGAATAGAAAGACGAGGGTATGCATAAAGAGGTCATAGAATGTGAAAAAGGATTCACCTCTTTTTCTCTAGCTAAAGAAGACTGGCAAAAATTCGAAGTCTAAGGTATATCTCAGCGTATGGAAAGAGAAGAAGTTGTAAGGAAGATTTTTCAAAGCTCTTCACGGGCCGTACCCGTATCTCTTCGAAGAAACCAAGAATTTTTTCTGTGCTATACAGGTCCAGATGGTTAAGACGAACAATTACCAAAAACATATTCTGAAGGATAGCACTGAAGACATCTGTCGGGCATGTCGCCATCCCGGGGAGTCACTCAGGCTTTCGGGTTGGTCAGCTCTTGCTAACACTGAATACTTGCACAGACACAACCAGGTAGCCAAAATACTCCATCAAGAATTAGCTCTCAAGTACGGCCTCGCAAATGAGAAGTTGCTGTACTATAAGTACGAGCCGCAGCCAGCTTTCAAAGCGGCAACGTCAGGCTCTGTTGGGACCGATCCATTATCACGGACAAGACAGTTCCTGCTAACAAACCTGATATTGTGGCGATGGATCGGGCACTCTCAAGGGTGTTTTTGGTGGATGTCACCATATCGTATGACGAGAATCTTGTGAAAGCCGAAACCAAGAAGAAGAGAAGATTTGAATTGAAATTGATTCACTAAGTGACCGAGATGTAGGGGGTTACATCCACCAAATCATCCCAATCGTTCTGTCGGTAAATGGGCTTATCCCAACCAGTCTGGAACAACACCTCAGACGGTTGTGGTTCCGAGGTGACTCACTCTCGGGAAAGATGCAGAAGTGCTCTTAGATACTGCCCTGAAAACCCGGCCGACTATACTTCTATCGAGGGTTAGTTTGCCATCTTCTCTTCTTAAGAGGGGAGATGGGAATTAAAATAATAATAATAACTTTATTGTATAATCATAACTGTAACAAACTCAGCACTGAATATTACAGTAAAAATAAGTACAACTTCATTTGTATATTTTGATCACCTTATACATCTGTGTCTGAACTAGATTATAAAACCTGTATCTTAGACAGTGATACAATAACAACAAAACAGAAATTGGAACAGAAATCATCGGAATTTGAAAGAAAAATACAGAAATTAATAACTGAAAAAAAAAGATGTTAACATAAATGAAAACGATTGCAATGATAATGTTGAAAGTCAGATCAATATGGAAAATAATAACGAAATTGAAGATAAAATAATAATATTTTAAATGAAAATACACCAGGAATAAATGAAAATAATGAAAATTAACCAGAGGTGAATAATGAGAATAGAAAAAGATGAATTCACAATGGGTTAACTGACCTATTTAAATTTAAAGGCCGGCAGCACACCTGCAATGCCCCTGTTGTTGTGGGTGTTCATGGGCGGCGGTAGTCACTTACCATCAAGTGAGCCGCATGCTCGTTTGCCCCCTGTGTTGTAAAAAAAAAACCTATCTTTTCACTCTTTCCTATCATCCCTCTTTGGTACAACGCAGGAGGGAGTACTATTCATTATTATCGATTAAAAAAACTTTATTAGGAATATTTAGATCTTAGATGAAAACGTGTAAATAGCGCTTAAAAGAATCCGTCTGTACATTGCAATTGAAATGGCAACATTAAAGGCAACTTTTTTTTTTATTAAAAAAAAAGTTGAAAAATGTCCGAAAGTGGTTGTGTACAATTTCGTGAATTTCTTCTTTTCTAGAAATTTAAATATAGTTTCATATTAATTTAAACTTTCAATACAATTACATTTTGACATAGTTCTCCTTATAGATAAATTTATTAAAATAATTTATTCTATATTTTCATTTCCAACGTGTGTGCATTCTTTTAAAATCAGTAGGTGGTTGTTTGTGTGTTGGTGAGGGTGATGGACAAATGTATGAAATGTGCTAGTAGAAGTGGCTTGAAACATTGAAATTCGCCGGTATACTGCAAAATAGCAAGTCAAACATTTAATAAGGTATATTTTATCCCTAAAACTTAATATCAGACGGTTTTTATATTTTTACCATGGAAAAGTAACAGGCTACCTATTTGCGCTTTCCAGTGCGGATGCGGAGCACGTAATGAGAAGTTTGAGTTGATAACTTAGCTCAATATTTGTACATAATCTGGACGAATTTATTTATATTCTATCTATCGCGTGTTTGGAGAAGTCTATTTCTTGAATTGGGTCACTGGTGTAGCGAAAAATTGTAAATTATCGGATAACGCCAGCCCACAAGATGGCCGACTGTTATTCGTAAGGTACAAATAAATCTTTTTCCATTACTTTTCTCAATGTTACATTGATATAACTTCATTATCACGTACTCTTAGAATTAAACAATAGTTGCTTCATTTACTTTTGCCGATTAGTGTCCTGAATTAAGCGTCAATCAAAGTCTTTGTTCCTAAATTCTTCGTTTCTCAAATAAAAAAAAAATGCAGTTCACCTTTTGTACTTTTGATGTTGTTTGCATTGTTCATAATATTTTTTATAAGGTGTATTTCAAGCTGTAGATTCTGCAAATGTGCTGTCTCTTTAATACATTGTGAATTAAAACTTTGCGTAATTATTTTCACGTGCAAACGTTAATGTGCATCTTTTCTTTCAATATAGTGTTTCAGCATGTGCATACATTGTTTTTTGGCTTATTATTAAAATAATGTTTTCATTTTTGTTGTATCATCCTTTTTGTTGACGTTAATATAATTTGCCATTTAGTTTAGCAGAGTGAGTCCTTTATTACTTTTAGATAATGTCCGGTGCATCTGGTTCATCAGGAAGTGGCACGGGACGCGGCCGAGGCGGTGCGGGCTCGAGTGGAGCTATATCTGATAATAAACCAGACTCAAAAGAGAACAAACCCAATCCCAAAATGTCTAAGGCACTCGGCACATCGGCTAAGAGAATTCAAAAGGAACTAGCAGAAATCACTCTAGATCCACCACCCAATTGCAGTGCAGGTCCCAAAGGGGATAATCTGTATGAATGGGTGTCCACTATACTGGGACCACCCGGTTCAGTATATGAAGGTGGCGTATTCTTTCTCGACATCCATTTCTCACCAGAGTATCCGTTTAAGCCTCCTAAGGTACGTAATTATTTAATTGTATATACTATTACAACATCATTAACACTTAAACTACTACACTACTATTAAAGAAATAATTTTCATATTTATTGTAGGTTCATTGTTTTCACCTTCACCTTTCATATTCATTATTCTCATTGTCTAATAGTTCATACAATTATTTTATGCAGTTATATCCTTTACTTTAATCCTTAATTACTGATGTAACAAACAACACACATTATAAAAGTGTGTGTTGTTTGTTATCCTTTGGTGCCCTAATAATTTTATAAATTTTTTATGGGTTTTGGAATGGAGTAGGACATAGGCTGCTTGTGTTTAGGTTCATCATTTTATCCCTATAAAAAAATTCTTGGTTATTCTGTTTGAGCTTACTACTCTAATACAGTTAATTATTTGATATAGTAATAAATTATGTATTTGTGAATATATGTATATTGTTTATGTTTATATTAGTCTATATGTTAAGGCTTAGTTTGTTTCCTTAATTCTTCAATGCACCACTATTGCATATATGCACTATTGTTTTCTGTTTGTCCCATCATTGACTGGTAGATAACATCATCTGGTGTTAAGTCCACCAAATATACTATAAATTTAATGTATTCACACTATGCATTAAGGTTTAAAAAATAATATAAAATAGTGAAATGGCATGTGTTCTTATACCAACATTGACCAACAACACTACAAAATCTAACTTGTTGTGTACCTTTTAAATAAATGCTACATTTTTATTCTAGTTTAGGTTTACTGAATAGGGAAATAGAAATATTTTTTTAATTTAGCATTTTAAAGAAAATGACAAGTATAAAAAAGTGGACATTAAATAAAATTTCCAAGAACATAAATGATTTATTTTAATCATGATTTATCAAGTTTATTTTAACTTTTTACATAAAATTGAAAAGTTAAATAAATAAAATAAAATGTTTAATCATTTTAATCAAGAATTTTTCTTCTTTTTTTTTTTGCTTGTTTTTTATAATCACTTTCAATGATGTCGGAGTTTCCAGCGGTAGTCTGCTAACATTGTTATATTCTACCGGTACTGGTATCTCTTTTCCATTGTCAATATGTCGTGGTATCATTCACTATTCTCACCACTTATATAATCACAGTTAGTAGAAACCAATTATGATGAGACAGAAGGAAACAAGTTTTTAGGGACAAATTGCATCCCAGCAGTTAATACTTTTGTAGGAGATTGTTTTTGCTTCAATATAATTTTTGCTTCTCCTTTTATCCAGAAAACCATGACCAACTACTTAAATACTCCAGGCCTCTTTTCTTAGCTCTGTAAAACAGAATTAAAGTTTTCAGAATTTCTTTAACTTGAGGGCTTGAAATTTACCTGGCACCTATTTTTTTAAGCTGACCCACCTGTTTAAACATTTAAGCATTGACAAAATTTTTCAATAGTCCCAATTTAAAATGTAAAGATAATAGAATTTTTTGGGAGTTTGCTAGAAGAAGATGACATTATTTCTCTAGAATACAAATTGGTCTTAGATCTTTCTTTATGTAATGTAAAGATCTATCCCAACTACCCCACATTTGTTTTAACACATATGCAGCAAAAATTGTCTATTCTATGCTGGGACCACTGGGTATTTTGTACCCGTACCTTTATCCATGTACACATACAATTCATGTTAATTATATACTAGTTAACATCAATTGTGTACTCATTGATAAATGTTCCTTGAAACTATATAAAAAAAAAATGATTTACAGAATTTCTTTATTTCTGTTCATATACAGAATTACATACAATTTTAAATTTGTAATATTTCTCTATTAATAATAACTTCAGTTATAAGTAACTGAAATGAGTATCTTTATAAGCAACAGTTTATAGCATAGTCTACACACATATTATTTTTTTAATAAATAAATGAATTAAAATTAATGCAGAGAGTATTTATTCATTAATTAATTTTGTTAATAGACACACTATTGTTAATACAGCTTTTGATAGAGTTTGTACTTAAAGGTTTTTTAATTTATGTTTTGATGTTTCAGGTGACATTCCGAACTAGGATATACCATTGTAATATCAACAGCCAGGGAGTGATATGTCTAGATATTCTCAAAGATAATTGGTCCCCGGCATTGACTATATCTAAGGTCCTATTATCCATATGTTCATTGCTAACTGACTGTAATCCAGGTAAGCCTCATTTAGTTTGTTCCTTTTTTAATTCAGTCTCCATAGATAAAGTAAATATAAAAAACTATAATATTAATATTGATTTTATTTCTAGATAAGAAAAAGTATATGTATGTATTTCTACTTGAGATATTTTTTAGATATGTAAGGGGATTAGGGCTTTTATGGATTTGATTAACAGAATTAATAGTGATATAGCTCACACAATATCCTACAGGGGGTTTTTTAATTGATGAAAATGGAATGGTAACCCCGCCTGTGCGATTGGTATATGCAGGCGGGGCATTAGTGAAAGATGGTAAGTGACGATGAAAGCAGTTTTGCTAGTTCATCGTGCCGAATTTCACGAAAATGAATCACGATGGTTTCTAGAGGGAAATGAGTGGAGTTTGACATAATATGGAGAGTATGATAATGGAATGGTAACCCCGCCTACACTAACAGTATATGCAGTACACATATATAACAGTATATTATATTTAATTATCCTATTGTGATGAATATACTTGGAATTCAGCACGATGGTTTCCAGGGGGACCACCTGGTTGGGTATATTGCTAGCAATAGGGCCCTTAGTTTCCATTACTAACAATCCCTTTCCCCAGGGATATATATAGGGAATATACCCTATATTGCTAGCATTGGAACTATTAGCTATAATTCTTCCCCTCCAATAGAGTCCCATTACTAAACATTCCATGTTACTATTACTGAATGGGCTGAAAACCAGCACTGTGCAGCTGTACACATTCCACTGGGACACTCGCAGCATCAGCTGAGCCAGTTCCTTTTGCCTAGTATGATACACTTCTTATATATGTAATATTTTTGTATTTTCTTTTGTAATTGTGTTTTTCCAGCAAAAAATGTTTTCTATCCTTTCTATTCTATTACAATCTCATGTCGCAATAAATTTCATTCATTCATTCACTCTTTTGATAGTTTAATTATTATAGTGCTGTATTGGGGGAGAGGGTTGTTAGTAAAAAGGACTATTGTAGTCAATTCCTATTGAATTCTTCATAATGTGCTAACTTCCTTCAATGGAACCTCGCCTACATAAACCAAAGGCATAAGTGGGATTACCATCCTATTTTTATCTAAAATAATATTGTATTAAAGAAAAAAAAAAACAGACTTCAACGGACAAAAATTTTCATTTTGATAGAGTAATAAGGTAACAAACATATAAAAAAAGAATACAAACTATTTTAAAACCTTTTAAAATTTGTTTGAAAAATATTGTTATTTATATAGGCTGTTATTGGTAATTTCAAATGGTGCAAAAAATCTACATTTCTTCATGTTTTTCATAATCCTTGCTCTTGACTTGTTACTAACTTATGCTTCCTTTTGGTTTGCAGCGGATCCGCTAGTGGGCAGTATTGCAACACAATACATGCAGAATAGAGAGGAGCACGATCGCATCGCGCGCCTGTGGACCAAGCGTTATGCGACATGATTGCACTACCCCCCATTTCCGCAGCGGAACAACTTAAAAGTATCATACTCAATACCATTCTGTTCTAAATCCATCCTGTTCACGTAAATGTAAGCTTATAATGTTATCAAAATATCCAATCATTAATATGCACCATTTGCGCCATATTCTTTGAGTCAACAAATATTTTATATCCAAATTTGTCTGAAAAAGGTATTGAAAAATTTAACTTCACACAACTCGGTTCTATACATCGATCTGGGAACTGACTGTCCGCTAACTGACGACTTTCATTTTTGTTGATAGTTCAAATTTTTCAATATGCTACATCATGAACCCAAATATGCAGAGGATATACAATTTATTTTAAAATGAACACAAATTGTATGTGAATATGCCGCAAATAGTGCACGTTGTTTATAACGGCTTATTAATATTTAGTTGCGATTAATGTGATGTCAACATGCTTGGGAAGGTCTGATGTGTATAACTTTAAGGGACATAATGATTTTATTTGTTATGAATGATTGCCTGTTAATTTTATAGCTGTTTCAAATGCAGCGACAATCCCATTGTAGTTCAAAAGTGAATTTGGTAATGACTAGTCATGGTTCTTGTTCCATTCTGCTAGTAATTGTAAGATAATACTTTTGGATATGTATACTAGAATTATTACTGAATTTATTTTTGTTTAATGGGTCGTGACTTTACTAATGATTTATGAATTGTAGATTTAAACAATGAAAATTGAGTCAATTTTGCCGCAGAAACGCGATGATCTCAAACACTTGCAACTAATTGTAAAAAAGGTTACGTATCGATCGTGAATAGAGATCTACTTATTAATTTAATAATAAATTGCATTATCTATACATTACGTTTTTGATTTTAGGAACTGGATTAAAATTGACTTTCCTTTGTTAGAAAAATTATTATGGGTTTATTTTAGCATTTTCCATGCCATTATAACTTTTAAGGATACCATATTTGTGTCTATCATAGATATTTATTATAATTGTCTATGACATATATTTACCACACATGGTAATGTTGCTAGTGTATTGGGTGCCTTGCCTCTATGCAGCATGCAATGAAATATATTAATTTGTAAATTATATTAATATCAACAATAACAAATTATAATTTACAATTGATATCAATTTCTACATAAATTCAAAACATCTATTTAATGTTATTTTTTACAAAATACATAAAGGGTAAAGTGAGTCAGTTTGTTAACTCTTTCTTTCTTTTTTCTTTTCTTTTGCTGTAAACTGCCAACAGGGTTGAAAGATGAAAATTTTAGATTTTTATCCAAACGTGAAATTCTTCAAATCAATATGATTTCTAGAACTTTTCCCCTGAATGATGAAAAACAAAGGTTATTTTTTGTGGTTTTAATTTGTTTCGGTTATATAATGTAAGAAAGACTGTTTTCCGCACTTAGCCTCTCATTTGGGCCGTTGTGCGTTTCGGTTATATATCTTCAGTCATATATTGTACTGTAGTTACAGTTACTGTATAGAGATATATTAGATATATATTTCTCTATAGAGTTTACAAGTTACATATGATATTTACATATTACTCAAAATTTCCAAAAAAAATTTTCACTTTTCTTCAATAAAGTTAGAGAATTTATTTAAAAAACAATACCCAATCTGGCAAGCTTCCTATCAGTGCATAGTATGTCTTTCAATATTTCCCAATAATCTTATTTGACTACATGAGTAAGGTGCTCTCTTCATATCCCATAAGGGACCTTAGTCAGTCCCATTTTTTATAATTTTAATACCGAAATATAAGTTTAAAGACTAGTAATGATTAAATGTTTTAATCTAATATCTGAAGAAAAAACATATTTACACATATTTTTTTTTATTTAATAACTATAACAGTTTTAAATGTATCATTTAAATCAATATGAATTAGTAATTGATTTTTAGAAAGTAACTTGTATAAATTATTTTAGAATAACAAAATTGTAGGTACATATAATTTTATTTTCTTACGACGTACATTTTATTCTTCATTCAACATGCAATGCTGTTCCCTTACCTAAGCCTTATTGTATGAAAAAAATTGTAGATTTTCTACTTTTTGTCCATTTAATTTAAGACTTAGATAGTCAAATTATTTGAATCTTTAGTTTTGCCATTGAAACTTTTGTTCGCATATAAGTGCAATTAATATTGAGATTTTTAAAGATTCGACGCAATCTAGAACACTATTTTAAAAATTAAATTGTACCTACATAATAAGGTCGAGGATAAAAAACCTATTTATTTTTTATAGTAAAGGGCTTGTGGATATGTTACTAAGATGTGATCATGCTAGGTATCGATGTGAATCGTTCCAATAAACTCGTAATAATCATATACCGTCAAGTGATTTGACAATACTGTGTGAGGCCGTTCAATGTTCCGAAAGATTGTTTACAAAACTGACATATCAATTGCATCTAAAATCGTCGGCGATGGAATTGTAATATGCAAAGATGGTGAATAAGTAATGCAACTGCAACCACTATTTACGCCGTGAACACGTGCCAAATGTACCGGGCACACTTGGCCTCTGCTCCAATCTAACGTTATTCGATCTTTTTCTATATTCCGTTTAGATTGTAAACAGTTATTAGATATAAGTTATTTTATTGTCTAGGTATTGTATAATGTATGTCTTAACCTTAGTAATAAATAGTATTAGCATTGTAATGATTTTAGCGAAAAGTGTATGTCGCGCGTATATGAATGTTTTGGTGATATCGCAACGGCGATGTTGATTATATATTTTTAATTGACGAATTTGGTGATTTCATTAGTGGTGCTGTGAGGTTCAGATGCTTGCGACATACAGATAGACGAATACTGCGACTGTATTCCGGACTGGGCATATTTGTCATTGTGATTTTAATAATTATTTTTTACAACTGTGTTGCTTGCATAAGACAACAATCGTATTTAACGCGACTGAATGTTCCTTGACTCGATGTATAAACTCTGACCCCTTGTAATCATCCTTTGTTACAATTTATATCATGGTATAAAATAGGAGAATAAAAATGTGTGTAACTAGGACACTGAACGCTGTTTTATTGTATTCTGACCACAGAGATAAGTAGACGAGAACGAATTATTTACATACATACATACATATCTGTCACGCCTGTCTCCGATTAGGGTAGGCAGAAACAATGGAACGCCAAATGCTTCGATTCAAACAAACCTCTTTCGCTTCTTCCACATTCATCAAACTTTTCATACACGCTCGCCGGTTACGGGTACTTAACGACTATTTAATGTTAACGAATTGTTTAATGGTAAATAAAGTATTAAATTCACTTGGTATATCGACTTAGATGCAGTAGCCTAAGCAACGAGAAGACGAGTACACCCCTGGCAACAGGATGAGATGAATAGGAATTTCATCATGAAATATTTCCTATTAAGACCTGATATATTGTGGTCTATTCTGTGGCGCCACATCTCTAAATCATCTCTTAGCTAATATTTTAATTTGATAATTTCTCGAAATTGTTGTTTCATGGACCATCATAAAAAAAAAAATATAATAATTTTGACCTAAATCTATTAAAAATTTAAATCCTATTAGTCCTTTTGATATCAAATTTTAATTTTGAAGACGGAGTCTAAAAAAATGGCACTTTAGAATCAGCACTATTTTTGAACTTTTTCACTTCTGTATTATTAAAATTTTATGTAGGAATCTGCATACGAGTTCATTCAAAGTTTAGCTCTCTAATCCAAAGTGGTTCATTTAATATAATTAATTGACACGAAAAATAATAGATATCTATTGAAAACCACCCTGTATTATTGTTAATTAAAAAACGAATGCTAGATAATGTGAATTTTTATTATAAATAGTAGTATACATTTCTAGAAACACTATAAAACACTGATCTAAGTTTATAATATGAAAGAGATATAAAAGAAATATATTTGTAGAGATACAATAGTAATAAATAACGGTTGTAACACCGATAATATTTAACTTACATATTACTACAATGAAATATCCATTCAAACGGACTTTTGTTCGATTAATACAAAGATGTAGGTAACACAAAATTAATACAGATTGATTTTGGCATTTGGAAATAATCTATTTGGAAAATCAGTCTTACACTGAGCACTCGTGTTTTTCATGTGAAAAATGTCAAATACCGTGCACTGTGCTTGTTCACACCAATAATTATATCCACTAATTTTAATTTCCACACTGCTTTTGCTGGTGATGTAGGAAATATTTGATCAATGTATTCGAGGTATTAAAAAATAAGTTTAGAGAGATCTATTTTAAATAACGCACATAAAATAATCAGATAAAAGAACTAAAAAATAAATCTCCATTTGCAACAATAAGCTACATATACACATAGATTGAACTTATAAGTTTTACAAATCACATGTTTCAAAAATATAATTTTATCTTATAGACTAACTTCTACAGACATTGAGATTGGTTGCATTTGTTCCAAATTATACTGTTTCGTACTGGCTGCGGATCGAACGGGCGAGGCAACAAGCGAATATGACGCCCAGAAGCTGAAAAAAAAATAATTGACATATAGACTAACGTTGACTAGATTCGAACTCACGACCTTTGCGGGTAATAGTTTGTGTCGTATACTATTTTGATTACGTCATGGTCATTCTTTTATTTTATGCTATTTTTCTACAACTTAGAATGACAAACAAGCTAACTATTCACCTGAGGGAAAGTGGTAATCGTCGCCTATACACATGAGCAATACCTTTTTCTATTTACATTTTATTTATTTATTCATTTTAAATACTTGGTTGTTTTAAGAGGGACGCTGCTGCCCATTCCTCGACTATTAAGTTCCCTTAGTCTTGTCCTTGCGACACTCACGGGAAAGAAAGGGGGTGGCCTATTCTACGTGGCAACGACATATCTATATACATTTTCGTTATACACGATTTATATTTATTGCTGGACATGATTCGGTTCCTGACCGCAGCTGGTATAACCTGATTGAAATGTCGAGGTAGCTCTAGGTCGTGATAATTACCTAAATGGTCGCATTAAATACTCTTACACTACAAGAAAAATCTAATTTGAAGACATATATTGTACATAGGATATTAAAAAAAAAAAAATAGGATCTTAATAAGAGCAAGTGAAGCTAAACAATTATTTTTAGAATTTTTGTCTGGTCTATGTTTGTTCCAGCATCAAACAAAAATTACTGGAGCAGATTGGATGCGGTTCTCGCAGTTCTTGAGCGTCCAATTTAAAAACTGGTGTGTAACTCTTGATGAATCATCAAGAAGTTGAAAGGTTGCCTACTTCCAAAATTTACGTGTAGGAAGTTGTGGGCAAAAACTGGTGTAAACCAATAAATAATTTTCTTACCTGTACAATAGCTATGCCTATACCAACGCCGCCGAGGACCGCAGCTATTTCTTGCAAATGCGAGACAACTTCAGCGAGGCAACCTTTATTGTGCAGGGTAGGAGAGTTGATGCTACATTCGGCCGGGGTACCGTTAGTTATCACTTGGCCATCACAGCATGTGTTTGGTATCGGCAGCTTGTTGTTTTCCCAGTCATTCGGTCCATTGATGCCGCAGCATTTCAACTGGAAGTAAACATTTATGATTATGGCTAGTGGCCACTGTAGAAGTCGCATAATAAATAAAGAACACATATATTTGTGTTTATGAATGCATAATATAAGAATTGTTTTACATTGGGCAATTTATATAGATTTATGTATAGATTGAAAAAACATTTTTGAGAGAGAGAGAGAGGATGTATATGTGCATACCAGTTGTCTCTATTACTTATTAAAATGAATAATTAGTAAAATAAAAAATCTAAACAATTTTTCATTTCATTACTAGCAAATTATATGGTCGGGCCTAATATTAGTTTATATTAATTTACAGTAAGATCTTTTGAAATAGATCATAGATAGTTGAAATAAATGAACGCCAATCTCACTTTTACATAGGTTTATAGCACATGATGTGCTTCAAATATAACTTTTAAATTTTATATATGAAATTTAAGACATACGTCGGTCTGGATGATATCGAAGGTGCGCTGCACGTCGGGATTTGTCGGGTAGTCCTTGATTGTGTCGTTCAGGTGGCGCAAGATGCTGTTCTCCAAGTCCTTGTGCTTCACGTAGCCCGCGATGCCGACTCCCAGCTCGGCCAGGAAGATAATCAGCAAGAACACCGAGAACTGGAACACGATGGAAAAATGATTAAGTTTGAGAGTAGAATATTGTAATGGGGACACTAGTCACCATTACTAGTAATATAAACTTAGTAAAATATAGCCTATCAGGTCGACTTTAAGGCAGTCTACTTCGGAAAACATCGTGGTTAATTTCTAATTTTCATTTAGTGAATTCCCCACGATAGACTAACTGGCATGACTTCATCCTCACCTGATAATAAGTGCTCCGCTAGCATAGGCAGAGTTCCAATTTCATTTTCATGCATTAAAAAAAAACCTAGACTACGCCATTGGTATACGCTATAGCAATATATCGTCATAGTCGTAGAATAGTGACGGATCTTTGTATGTAATCTTCGTAAGATCCGTCAGTATTTTACGACTATGACGATATATACACCAACTTGGTTGAATCTTGTGAAATTCGTCACGATGCTATTATCATTCGCACCTATCATCCTCTCACTGGTGCCCTATCCTACCAGCGTGTACCGATAGCGCAAGCGGGATTACAAATCCACTATCGTCCATTAAAATACACTAATAATACAGGTCATGCTTGAGTATATTTTATCAGCTAAATTCAATAACAGGCGCCGAGAAAGCTTCTTATAAACGTATTTCCTTATTCTCCACTTATCGTACGTGGACAACAGTTACAAATTAAATGGACAGGAAGTGTCCATTTAGCGTCCGTGCAGCCGGCGCGTGTCAAAGGTCATAGCTTGTGACTTCACCACAACTTGAGTAATTGCCATTTCTGTTATGACACCAATTACTCTAATTCCAGAATTCCAGCGCTTCGAAATTGCTCCACGTATCTTTATATAGATTAAACAGTTTTAAAGATTTTTTCGACATTTATATAAATAAAAATCAATTGCAAAATGTATGTAAGCAAATATTTTTTTATTTAATTTAGATTGTCACAAACAAGTTGACGGTCCATCTGATGGAAAGTGGTAGCTGTAGCCTATACAAACATGAATAGTACCATGGACATAACAGGGTATACTGTGTCGCCCATAACACCCCTCATGCGCTGCCATTTCTGAGAACTAACTTTTATTTACCATTCTTTATTTATATATAATACATTCTTTATTTATATACTTTTTTTTTATTTTGTAATTTCGCCTGCGCTGTTGGTATGTACTCGTATACACTGGTGGAGCCCCAGTAAGAGATGATCGGTGAGGATGTAAGCAGGTCAGTTGGCTCACTGTGACGTATTCCACAAAAATTAACCAGGAAAGTATTTGGATAGACAGATGGGGCTATTGGTTCTCATCAAACCAACAAACAATCCTTTTACCCTCTGGCATACATGTAATACATATTCGGTTGAAAAAGGAACTTCGTTTACCCGAATGAATCTATATATCCCGGGCATGTAAACGGAATCGCGGGGAAAAACTAGTGATATTATATTTAAAAGAAAATCAGGCCCTGGATGTTTATTATTGTGACCGAAACAGAAGTACAAAAATTGTTGGGACGTGATTTTCTCGCATACCGAGTGTTTATATTCACCACTATGTTTTCGATTGTTCTAAATATAAGAGCTAATTTTAGTGTGGGTCGATATCCCCATGACATAAATGGATGGCCCAATTGGGTCGAGATCTTTATAGCTGGCTACGGAGAAACAAGAGTTAATTAACTTGATGTTGTTGATATCTTTGATCATATAATTAACTAGATTACATAGAGTATCTCAATCCAAGGCTTTGCCGAAAACGTGTCAACTTTTTTATTTTTTACTAGCTGTATCCCGTAACTCCGGGTACGTGAATTAGTACATAACGTATTCTATGTACTAAGTTAGATTATTACCTATCTGTGTACTTATTTTCATTCAAATCCGTTCAGTAATATTTGCTTGAAAGAGTAACAAATATTCATTTATTTAAAGTTTATTGAACAATAAAATGTGATACAAAAAGCGGGCTTATTGATATAGATATTTTCTACTAGTCAATCTTTAGCATGTGTAGAGATACTTGATGGAAAAATGTTTTAGATGGTAATTACATATATATATAGATATTCATAAAACAGATAATTTTAAACTGTCGCATTGTTTACACATATTTTAAATACACAATCGAGACCACGTGACCACGACGTGGTGCAATCCACGTCGAAACGTCGGCAATAAAGAAGCAGGTACGTAGGAGCTATTTACCTGTAAAAGCTTTTACATCGCGTTAGCTCCCGATTATGCCATTAGCTGCCACACTTGGCAGGCGAATTGGCAACCGCAGCTAGTTTTTGGTGATGCTTCAAGAGGGACGTTGCTGTTTATACCTCGACCGTTAAGTTCCCTTAGTCGTTTACGACACCCACGGGAAAAAAGGAATGGTTCATTCTATGCCGGGACCACATGGCAATTTCTGTGTATATTAATATATTTGTTATTTATACATTTACTTATGTATCTACGTTAATTGTAGTATGTACGTATATCAATAAATAACAGTACGGCATTCGAGTATTCTAACACTTCTCTAAGATTGACTAGGAGGGATTAAGTCCGTTTTGTACAGATATTTTGTAACAAAGAATAAATAAATAAAAATACCTAAGACAATGGAAGAAAGTACGAGAAGCGCTATCACAGTACATTCTGCGATGTATATTTATATGAGATGATTAGGTGGCGATTACCACTTGCCATCAGACGGTAACATAAAAACATGTCTTTTGTATGAACTAACAAGCTACACAATCGATTTCTTTATACATCAACTTTGGGAACAATAAGTTACAAACAGGTAGTGACACTGTGATTAAACGCTGCTAGCGGTCAATGACGTCATCGTTTTATTTTTATCGCGGTAACTATACAACAAAGGAAACTCATTCTCTTGTTAAAATTCGCATATTGTTTTTGTCCTAGGCTCAAATATTTGTCTAAAGACTAGTTTTTACTGGTGACTTCATCCGTGTGACCGGGGTAAATAGTAATCTATGGGGGGGAAAGGGATTGTTAGTAAAATGATCTAGTTGACCCATTGTCAGCAATACATCCTATCACCGATTCGTCGTCATTGTAAATAATGCGAACTATCAGTCCACGTGGCCCTCTTGGAAATCATCGTGCTGAATTCCAGGTGTACGATGGGCTGATCTGCCTTTTCATCCTCGCCTACCATCCCTCACTGTTGCCACGCCAGCGCATACCTTTAGCGCAGGTGGAGTTACAATCATATTATTATCTATTAAAAAAAAAAAATAGTCTATGGGAGGAAAGAGATTTTCAGTAATAGGGTCTAACGGGCTCATTCGTAGCATACAGTGTATACAAAATTTCATATTCAGTTAAGCCGTTAAAACGCCAGGGCTAAGAGGTGACAAACAAACTCACTTTCACATTTATAATACACTAGCGACCGCCCCCGGCTTCACACGAGTGCAATGCTGATACTAAATATACCTACCTACTACAGAATGTTTATCTATAATATTATGCATGTATTATACTTATAAACCTTCCTCTTGAATCACTCTATCTATTAAAAAACCGCTTCAAAATCTGTTGCGTAGTTTTAAAGCTCATAGGGACGGACAGACAGCGACAGCGACTTTGTTTTATACTATATAGTGATATTAGTAAGGATACAAGACACGTCATATTAGATACAGTCAGTATTTGTACATACATTTATAGCTGAAGTGTTCTTGGAAATAATCGACATATTGACAAACAATATGACGTCCAATCTGTAGTCAAATACGCAGCTCGACGCTTAGGCAAATGTGTCCTTCAAACAACGTCCCTCTTACAACATCAGTAGAGCCTAATATCAGTTGGCAATTCGTCTGCCAAGCATGGCCATTACTGGCAAAACTCCTCCTTATGGGGGGGGGGGGGGGGTCTATTTTCAACAGTGGACAATTAACGGCTGATGTAATAATGATGAAATAAAAAAAGATACATTCGAATTGAGAACCACCTTTTTTTTAAAATTGGTTGAAAATTAAATATTAACCCTTTTAGTGCCATTGATTTTTACTCATATCTACTTAAAAATGCCAAAGAAATCTTTGTCGTGTTGATGTCATTTACCCTTATCTCTAAAAAAAAAAAAAACTATCTCCTCCAAAAATTATCCAATTTTAATATTTTTTTTACAGCAAGCTAAACAGCGACTAATTTCACGAGCGCTATGATGCTCGTGGCACTTTTAGTTGCAATGCGCACGAGCGTGATAGCCCTCGTCGGCACTCACAGGGTTAAGAGAAACAAAATGGCTTTTTTGTATTTAGGTATACATATAGTTAAGTCAGGGTATAATTGATATTACTATCAATTTCGAATTATGTTTATTTGAGAGACTTTATATGTAACCTTTTGATCCTATCGATTACTATAATAAAAACAGTTATTCTTTTGGCTATTACCTACCCAAAATGAGAAAGGAGGTTCTAAATTTAAACATGTGAAGTTTTTGTTTCTTTTTTTTTGGAGCAAAATGTATCTGTTTGGATATTTAAAAACTTATCACCATATCAGCCATTAACTGTTCACTGTTGAACATAGATTTCCATTATATAGGGGGTTTTACCGGCAGTCAACACGCTTGGCAACCGCAGTAAAGCTTTTAGTGATATTTTAATAGGGACGCTGCTGCCCATCCCTCGACTATTAAGTTCCTTTTGTCGCCTCTTATGACAACCATGGAAAGAAAGGGGTGGTCCATCCTATGCCGGAACAACACGACAAATTGGATATTTAGATATTATATAACTTTTTTGTTTTCTTTTCATTATCTGTATGTTTATAAGAGATGGCTGTTTGCTTTAAAATTGCTCCGATTATAACGGATTTTGTTTAAAAAAAAAAACCTCAATCTTGGTAAAACCAGTTCTTGATTGATTGATTTCAAAACTGTGAAAGTAGTGTTTATCCTTACTATTATTATAAATGTGAAAGTTTGTTTTTACTTTGTGACGTCATAACTTCTTAACTAATCACTATAAAAGTTGGTATAAAGGTATATATATATGAGATGGAGAGGGACATGTTACTTTTTAACCTAGTAGGTAAGTAAACATATTCCGGTCACGCGGTCCAAACCGCGGTTAAAAGTTAGATATATAAAAAACCAAATGAAATAGATAATTTATGAATGACACGAACGTCTATTTAATATTATAATGCACGCAATCAGGTTACAAGCACTGTAGAAATAGATGTCGCAAAGTATATGAACTCGTGATAACGGGTGAAAACACGTTATCTAGAACATAACAAATATGGTTTTGTATTAGTTAAGTAGTTTGTGCTCGTCAGAGATATCGATGTTTGGTCACCTGTTTGTTATTGTAGTTTCGACACGCCAATTTGAATTTTATGGACAGTATTATTGTAGTGGAAATGTGCTTATTATTTTCTGTTCAAATACGAGTTTACGTTGAACAAGTATTACGTATTGGGGAAGGGGTTTTTAGGAGCAGGGACTAGCGGCCCCACTGCCAGCAATATGCCATTACATAAGTCGACCTCCACGCGGTCTCTTCTGGAAACCATCGTGGTTAATTCTTGGTCAATTTTTCATTCGCAAATCATTCAAAAGTTACATTTAAACATGTCCCTAATAGCCATGTAATCGTTCGGGAAATGATAAAGAAATTGGACTTGGACAGCTGGTTTTTCCTTACACTGTGGTCATTAGTCATCCTTCATTAAGGAGGTAGGGAGCAAAAAACGTTGCCGGGTCAAATAGTTTATAATAATAAATGTCATTACTTTACGCAGTGAACACATAAATACATATTATATTAAATGCAATATACACGGGACAGTTTGCAAGGTCATTATACATGATTGATAAGTAAGTGCTGACAATTTAAATAACTACTCTGTTTATAATAAATGCTGCATTGCTCTTTGAATATATCTAACTTTCTTAATTCGTATGCATTTCTTTTGTATGTTACGCGACATCTTTTATTAGAATAATTCATATTGCAAATCATAGGGTTGACCCCCGTGATGATTTCGTAACGTTTTTCTTTGCATTGTAAAATTCTGTTAGCTTTTGAAAAATTTTTTTTATAGCGACAAGATTCTACGTTCTAAATTCAAGGTATTTTATATAAAAATTAATTATTTCTATTTTTAAGTTTTTTTTCTCATGGGCGTCCACTTCCTTAAGGTATAGGTAGGTAGAAATCCCTTTTATGGGAACAGTCCATAATTGTACTCATTCCTTTCTTAATTCCTTTCAAGCTGACGGCCCACCTGATGGAAAATGGTAACCGTCGCCTATAGATATGAGCAGTACCATGGACATAACAGAGTATACTGTTTCGAAGTGTTACAAACTAAAATTTCAGCCCCATTCCATGGTATAGATATACATATTAGCATTATAATAAATTTTAATTAGGAATAAGGTTTTTTTTTTTAATTTGATTATTACACTAAGCTATGAAAATAAAATTTTCATTTTAGGGATTTCGAGAATGATGCCAAAAAATCAACTCGATTGGGATACATAACTACCATATATTGTCGCAATTTGGGCGACACTAGGCTCCAAGCAGTCGTCTATTAATGTTTAAACGTGAAATACGTGTCGCAAAAAGTGCGTAGATGAAATGGCAGTCAGAGTTGATGGCTGCTAATATAGAAGGTCGTAGAACTTCTTCGAGTGTTGGCAGTGGCACACATACATTAGTACCATTAGGCAGAGGAATTAAACAAAATAATTGTAATCAAATAACCAATAATATGGAATTCCGCAAAATTACAATTTTTATAAAGATTGTAGTCGATTTTTTCTCGTTAAAACATATATGGAATATATACTATACTAGTATATTATACTTGTACTTACCGTGATGATCATGCAATGATTCTCCTTGACGGCACCGCAGCACCCGAAGAAGGCAACCACAAAGACAATGATGCCCACTATTATCATCACAACAGGCGCCGAGGTGTAAAAGTTCTCATCTGTCAGGTCGATGTACGGTGAGGAATTCACTTCCGCCTTGATGCCCACTATGAGAATGATCAAGCCAGTGATCTGGAAGAAAAGTGGATTTCATTGGCGTATTTAGGATTATTTTCTAGGAAGGGGGAAAATTATTAATAATTAACATCTAATATGTTAAACCAATTTCAATTTACAAAGAGATATTTAATTTTTTTTTAACTACCTACTTATATATAATTTAAATAAAAAGCCGGTCAGCTGCGGATTAAACTCACATGCCGAGGATTTCGTAAATAAATATATAAATATGAGAAATAATTATCTTTATTTTGCATTTCTCATACGAACTAGACCCAGATTATTAAATAAGTTTGTTTTTTGATAATTATTAAAAAACTGTGCTAGTTAAAAACATTGTTTTATTTTTCCTGTAATATTAACATATACCTTTATAAAATATAATTATTTAACTTTATAAACTATAAAATTAACGTTATCAATCATAACTACAAAACTACGCAGTATAAAAGTAAATAAAAATCAATTTTAAAATGTACATATGAAGCCCATTCATATAATAATCCACTTGGACAATTAGCTTTATTTTGAAATTTTCTGTTTCACTGCCCCCCCCCCCCCCCCACCCCCTCGGACCCTTTAGCAAAGATATTAATTTTTTTACAATTATAGTCGCGTTCTTATATAAGGGTTCCTTTGCTCCTTTTTAGTATAGAACCCTAAAAACCGAACTTTTATTACATTAATAATAATTAAGACTAACTTCTGCAAATTCACACGAAGTCACGGACTCCGTACGTGTTAATTTTGATTTCTCGACAAAAATATTCAAATCGATAATTTACATAGTTTCATCTTTTTTTTTATACCACTGAGATGGCAAAAAAGCATACGGACCACTTGATGGTAAGCGATTACCGTAGTTTATGAACACCTGTAATAACTACGGGCATTGTGTGTGCGTTGCCGACCCTGAAGAAACCTCTTAACCCTCTTTTTTTAAGAACCTCATTCCATAACCTGAGTGTTCGTGGGAGGAAACATGTGAAGACAAACCCAAGAAATAGTGTTCTAGATAGTGTATCAATGTTAAATATTAGAACACTTAATTTTATGTTCAATCTTCTATAATATAACTAATAGCATTCAATTTGGTATATACAATAAGCTTACAAACAGAAAGTCAGACAAAAACTGTAAAACATATTCTATTGACTAGTATTATTCTTATTATGGCTCTAACTGATATAAAAATCACCTATGCCCTTCTTCATCGCAATTACAAAATAATTATTTTAAAAGGCTCAACTAATATACTAATCTAATGCCAAGATGTAATAAAAACTAAATACAACCAAATTCAGAACTTAATTCTTTTAAAGTCAGTTTAATAATGAGTTTATTTTATTGTTGCTCCCTTGAGCAATCAATGCACAATTCAAAATTCAAAAATCATTTATTCATGTAGGACATTTTAGCCGCTTATGAACGTCAAATTTTTACATTATAATTTTATATTTACCCTACCGTCCAGTTTATATAGATCCAATTGAGAAGAACTGGCAAGAAACTCAATTGAATTTTTTTTTTAAAGCCAGTTTATTTACAATGTATATTTATATAGGTGTCTATGTCTAACATTAAATGAAAATTCAGTGCATGAACAACTATTGCCATGCACACTCGTCATTCAAGTAATCGTTTAGTGAGTAATAGGCTTTGCTCAGTAAATATGATTTAACAGATGTTTTGAATTTATTTAAGGGTAATTCCAACATATCCTTTGGTATCTTATTGTAAATTTTTATATATATTCCCATAAAAGACCTATTAACTTTTTTAAACGATACTTGGGGACAGCAAGTTTGTTTTAAATCTAGTTAATTAATATATGAATATTGATTTTTTTGAAATAAGTCAAGATTTTTATGAACATATAGAATATTTGAATATATAAATTGAGAAGCAACGGTGAGAATATTTGCCTCTTTGAATTTCTCTCTTAATGAGTCACGACTCTTCATACAGTAGATCAAACACGTTTTTGTAATATGAATATATTCTTAATATCTGCCGCTTTTCCCCATAGTAATATTCCATAAAAGAGTAAACTATGAAAATAACTAAAATACTATAGCAGTATCAGTATCAGTGTACTGTTAAACGCACGGCAAAAGCTGCTGAACTTAGTTTCGCTGCAAGGCTTTGAATTTGTGCACCCCATTGTGTTTTATTATCTAGTGTGATTCCTAGAAAGACAGTAGATTCTATAAATTCGAGAGATTCGTCATTTAATTTAATATTGCAATTAGTATTAAAACTTTTAGATAGAGAGAAATTAACACATTTTGTTTTTTTAGCAATCATGGCACAGTCAATTGTCTTGAAAAAATATTATTTGGTTGGAAGGACATAGGCTATTTTTTATCCTAGTAATCAAACCACACATTTATTTTTAAATAGTATAAAACAAAGGTATTGTCTATGTTTCAGTTTACTTCTTTTCTACTATGCAACAGGTTTTGGTAACTGTTTTATAATGTTTGTACAATTTATTACAATTAACTGCAATAGTTAATCACACCCCAAGCAAAGCTAGTGTTGGTTGCTAGCAAATTATATATGTATGCTAATTACATACATATAATTAAGAACTTATGGCATTTTTGATATCGCTAGTTAATTAATATATTAAAATGATTTTAATGAGGATAAAATTTATAGTTATATTAATTTTAAACCAGTTTATAGTTAGCACAAAACAGAATTCTTAACTCGTAAGTGTGAAGTGAATAAAAACACTTTAAAAAAATATAAAATTATTTAAATTCAAATTAAGAATATGTATCATTATCAATAAAAATATATCAGTACACATAAAATTTAAAATAGCAAAAACAAATTCAATGACAAATATAATGACACAAGATTTAAAAAACATTAATGACAAATATAAATAGATAAGTATGGGTATTACAAATACTTGTGTAAAATATTTGTATGAGTCATATTTAACTGTAACATGGTAATGATAAAGCATATGTGTAATATTCTAGATAGGTAATCTTTTATAGGTAGTTAGGTAGGAAATAGCCACATACCTACCCACAGATATTTTTTTTTTATTTCTTATCTTTTAAGTGTCCTAGTTGGGTTTATCTAAAAAATATTTCTAGATTTCTTTCTACTTATGCAGATGTCTACTATATTAAGAGTAAATATGATGATGGAGTTTAAGAGTATAAAATATTTTTTAATTATTTGTCATAATTAGAAACATAAAGTACAAGTAGGTACTTATGAAGTTCCTAATATGAGTCAAGCACTAGTAGCATGGCAACTGCTACAAAGCCAAACACTCAACAGGTTAAAGCTGTACAAATTATTTAAACAAATTCAAATTTAGAATTATGAAGTACCTACCTATAAATAAAGAATATTTTTTTATTTATGATATTTCTAATAAAGACTAATTTGATATTTAGCAGGTATTCTCTTTAGAAGTTGTGAAAATATGTATGTATGATTCACGGTTTTCAAATGTCGAGACAAGACTGTATACTACAGAGACATCAAAATAAATTGTGTATTGTGCTTACCGCAAATAGAAGGTTGAAAAGGAAAAGAAGATATTTTACACAAGACATTCCACCGCCCAGAGCCATTGTTAATATTTTTTCTCGTATTTAACCTAAATACAAATATTACGACCTGAAACAACAAATAAAATTTAGTTTCCTACTTTGTAAACTGCGTTGAATCGATTTGCGTTGCACAAACAGATGGGGAAAATGTTTCTAGAAATGGTGTAGATTTTAGTAGACAAAAAAAGAGTTATATATTAAATAAATTTTGCAAAATAATTATCTAGAATTCAAAACTTACCCAATAAACGTAAGTACACAAACAATAGGTTTCTCTACTTCCAAATGTTTATTTATTTAGTAATCACTCGATAAAAGCTAGCGCGCGTTCTGTTAGCACGAATCGAAAGTTAAGAATAAAAAAAATATATATAGTGTTGCCAGGACATAAAAGCTAAAAGTTACAATTTAGTTACATTATTTAATGTCGTCATTAACACCTAGCGTTGTACTTACAAAAACACTTGCTAACAAAAACTATATATGTATTACTACTGAAAAATATATATAAAAAGATTTTACATGTTTTAAGACAGTGTATGTTAAGATTGTGGATTGTAAAAATAAAAAAAAAAAAATATAAAATACGCTTACGGTACAAAAGAAACTATTGTTAAAATTTTCAATTGCATCTGCATCTTAGTCTATGAATTAATATAACAGGTGTGGTACTTAAAATATTTTTACTAATTAGGTAAGTTATTTATAATGGATCTACTAATATTATAATATAAAGTAATATAATAAGCATTTTCTCTATGATGTAGATATATGTTAACTTTCAATGTTATGCCAAAACTAATGAAATTATGATATATTTTTTTTATAAAAGACAAAAGATTTCAGAAATTCAATTTTACAATACAGAGGCTATTTAAATTACTGAATGTAGGCATTATGATGTTATATTAATAATATTATTAATAATTTTTACAATGTCGTCTGGAATTTTTGGATAAATGAAACAATTTTATAATAGTTTTAATAATTTATTTACATCTTCGTTTGTTACAGATTACGCTATATTCATAAAATTTTATTAGTAAGAAATTTAAACGAATAGCAACATTATTTTACAACTCGAGGAGGGGGGGGGGGGAGTAATGACAGACGACGAGCATAGACAATGGTTTCGACTTTGACCAAGAAACAAGTATTCAGTATGTCGTCGAAGAATAAGTATTATTATGTAGATAAAATTGGAATACAATATTTGCAACCAACATAAATATAAATATAACAATTTTAAAATTATGGAAATATTTATAATGTGGTATTGTTAAAAATATCGATATTGATAGATATTATCACAGACATTATTATATGCCTGTAGATATAAAATATTAAGCTACTTCATGCAGTATTTTTTTCAATTTGAGTAACTAATTGCATAGATTTTTTACAAATATAGTTTGTACAAAGAGACACGGACTAAAGCAGCATAGGTAGACAGGTATAATTTAAAAAAATGGCGCGCTCATTAATTCATAAATTTTAAAAATTACATTTTATATAGTACCTAACAAATATTTAAAAATTAACATTAGCAGTTATTTAAGAAAGTTGATTTCAAACTAGTGAGGGATGATAGGTGAAAATGAAGGGTCAGGTCAGTTAGTCCATCGTGATGAATATATCTGGAATTCAGCATGATGGTTTCCAGGGGTGACCACGTGGACGTCGACCTGGCAGGGTATATTGCCAGGAATGGGATTGGTAGTCCGCATTACTAACAATCCTTTCCCCTTCGATCCAAATAGGCTATAGACATAGTGATTACTTGTTCTGTGGGATATGTGGGCGGCATACATTTTGAGCGATGCCTCTTGTGGAAAAAAATTGGTTTAAATTATTGAACTTTGAAAAAAATAGATATTTATGAGATTCCTCAAACCACGAAACCGTGGGAATGGGTCCATATTGTCCACATTCTACGTCACTTAAGCCTATATGTTCTGAAGGCTACTTGTTCAAAATAAGATTTTTAACTTAAGTAAATACCTATAATAATTTAATTATTAATTTTAATTATATTAAATTTTTATACATAAAGTGTATTTCTTATTCAAATATACCTATAATGGTAATTATATTTTTTATATAATTTATATCTATATTACTATTAATTACATTTATTTAGATATAATAATTGTCGTGTAATACAATCAATATGAAACAAAAGTTTTTGTTTGTCAGAAATATTGATTTTTCTAATCTAACATGTTTATTTAGATCGCGTTTATAGTCTTTTTTAACATTTCGATAAAATCGAAGAGATATCCACGAAGCTGTCTAGATAAACTGTGATATTGAATGATAAAAGAATCATCTCAGATTCATTTCCAGTTTGCTATATAATTTTATTTGTATATGACGGATATTACTAGGTACGAAAATGAAAATCAAAGTTCCTAAATTTTTTAAATCAGTGAGATATTCGTTAGCAGCTATAAATGGCTTATTTTTGGTACGTTATAACATTATTTATATTTTTAAGAACATTTATTTTAAGTTTAAATTTAGTGATAGTACGTAACTAATTGTGGAATTGAATAATTTTCCTATTTAAAACGCTTTACATATAAATCGCGTAATCACGTGATCGATTTAGTATAAAAGTCATAAAAAAATTTATAGGTCCATGTAAAAGTTGTTGATTTTCACGAATCTTTGTCCACGCCTCATTTCAATATCTAGGGAAGGGTCTCGGACTTTTCCTCTGGCAGGTTTAGCGCAGTTTATATAATATTATCATTGGTTTTTATTGTTACTTTCAATTAATAATTTATACTTTAATCCCGCGGCTTCACCCACGTGAATCGATACATAAAGTATCTTATGTGTTAAGTTAGGATAAAAGTAGCTTTGTAGTTTTTGTAGTTATAAAAGAGTAACAGACATCCATTTATCCATTGTTTTAAAATTTTGCATTCATAATATCAATAATGGGAGACAGGCGTCACAGATATGTGTGTATGTATGTATGTAATATACATGAAATCAATTTTTAATTTTTAAACAGTGATTTCATGACTGCACAGCATTGTAAACGGTCATTTTTGCATTCTTTCTCCTTCAAAATGCAGAAGAAGATTGTTAGTGATGCCACCTGGCGGCCTTATTGTTAGGAGTATACATCAGGTAGACTTCCTCGTGCTTCCTCATGAATTCAATAAGAATTATTTATCGTAGTTAATTTGTGTCGAATTCGTTCCAATGGGCTAACTGACCTGCTTTCATCATCATTGCTTCATATCTCATCCCTTACTGGTACCCCGTAAGCGTATTCCGATAGTCCAGGTGGGACTTTGAGGGTCTTAAATTTGATTATGCTTAGGTATCTATGTTTTTTGTTAACAGCTAACCGGGATTCTTATGCTGCTTGTCGGGGTGACGATTTTGGTACAATACCTGAATTACGAGTTGCTAATTACGAAGAAATTCTTCACATTACCACGGTTCGCCATAGGCATTGGAGTGATCATATTATTGGTGTCAGTTCTCGGCTTCTACGGCGCTATATCGGAGGGCTTTTATTATATAGCAGCGGTTAGTTCAAATTAGACATATTTGTGGTACTATTCCTTAAACTTATGTTTAAAATTACAATTTAATAGTTTAAGAAAAAAATTAAAAATTAGGTACATCTCTACTCAAAGTTTGCTGGAAGAGACTCTTACAGATTTAAACTCGACTACAATCTTTATGCACAATAGACTATAAAAAAATAAATTATTAAATTTGAGCGCGTTTGACTTTAATCTCACCTGATATTAAGTAATGATGAGTGTCTAAAATGTAAAGTAGTTTTAATATAATTCTCCAAAAAAAAAAAAAAAAAAATGGTTCCATAGAATAACAATTTCGGTGTAATAATAAAAAAAAAATATGAAATCTTAATTTTAATGACGTGAGTATTTTAGAGAGAATAGGTTCGATTCTGAGCTGCCAATTCCTAAACCAATCTAAAATTAAAACTTCGATTTAATATCACGGCAAAATTTTTAATCTAAGAAACAATATTGTTGTTATGTTAAAATTATTATAAATTTAGTTTATGAGAGTCTTCAGAAACAGTAATTTCACAAAACTATCATTTTAAACTATTAGATTAAAAGAAAAATAGTTTAGAAAAATAGCGCCTCAGAATCGACTTCAATATCAACTAATTTGTCAAAGTATCAAGATTCGATGGTCATGTATGTGACTCTTTTTTTATGTTATTTAAAATATGAAACAAGTAGATGAAAAACAAACAAAAAAAAAATTATCAATCTTGATTAAAAATGGCAACAGTCTAAAAAAAAAAGATAGAGCAATTTAACCTATATATAAAATATGTAGGTTAAGAAATAACTTTAAAGAAATGGAGCTTTAAAATTTACTCCAATGGAGAAGCATACTGCCAATTTATTTCGTTCGTGGTGCCGCTGTGTTATAATGTAAACAACTTCTTATACTTATTTATATTTTGTCAATATTCGAGGGAGACTGTACAGAAGTCGTTTGCTTGGCTATCTTTGTCACATTCATGTTTCTACTGTGAAACAGTTGATTTTGCGTGGCTGTGTAACGATTTGAAGAGTGGGATATGGCAGTGAATTTATGGGGTACAGAGATATAAGACCTTGGTCTTCAGTAATAGCAACGCATGGGGGGTATCATGAGTGAAACAGTATACTCTATTTAAACAAAAATAAGATTAATAGTTTTCTCCAGAGCATGCGTCAATAGGTTGTGGACTCAGGTAATAAATTTATAACGGTTACAATAATTGGGCGGGACGTATGCTTGGTTACCACCTTTATGGATGCTGTTATTATAAAGATGATAACATTGTTTGTATGATTCATAATATTGCGATAACGTGTGCATTTCAAGATACAAGGTAATAATGTACTCGTATGATCAGGCGCGGTTTTTATATTTATGAAAAACTACTCTTAAAAGGAAAATCATGTCGCTGGCTTTAAACCATAGGGGCGAATATGTAAAAATTATTTTCAATATATTTATATGGGGGGAAGGGATTGTTAGTTATGGGGAGTTTAGTCCCCATTGCTATCAATATACCCTATCAGGTCGTCTTCCACGCGGTTCCCCCTGGAAACTATCGTGACCAATTTATCATTGAATTCGTCGCAATGGGCTAACTGACCTGCCTTTTCATCCTCACCTATCACCGCTCACTGGTACCCCGCTAGTATATACCAATAGCGCAGGCGGGGCAACCATGCCATTTTCACGAATAAAAAAAAATATTTATATGTATGTAATTGTATATTTACCCCCCGAAACGACATGACCGATATGACATTTAAACTATGAGGTAGGCACCGAACTAAACTAATTTGCTTTGTTTTCTTTTTTTGCGATCAAAATATCTAAATTATTTCAATAATATTTATGGATGGATTATGTGTGTTTACTTGACATATAGAATCAGCAAAGCGCACGTGACATCCCTGGTGTTACAACCATCCATAAGCAAGGGGAAAGGGATTGTTAGCAATAGAGTTTATCAGCCTCATTGCTAGCAACATGCTTTATTAGGTCGACCTCCACGTGGTTCCCCCTGGAAACCATCGTGAACAATTCTTGTTGAATTCGTCACGATGGGCTAACTGACCTGCTTCATCCTTACCTATCATTCTTCACTGGTGCCCCGCCGGTGTATACCGACAGCGCGGGTGGGGTTACCATTCCATTATCACCCATTAAGAAAAAAAAAACCATCCATAAGCTACGGTAATTCCGTTTACTATAAGACAGGTCTTATGCTTGTTTGCCGCTATAGTTGTAAAAAAGTATTTTTTTAAGTAATTCACGTGTGTAATTAAACTGTGGGTTACAGTTATTTTATAACATTTTAAAATATGCATGGTATTGTTTCAGTATGTGATCTTATTGATAGTCGTGTTAATTTTTGAGATGTCCATCGTTATAGCCAGTTATGGCCTAAAAAATAATGCCGTCTCCGAGATACGGACGACAATGGAGGAGACTCGTCAGCTCTATGGTTCCCGAAAGGAGATTACCGTCTTATGGGATGAATTGCAAATGAATGTGAGTAATTAAAATTTAATAAGTATATATTTTAAGAAAGGTTCTTGAGTGGCGACCCTGTAAGGGCAAACGCATTTTAGAACAATCTGCCACTAGATGGAGAGATGACATCAAATGCTTGGCAGGGAATCAGTAGATGCAGGTGAATCAGGACCATTCCTTATAGCAGTCTATGGGGAGGGCCTATATTCAGCCATGGACAAATAATAGCTGAGATGATGAAGTATTTTGCCAGCACCGCCGGTCCTGCATTAGATTTAGGTCCATTTTCAACACATACACTAAACAAACCTTTCATTTAAATGATATCATTAGTTAAATACAATTGCTCTTAAGAAAAATAATATAAATTATACATATTATATCTGACAAAACAACATAATAATGAAGATTATACAATTATATAATAACATTACTATTTTACTTTTAATTTTGAATAAAAGAAAAACATATAAAAAATGGAATAAGAGTTTCATAATGGTACTTTTATATATGATATTTACAATTTTAAATGAGAATGAGAGAGAAAAAGCCCTCCTGATGGCAAGTGGTAATCGTTGTCTTGCCAATAGACAGAAACAGGTACCATGGATTTCACACAGCACACTATGATCTGCATGGTACCCCTCATTCTTGTCAACTACACTATTACGTATTTTAAATAAACAATACCGATATATTTAAGTTTTATTAACTTGGATTGCACCATGTCGTGATTACGACACGGTCACGACAAAAATATATTTATTTATTTATTTAACTCTTTATTGCACCATAAATAAAAATATACAATGACAAGTCAATAATTCAAGTGAAATACAGTAACATAAATACAGATTGAAATATACACATAAAGGTACAAAAGGCGGTCTTATCGCTAGGGCAATCTCTTACAGATAACCTTTAGTTAAAGGAGAACAGATAGAAAAGGGCAGGTGGCGCAAGAGTGAATTAATAATTTTCGCGCATAAAATACAAAAAAATGTAATGCACAAAAATATCAAATACATATAATTTATTAAACTAATATAATTCAAGAACAGGAATGTTTAAAATTAATTACGGTGTTATACGTTACGTCCTCTGTAATTTCACATCTCAGTTTGGAAATTAAGACAGCCATGAATGTATAATTGTTTTATGGCAGGAATTCGATTGGGATAGAAGTACCCAAGCAGAGGACTTTTGTATGAACTATTCCTATGGTCCATGTAGTCCTGGCATAGAAAAAGCCACTCATTCTTTTCCCCTGGGTGTCGTAAGAGGCGATTTAGAGAAATTAATAGTCAAGAGATGAACAGCAGCATCCCTCTTAAAACACCACCAAAACCTCTCTGCGGTTGCCAAAACCGCCTGCCAAGCATGGCAACTACTGGCAAAACCCCCCAAAAGGAGGCGCCTAACGGCTGATATTGATGATGTGTATGGTATTCTTCTCGCCGTGTATCCCGGCATAGAATAGGCCACCCCTTCCTTTTCCGTGGGTGTGATAAGAGGCGACTAAGCGAGGATAAGGGATGGGCAGTAGTGCCTCTCTTAATACATCTCTAAGAACCTAACTACGGTTGCCAACATGCCTGCCAAGCGTGGCAACTACAGGCAATACTCCCAATAGGAGGAGTTCTAACGGTTGATTTCTTTGGCATTCTTTACAGTACGAATGTTGCGGCGTGACCGGTCGTCATGACTGGATATCCAATCAGATACCGGTGAGCTGCTGCCACATAGACTATGGAACTGTGTCCCCATTCGAGTGTGGCCTAGCCAACGCATACAGCACTGGCTGCGCTGCCGCTCTCGGACAGTGGCTCAGTTATAAGGCACATGTCCTGGCCATCATTTCGCTGCTTGTCACCTGTTTACAGGTTTGTTGTCTTTATTTTTTATTTATGGTTTTTCAACATTCTGACGGCCCACTTGGTGGAAATCGATAATCATCACTTACAGACAAGAGCAGTATGGTTGTTGTAAAATGCACTATGGTCATGGTTAGCATCATGTGTTGCCATTTCTGAGGATGAAGGTGCTGTGACTTCGTAATTTTACCGCCATATCCTACCTTTCGAATTTTGAACTGAAACGCAAGCGTATTTGCCTCACGGAAGAAACATAAATGGGTCAGAGGTACTTAAGCGGATGATTTTTATACAAAAGCCTCTTATAATAAATTATACTATAATGACAGTATAAATACCAGAATTTTACCAGAGGGAGACTTTGTACAAAAATCTTTTGCTTGGGTATCTCTGTCCCATTCGTGTTTCAACCGTAAAGCAGTTGTGTTTGCATGGCTGTGTTTCGATTTGAAGGGTGGGATATGGCGTTAATTTACTGGGTACAGAGGAATAACACCTGAGTCCTCAGGAATGGCAACGCATGGGGGGTATGATGGGCGAAACAGTATACTCTGTTATATTCATGGTATTGCTCATGTTTATAGGCGACGGTTACCACTTTCCATTAGGTGGGCCGTCAGCTTGTTTGCCATACTAAGTTGTATATAAAAAATATTAGTACTATATAGACTAGAGTAGAATGGAGTCTAGCGTAGAGTAAACCGGAGTCGAGTCAACCCGAGTGGTAGTAGATCGAAGCGGAGCGAAGCAGAGTGGAGTAGAATCTCAGAATAGAGTTTCAGAGTAGAGTAGAGAGAATTAGAAATAAAAATAGTCTTTATTCAAATATATTTCTTTATAAAGCTGTACGAGTCGCTAGAAACGTTACCGTTAAGCATGTCGTTTGCATGACCAGGATAAACAGTAGGTTATATCTATTCCCAACACAAACATTTCTTTATGGCTATTTTTCATACCGTGTCGAATTTTTTTTTTGATGGGTGAAAATGATATAGTAACTCCGCCTGCGCTAACAGGATACGCTGGCGGAGCACCGGTGAAGGGTGATAGAGGAGAATGAAAACAGCGGGTCTACCATGAAATGAAATTCCGAAATTTCGGACTCAATTTTGTGTTTTTGTTTATACCAGAATATAATCGGACCAATAAATGGAGTTTAACATTTCGTTCGTCATAAATCTTATCATAAAAGTCCAAAGGAATAATATTTTAATATTTTTAATATTTCCAAACGGCATGTATTATGTAATTTTAACATCAAATTTCTGTTTCGTTTATCTCCGAAATTTCGGAAAACATTTCATGGTAGGCCCTCAGGTCAGTTAGCCCATCATGAAGAATTCATCAGAAATTAACCATGATAGTTTCCAGGAAGAACCGCGAGGAGGACGACTTGGTCGGGTATATTGCTAGCAATGGGATTCTCAGTCTCCATCACTAACAATCCCTTTCCCCCCTATTAGGTCTAAGTTACATTAACTAACAATAAAATACTAAATGTTTACAAATGTTATAATTGTGAGAGTGTTTCTTACCTCATAGCGCATTAACGGCTTAATTAGTTACTGTGACATTATTTTTAGAAAATTCAATTTATGTAGGTATATCCCGGTCACGTGAGCGAAATCGCGGGTAAAAGCTAGTATAATTATAATATTAGCAAATTTATTTGATTGTTGTTTCAGGTATTAATAACAGCAGCTGCTGGATGGCTCGCATATAGATCTAAGTTCTCAGAGGTCCAATTGGAGTCATAAAATATGTAATATATGTACATAATAGCTGGATAAGTAGCAATAAATAAATACTTAAGGCGTATAATAAGTTGACCGTTTATTTAAAGATTTCATAATGAGATATTTATAAGTGACGGACGTATTTATCGATTGAAACTTTTTTTTTACAACGCGCATAAAAAAGAACAGAACGCCGGATGTTGCTGTCTCGTTCTATCTTAGCATATGATATCGTCACTTGTGTATGCTATTGGACCTTCGTAAGTTTAGAAAAACAACAAAATTTGGAATTAACTTTACTGGATGTGTAATCAATATTGAGGCTCAACATTTTTTAATATTTTTCAAACCAAAAGAATATACTAAATATTCTTTTCTTTTTTCGGTAAACTGAAATTAGTATTTGTTTGTGTAATAAAATTAATTTTTATTCATTAATAAATTCATTGTTATTTCATTACAACATTGTAAGATTTTTTCACTAGATGTTAACAAAAATATTTTATGAATAAATGAGTTTAAATATGTATATAGTAATATATTTACTGCTCTTTTCAACTAAATACCAATTTTCGGGTTCCGCGACCAAATCGTATAAACGGAATTCTTATTTATTCGTCTTTTATATATCTTGCTGTCTGTCTGTTTGTTTGGTCCTATGTCGTCATGTAACTGAATATTAATTATTCATAACATTAAATAGTTGGTAATAAATTGCAAAAAAAAAAAAAGATATAATCCATAGAGGTCCTTGATTACGTTTATCTATGATTAAGACTGTTTAATATGTCAAACACTCGGATAAAAAATTATTTATAGCCCAAAGATTAGGGCCCCACTCTAAGCTTCAAGACTGTCAATATCTGTAATCTTTTTACTTGGCTGTGTGGTCCCAGCATAGAATAGGCCACCCCTTCCTTTCCCGTGGATGTCGTAAAAGGCAACTGAGGGAGGGCGAGGGATGGACAGCAGCGTCCCTCCTAAAACACCTCTAAGGCCTAACTGCGGTTGCTAATCTGCCTGCCAAGCGTGGCAACTACTAGTAAACACCAAAGGGTGAAGCTTATGTTCAGCAGTGGACAGTTAAACGCTGATATGATGATGATGATGATGAATTTCCATTTTTTGCCATGTGGTCTTGGTAAGTTAAAGTATTAACGCTCTCCATAAATATTACAATAGACAATTATTTTGGTTTTTTACAAATAATTGTCTATAAGATAAAAGAAAATTCCTTTGATCGATACGCAATTTATGTAATACGTAAATAATATTAAAAAGTACTTATCGGTAATTGATTTGTAAAAAGATAGACTTTGTACAAAAATCGTTTGCTGCCCACCTCTATTCCATTCGTGTTTCTATCATGAAGCAGTTGTGTTTGCATGGCTGTTTCGGTTTTGAAGGGAGGAGGGGGATATGGTAGTGATTTTACAGGGTACAGAGGAATAACACCTAAGTTCTCAGGAATGGCAACGCATGGCGGGTATCATGAACGAGACGGTATGCTCTGTTATGTCCATGGTACTGCTCATGTCTATAGGCGAAGGTTGCCACTTTCCATCAGGTGTGCCGTCAGCTTGTTTGCCATTCTAAGTTGTATAAAAAAACTTAGATGTCTCATGATGATGAATCATACCATCATAATCTGTAATCATTTACGTATATTACTAACAAAAGAAATAAAATAGATAAATATTTATTAATAAATCGTATTTACAAATTAAATATTGGTAAATAAATGATCTAATAGATTGTTTAAAAAACGTTTGTAGAAATAAAAAGGATCTAATTGACCGACATTCTGCTTTGAATTTTTTTAACAGATAAATATGTAATCATAACCCTGCCTGACCTATCAGTATACACTGACGGGAAATCACCGTGTAATTATAGAATAGGATGAATTCAGGTCAGTTGAACCAACATAACAAATTAATCATGATGCTTTTTAGAAGAGACCGCGTGGAGGTCGACTGACATATTGGCTACGTGGGCGCTAATCCCGTCAATGAAAATTCCATTCTCTCGCGACATTGGTAGCAATAGGTTTCAGCGTTTCTATTACTGACATTGTCCTCTTTCTGTTTTGAATATTACAAATAATTTTTATTGTAACAAGTGTACTGTTATCATAATTTTCATATTATTGCCTATCACTGTATTATAAAGGAGCCCTGGGCGAGATAACACATTTGTTTTCTTATCAAGATTAATGTATAGTGATAAAAATATCTGTAGCTGAAACAAAGCGGCGCAGTGCCCGTCAGTGTGTAACGTGTGATTAGAACAAATTATTGAACGTTCAAAATGTTGTCTAAAATATTTGGTACAGTGAAATATTTGTTATTGATTACAAATTTCCTTTTCTTGGTAAGTTTAACGTGTAAAATGGCATCAAATGTGAAGATGTTAAAGTTATAATTTGTCAATGGTGTTATTGAAAACGATTTCATGTGACTGGATTTCAGATAACGGGTATAATAGTATTGTCTGTGGGCAGTTCTGTACAGTCAGCTTATAATGGATACCATCAGTTTCTATCAGACAGATTTTTCTCATTACCCGCCTTTTGCATAGCAACTGGCGTCATTATAATACTGATTGGTTTTATCGGCTTCTATGGAGCTTACACGGAAAATCACAGAGTCATTCTCGCGGTGAGTGTTATTCCACTTTCCTACTTTCTAATAAATATTGCGATTATGAAAATTTGTAAGATATTTTGTTTTACTCAATGAAATGGTAACCCCGCCTGCGCTATTGATATACGCTGTCGGGTTACCTGTGAGTAATGATGGGTAAGGATGAAAGTAGGTCAAGTGAATGAAATTAGGTAACATTCTCCCATAGGGACGAATTAGTTTCTCATAATGATTTCCAGCAATAGGACACATTTCATTTAATAATGCTTCTATATTTTAAATTAGTCGTATGGTCCTGGCATAGAATGATCCATCCCTTTCTGTCCTGAGTGTCGTAATAGGCGACTAAGAGGATTTAATGGTAGAGAGATGGCCAGCAGCGTTTCTCCTAAAACATCACCAAAGTCTAACTGCGGTTGCTAATCCACCTGCCAAACATGGTAATTACAAACAAAACCGCCCAAGAAGGAGGCTTATGTCCAGCAGTGGACAATTAAAGGCTGATATGAAGAGGATGATTCTAAATTTGGCTCAGGACCATTCCTTGTGGCAGGCTATGGAAGACGCCTGTAATCAGCAATGATCTGATCTTAATTCTCCCATCTCGCTCATCATATCACAAATATTCATATAGTCCATCTATCTTATTTTGGTTTCACAACATTCCCTTATTCATCTACTATAAAAATCCTTATTGGTATATTTACATGGTCCTCATTACCTCTTAACATGTCTTGTTCATCTGTCCTGAATAATCATCTTTCTCTCACCTCAAAACAGTTTTTCAGATTTTCTAATTTTCAATATGTTAATTGTTAATTAGCTAGTTTTTAAGTAAAGTAACAACATACCATAGTTTGGGAGTAGGGGGAGTTGGGAGGAGAGATTTCGTTTATATTTCTAAAAATCTGATATTAGATCCAAGTCTCAATTTACCTAAGTAATTCATTTCTCAACAATTTTTATAATTCGAAGTTAAAATTGTTAGTCAATTCAATACAATAACAATATTTGAAAAAAAAAAAATCGTCTGAAATTAATGCTGAGTATTTAGAGAGATTAAATATAGAGAAAAGCTTGATCACTAAAATTAACTCACTACTATTAACTCACTACTATTAAGAGGGGTTCTTTAAATGAAATTATTCTTTGATCGCTAGGTTTTTAAACCAAATCATGTATTCTTTTAAGTTTACAAAATAATAAAGGAGGATATACTTAATAGAGTATCAGTTCTTCCTCTTTGCAGTAGGCGTCAAGAAATCGAGTGACGAATGTGATTAAGCAATGAGACAATTATGAGTAACTAATTGAATTTTGATGTTGAGCAGGTATTATATGGAGTATTGTAGGCACGAAATTTGGAATATAATGATTTAAGGCATTAATGATTATGACATATTCGAAGCGATGATCATCATTATTATATTAGGCTATCGGTTTTTAACTAACACAATTAAAAAAACAATCAAACTGAATGAAAGTAGGAAAATCAAGTAATACGGTAATTATGACTTACATAATTTACAACCTAGACGCTTGACTATGTTTACTTATATACTTTATAATGTATCGTTTTGGAAAATTTCCATAATTTCGTGTCATTTTAATATATACCTGTCTATTTACTTATACTGATATTCTTGTACTGGATTTGAGTATACTCAATATGTATGGAAGAAGTGGCATCATCATTTAAATTTACCTCTAAAATTAATATTTCAATATGATGGTTTCGCGATAGTACCTACTATTTTATGTATCATTAGAAACTAAATTTATTTATCTTTGCATTCGAGTATTCTGACACTTCCCTATGGTTGACTGGGAGAGAATGCTTTTAGCATTAAGTCCTCTATGTACACATATTTGTCCTAATGAATAAATAAATAAATTTATAATAATTTTGACTTAAATACATTAGGAATTTAGTTCATATTGGTTCCTAGAATAAAGATTTTGCTGTGACACTGATTTGAAATTCGATCTTAGATTATGAAAGAAAAGTTTCAATAAAGGTTTGATTTAATTTCTAATTTCTAATTAATAATTAATATTATTCGAATTTTAAAAGCACGACCGGCGATCTATTTTTATCGTAACGTTGAATATCAGTTCCATTTTACTGAGACTCTCTATAAGTAGTAAAGGATATACCATACAATGAATGTACCTGCCATAGTATGTATTGCGACATGAAATACCATGAATTATGTGATCCATTTCATAGAAAATTCAAACACGGACGGTGTCTACCCTGCTATTAATGAGCTGACGATAATTTTGGCTGTCATGATGCAATACGTGACTGTCTCTAGTCATAATAGAGTTTAAAATAATCGAATTTAAATTTTAACCGGTTGTAGTAAGATATACATTTATACACAGTCTTGCGCGCAGAATGTTTATAGTTCATTACACGACAGCATATTTTTAGGGCTTTGGCTTTTTTATAACGTACGGTCTGAAGGAGATTAGATGGCGCGTAATACCTTATGTATTTCAGATGTTATTAATATTATTTTTTTTTTTGTTAATAGAATGACATTTGAATGGGGTATAAAATTTACTATATGTATGAAGTCCATGTTCCGAAGTTAGGTAAATTTAGTTCAGTAATTTCGAAAATGTTCCCGCTGTTTACAACTGTTTGCAACGGTAATTGTACATTTTTATTTTGAAAATTAAAAAAAGAATTTGAAGTCGTCTATTCTATTTTTCTTGTTTAGAAATTAATTTTTTTTTGTATAATTTTTTTATGATGTTTTTTTTTTGCGAATTTGAAAAAGATCCTTTATCATAATTCCATTATGTTTTTATAAATTAGATCAATTTCGATAACAACGTAAACGAAGTCATGGGCATAGTATATTTTTAATACTATCTAAATTGCTCGATTGAATTTTTATTTATTTATAAGATGTATAATACAATAGGATATGTACTAAATATATATGAAATATACCTTTCTGTATACTGCATAAAAATTACGAAGCAAAGGAAAAACTGCTTGTAGACATGATTTTGCGTTTCAAATAATTTTTTTTTTAAATGTAACGAACCAAACTATGCATCAGCGGTACGGTAGGTGTGTTCGAGATTTACTTAGCTACTCATATTTTACTTTGTAGAGCAAAACCATAATAATAAATAATAGTCTGTAGCTCTTATTATTATGACAAAAGAAAGTTTTAGGTATATATGAGATATCATCTTCATCGTCATATCAGCTCTGAACCGTCCACTGCTGAACATAGCTGGTTTTGCCAGTAGTTGCCACGCTTGGCAGGTGGATTGGCAACTATTTATATGAAATATGCTGATAGGAAATACCATTTCTAAAATTACTTGAAAGAGGGGGTGAGGGATTGTGAGGAATGGGATTTAAAGCGCCATCGCTAACAATATATCTTCTCAGGTCAATCACCACATGGTACCTCTAGAAACCATCGTAGTTGATTCCTGTTGCATTTACTTTGATGGGCTAACTGACTTGCTTTCATCCTCACTTATCATCTGTCACTAGTGCCCCACTAGAGTCTCACGATGGGCCAATTCTCTTGCTTTCATCTTCACCTATCATCCCCCACTGGTGCTCCGCTAGAGTATAGCTATAGCGCAGACGTGGATACCATTCTATTATTCAACCATTAAAAAAAAATAGTATATAATTGTTTTAACATCGACAACCCTCTTTACTTCGATGGTCAATTAAAAAAAAATCATTATTAATTTCCAGTACGTGTTTGCGATGATCCTGATGTTTGTGTTCCAACTGTCAACGTGCATAGCTGGTTATACACTGCGCAGCAGCACTGTAGCACTCGTGCAACAACAGTTACACAATACCATGCAATTGTACAAAGACGATTTTGTAGTGCAACAAGTCTGGGACGAAGTTCAGTACGATGTAAGTTACCGTATCACATTTTTTTATACTATGAATGCGAAAATGAAAAAAGTCTAAGCAAGACATACAAACTTCAATTTTACAATGTGTTTTCGCATTAAATTCTTAGTATTTTCTTATTTATATTATTTTTAATGCTTCTTTTAATATTAAACAACAATTGTTTTTTTTTATATATTTTTTTTTAATAATCTTAATTAACAATAATTACGAGTAGGTACTGTATGTACGTAGTATAAAGTAAGGAAAAAAGTCTAAGCAAGACATACTATTTCAAATTATTTCCAATTGCCGCAGGATAACATTAACAGTCTCATCGATATTATGAATAATCGGTGCCAATAAGTTTTCCATAACAGAGGAGGCCACACTTTGGGTTAATTTATGCAATTTTTGTACAACCATTTAATTTTAAGTTTAATTGATTAGGCACCTTACTTTATACTACGTACATACAGTACTTACTCGTAATTATTGTTAATTAAGATTATTAAAAAAAATATATATATAAAAAAAAAACAATTGTTGTTTAATATCAAAAAAGCATTTAAAAAATAATATAAATAAGAAAATACTAAGAATTTAATGCGAAAACACATTGTAAAATTGAAGTTTGTATCTGTTGCTTAGACTTTTTTGACGTGTGCATTATAAGAATAAGTCTCTCAGCAGAATTAACTCTCCCGTGAATTCTAAGTTTTTTTTTTATTGGAATAGTAACTATATATATACTGAGGTGTCAAATAAGTTATAAATAAGACGTGATAAAATGCTTAATATTGTAGTTCTCTTTTATCACGTCTTCCTCAGTAGGAAAACATAAAGACTATCAATGGCAGAATTGTAAAAACATAAGACAATAGAAATTCAGTATAAAAATGTAAAAGGCGTATTATGATGGCCAATAATACGCCACATAAGCATAAGCGGTCGTGGGAGGAAACATCTATGAATGAAACCGCGCTGTACGCGCATCCAGGCCTTAAAGTATGCGGGTGAACTATTTGTTGGTAGCTTTTGTTACATTTGTAGTATATTATTCACAGAGTTCTTTTTTATTACTGTAAAAAAATTAAGTAATTTTTACTGGTAATAATTAAAAAATTACGAATAATAATAACCACAAATGATTAACCTCCTCATTTTTGGTTAAATCCAAGTGAATTCATCAAGATGAACCGACTGACCTGCCTTTTCATCTTCACCTATCATTCTTCACAGGTACTCCTTTGGCATATACCGTTACCGTCTATTATAAAAAAAAAATCGAGGCCTAAATATTATTGTATTGCATTCAGATATATTTTAGGAAGTTCAGTAAATCGATCATGAATTGCTTCTTTAGAGTATAATCCCATATCATTGTTTATATTTAAAAAAATTTGTGTTCCTTAGTTTTCATGTTGTGGGGTAACCAACGCCAGTGACTGGTTAGGGCCACTGGATACAGCAACTGAAGGTAGTTTGCCTCTGAGCTGTTGTCCTCACGAGATTGGTTCAGTGGGGACTGCCACATGCACGATTAATACTTCAACTGTATATAAAAATGGATGCTCGGATGCTTTTGGAAATTGGGTGAAAGAGCATGCGGGCTCTATAGGGGTGGCTGGAGTGTTTTTGGTACTTATTCAGGTAAGATGTTACGTCACTTTTATATAATTGTGTTGGTACAGTTTTAATTTTGTATTTACTGTATGTTACCTACATACAGTAAATACAAAATACAAATTACTATAAAGTATTCTAATGTAGGCTAAGCACTCTTGGCATTTATATGTATTATTAATGTAATATTTAAAAAAAAAGGTATAAAAAAATTCAAACTTATTAGATGAAAAGCGGTAGAGTGATTTTCAGCAAGCGCGACGGCTAACTAACTTCAACTTCGATAAACCCTCCAACGTCTTTTTAACTTAGAAACTAACTAAACTTAACTAAAGAAGAAATACATTTAAAAAAAAATTTTTTTTTGAGCTATCAACTTTCTTTAAGACTCGAAACCAAAAGTAATCAGCCGGTAAATAGAGCCATGACCGCTATAGTACTGCTCAAGCGTTGCTGTTCTTAAGAACTAAGATGTTAGACCTACGTATCCCATAATTAGAAATTTTTATCAAATTTTTCCATAAATCACTTTGACTTCAGATCTATAATGATACTAGCATAGTATTCTATTATAATTTATGATACTTAATATTGCATAATACAGAAAAGGTATCTAGCTGCAGAGTAATAGAAATCAGGAATTTAGAAACTCGTTAATGAATAAAATGTTTCATTAAAATTTTTTACCTGTCATGAATTTTTTTTCAAAATTTGAAACCACCGTGAATAAAAACTTGATTTTTTTTACTACTATAGTGGCAAACAAGCATATGCCTTGTCTATGGTAGTCTATGTATGAATGTAACATCAAAGACCTCGTGTATGGATGCATGTAACATCAAAGATGCCATGCGCGCGTCGTCGATCCTTAAGAAACGTGCCCTGCAGTTTCTAGGAAAAACCTCGGCAGAAAAATCATTCCAAAACCTGAAACCGCATTGTGCGTGGCCATTCACACCTTGTTAAAATAATACAAGAAGAACAATGCTCCTAAAATGATATAATTTCACTGCATGTGTTGTGAAATCTTGAAGGAGTTTCATTATGTTTGTTATATGATGTTATTTGAAAATTAAATATTTTAAACTGTATTTAGTTTTACTGTTTTATTTTTTGTAAAATAATCATAATTCACAATTTACAATAAAATTTATTTCGGTTGTTCGAGCACTTTATGACAGTGCTTTTGACGAGGCTTCACCCTCTGTCTACGGATCTGATTCGATATAAACGTTTCATCGTACGCATGAAATTCGAGTTCGAAATTCGAAATTAGGTTTCATGGTACACCCACTAGTCAACTGCTATATTATGATATAATTAACATGATGTCTTATGATTTTTTTATGTTTTCTTTTAGGCATTAGTGGTAGGTGCGGCACTCTGGATGGCCAAGGTATCTCGGGAGGAGCAGTCGGCGTATCCTTAAGGTCCAAGAGATGTTGACAGTCAAGTTAGCTCGTTGATCGATTAGTAAGCCGGCGGTTGAGAACAGTACGCGATAGATTTTGAATTTAAAGAATGAGTGTTGTACATATGTTTTAAATATTAATTACGTATAAATGTTACACAATTGTTTAAGTTAATTACAGTTAAAATAAAATTATAGAATAATATTGTATTATCTTTATATATTTCAGTAGACCAATATATATTACCCATACGTGATAGAGTACTTCAAAGGTTGTCGTCATTTCTTCAAATTGTAAAAGTCAGTATTTTCATAACACAGCATTAGCTACAAAATTGCTTCAGCGGTGTTTACTTTTTGAAAACTAAAAGGTAAAAATTTCGCATTTCTAGAATAAAGTGTATTGTTGTGTTATATTTCGTAAGTAATATTATTTATTAAGAACAAATTTAAGTATAAATCTATATAAATAAATATCAATAGGCCAATGTATGACCTCAATATTTATTTATATTACAATGACAAAGTTTTTGTGAAACATAATATTCAAACATTTCGTTTGACGAATATCTTGTCCTTGTACAGAAAAGAGAAAAAAATTAGTTAAAAGTCTTCAAAAAGCGAGCGAGTGAAAAGGAAAATTTGGTTTCATTTTTTCATTAGTACATCCATGCGAAGCAAAGAAGGGAAACTAGTAAAAAATAAATATAAGTAAATGCTACCTATCTAGTACGATTTAGTATTATTTCAACAGTAATGTAATGAACTAGTACCTCAGGCTAAATCGAAATTATTTATTGATTTACTTAAGAATAAATTGCTTACTTCACTCACAGTTTTCCAAGACGTGTAATCATTCACTATAGATTCACGTTACAATACGACATCATAACCTTCAAGAAAAGAGCATATTCCTTTTTAAAAAAGGCTGGCAGCACACCTGCAATGCTTTTGATGTTGTGGGTGATCATGGATGGCGATAGTCACTTACCATCAGGTGAGCCACATGTTCCTTTGCCCCTATGTTGTAAAAAAAAAAGTTGAATGGCGGCGCAGTCGAAGGTACCAGCATTAAGTAGCAACGGCATGTAGGTACATCCATGTGGGTTCCAGTGATAGTAACTGATCCAAGCCTCAGGGTTGGGTCCGAGGTTTATATAAATAGTGGACTACCTAATACATTACAGCGATGATTATTTGTATACTATATAATATACTATGTGTGTGTGCATGTGAGCGTGTGTGAATGTGTGCGTGTGTGCGTGTGCGCGTGTGCGTGTGTGTGCATGTGCATGTTGTGTGCTTGTGCAGTGCGTGCGAGCGCGTGTGTGTGTGTGTGTGTGTGTGTGTGAGAGAGAGTGTGTATCTGTAAATTTACTAACGTTAGTTTTAAGAATATTGGGACTAATAAATATTAAAGGACCAATGATCCCTGTATATAATAAGGTGGCCTATTCTATACAAGGATCACACGGCAAATCTGGTATGTCCTTATTTAAATTATAATGACAAAAATATTTTTTTCTCCCATTGATAGGAGATATCCATTTTGTAGGTGAGATTTCTTTCGAAATTGGTTCAATGTGTTCTTTTTTTTATTGTAGCAATTTATAATCAATCTTACTGTTAAATTATCTTTCGTTTAGTTTTGAAGATTATAAATACTATATAAAAAGTCTTATGCAGTTTCTAATATAAAAATTATGTTATTGTTTAATCTATGTCGAACTGATAACAGTTTTTTTTTTCATTACCTGCACGAATAGAAGACAAAAGTAGAATATTGTCATCTGCATCTGATTTTTTTAATACGTGATAACGGAATGGTGACCCTGCTTGCGCTTTCGGTTTACGCTGGTGGGGCAACCACTGACAGATGATAGGCGAGGATGAAAGCGTACAGTTAAACCATCGTAACGAAACCCACATAAATTAACTGTGATGGTTTCCAGGGGGAACCGCGTGGAGATCTAGGTATATTGCTAGCAATGGAGTTGAATGGAGGCTTTTTCCCATTACAACGAGGGTTGCAGTGGATAAAGAATGACTGAAAACATAATGATAATGTCAATGTATTGGTGATGAGTATAAAGTAATGGTTATCCCCAGGGGGAAAGGGATTGTTAGTAATGGAGACTGAGAATCCTATTGCTAGCAATATACCCAACCAGGTCGACCTCCTCGCGGTTCTCCCTGGAAACTATCATGGTTAATTCCTGGTGAATTCATCATGATGGGCTAACTGGCCTATTTTCATTCTCATCTATCACCCTTCACTGGTGCTCCACCAGCGAAGGGTGACTATTTCACCCAGCAAAAAAAAAATGGTTATCCTCATCTGGTCTAGACATCAGACTAGTGACTATATAATATTGTCTCTCAAAGAATATTCGACATAACGCTTATTGACTGATTCGTCATACTCATTTTATGTTTATTCCGTACCTTTTTTAAATATATTGAAAATTAAATTTTATCTATTGATAGCAGCAAATACAAGGAAGAGCGAATTGTATGACACATATTTACATTAACGATTTATTGGTTTACAATTACCATTCGTTTTTAAATCTTATTATCAGAGTCATAGGATCTCCAATGTTGCCAGTTACACTAGTCGGCAAACGTTAAAATATGACGTACCGCAACATTCAACTACGTAGAACTAGTTAATTGGCTGTACACTGAAAGAAAAATGTTCTATCAACTATGGTTAGTTCACTGGTACAGCGCGAATAGTTATGTTGTTAGTGGTGTTTCCTATGTAAAAAATCGTCCTTCGCACGGTCTAATAGTCTCTAATTGCGCCGAATACTCGCTACAATAGTAGTAGGTAGAGAATTAGTTTGTGTTATACTTACCTGTGTATAAATAGTATCTGTATCAAAAGTGCCAATTTCATAGAATCCCTGATAACTTATCAGGCTGATAAGCGGGACGTTACCTGTAAATACGCTTCTAGATACAGTACGTTATCGAACGTTGTGTGTTCAAGTACTTTTACAGAGGTATTTTTTTTTTACCTAAGCAACCAGTAAAATGACGCACAGAAACAGAGACGTCGGAATGAACTGCATTAAATATATGCTATTGTGTATAACAGCTATTTTCGTGGTAAGTTAATTTTTCAATAGTTACGTTGAAATTAATTGCTTGTCCATCAAGCTTATCAATGCTTTGTGTGTCATAAATTTGTTATGAGATTACCTACTTTATTAGTATGTCGCAAAGGTGGTTGTCATAAAATTTTATACATATATAAGTAATCTTAACAATGTAAAAATTTTATGTCGTAATTAAAATCATGTATATATGAGGTGATGCCTGCGACTTTGTCCGCGTGGTATTTATTATTCCTGTTTAGTATGTATCGGTGTATGTACCTGCCTATTTATTTGGGAATGCTGGACCAAAATTAACAAATGAAGCGTCGTTCTCACTTTTTGCCTTAGGTCAAAACGTTTTTACTTAAGTAGGTTGTGTACTAAGCTGTACAAGTTACTATAGTTTTTAACTATCCCACGGGAACTCTTTAATTGTCCGTGGTTAAAAGTATCTAAAATGTTAATCGAGAATGGAAGGTGCCACCATGCAAAACTTAATTTTAATCGGTTCAACAGTTTCGAATCTTAGCCCGTACAAACAGACAAACAGATAGAAAAACAAAAAATCTAATCTGGATGTGTTCTGTTTTACTTCTAACACCTTCCTGACTCGGTTTTTAGTGTTTTATTCTATGTACAGACATTCGACCTCTACAGTTTTATTATATGTATACATAGATTGTCTACATTGAGCTAATACATAGATATATACCTAGGTAGGTAATGTCTCATATTTTATAATTATTGTTCATTGTAACGTCACAAATTGGAAAGTCAGTTTATAATAACCCGTGCATCTGAAATTAATTCTCAAGGCGATTCAATTGAGCGTGTGACGTCAGTAAATGTCTATATCTATTTAATATGTTGTCGAAACAATATTACCGTTTGTTGCGATATAATGATTATAAAATATGACGCATAATGCCTTCCAGCTCTAAAACAAGGGGCCTGTAGATAGAGAAACAAGTCAAAGAATATTTGAAAACACAGTCTAGAAAAAATCGTTAAAATTTAATTTCGTAGTCTATCGAACCCGGTATCTCACCTATACGAATCGATGTGACTGTTTAACACTGTGCCAATAGGGGAAAGGGGAGGAAGGGGATTGTTGGCAATTAGATTTAGCGGCCTCTTTGTTAACTAACTTTGTCCATCTTCACGTGCTCCTTTCTAAAAACCACCACGGTTAATCCTGGTGGATTCGTCACGATGAGATCAAATTGACCTTACTCCATTCTCTCCAATCATCACTCACTGTATTATTTTTATCCATGTGAAAAGGAGTTTGTTTATTTGTTATTTATAAGCGTTTTAACTGCTGAACTGATTTCTATGAAATTTGGTATACACGTATTATATGGCATGGAGAAAGAGATAGGCTACTATTTTATTTCGCTCAATGAACATATTCAGATCAGGTGGACGAAGTCGTGTGTTAAAGCTAGTTTTATTATAAAATTGGACAACCACATATCAACAACCACACTGTAAACACCCTGCTTGTGCAATACCACAGATAATATAATACTATACTGGGAAATACAAAATATAGAAAATAACATAGAGGCACTCTGTAAATTACCAGGAACAGGCAACACTAAATACAAAGTTATTTATCAGTAGATATGAAAAAAAAAAAAAAAAAACGGTTCGACTATACGAGATAAGAAGTATTGATCAAATTGTACGATGTGATAATTTATCCAACTCTAGTTTGATATACGAATAGATAGCCCAAATTGTAAGTATATATTATGAAAGGCAGGAATGCATATAAAGATAATTTCGAATAGGTACATATAGGCATTTACAATGCACAAGCTACAATGTGAATGCGAACAAACTGGAATATACTCGTACTAATATAGACTCAAATAGAAAGAGAATCAATATAGAAAATATCCTTCATGTTGAATTAGGATATCGCCTATTTGTGTAACTTTTCGCTTTCTATCTTTTTATCAATGCAAAATTTGTTACAGTTGTTTTATCCATTTTGTTGTAAACTTAACTTTTATTTGAAAAAACTAGTAGTGTTTCTTGTCCGTTTCTCTCGGCTGCAATTGTATTCCGAACTAGGCGGTAGTTTAATGAAAAATGACTATTAAAAAATGTTTATTTATTTATAGTAAAATATGATTATAAAAATATTATTAAGTTTACTTGAATAAAATTCTTTATTATTATCAAATTTCATTTAAATCTGTTTGGCTATTTAAACGTGCTTAAGTAACAGACATAAAAATGTCATTAAGAATTTCACATTTATCATTTTATATTGATAGGCTAATGAGTCATTATAATGTAAAATAGTTGTTATATTTAAATCGATTATGACGGATCTTTTTTAAATCGTAAACGTTAAATTTTAAGGTGGATACGAAATGACAATTATCAATAAGTTTCATTACGATTGAATTCACCTTTTGACGGTGCAAAACTGTCTTTATTAATAAAATAATAAACAATCAAATCATTATATCTATCAAATTAATCATGTTTTGAATAAGCATGACGTAAAATTTGCGTCAACAATAATGACATATCCTGAATTTTTGCCGTTTCTTTGATATGATTTTGGATAATTATTAGGTATTATAATATATTTCATTAAGGTTGACAATGAATATTGACGGTCAATACTAGTGATTGTTAGCGTTTTGTGGGACTCTGAACACGTGTTGGTATTACCAATTAACACTTACTTTTCATTTCATTTCTTTACGCCTTAAAAAGATATTTATTTACATTTTGTTTCTTTCCGTGCAAATAAATTGTATTTGTAATCGAAATCGTTTGTATCTTAGTTACGAAGTGTTTGAAATAAAAAAAAAAAAATAACTGAGTTTTGACAATGAAACATGAGTTGGAAAATAACACAATAATTTTAGAGTTCTTACACTAGTACACAGTCGGGTAGGTTCTGGCGTAGAATAGGCCACCTCTTCCTTTCCCGTGGATATTGTAAGACGCTTATGAAAGAGGGATGGGTCCCTCTTAAAACATCACCAAATGCCAAACTGCGATGGCCAACCCGCCTGCCCAGCGTGGCAATTATTGACAAAACCCCATTTATGGGGAAGGCTATATTCAGGAGTGGATTATGGGGTGATACAACAACACTAGTATGATTTATTGAACTGTTAAGTTTGTATTGGAAATTTTTCAGTTTCACTGATTAAATATTCTTATACAGATATTATATATGGAATGTAGTACTATATTTAACTCAGATTTTTTTTTATACCATAAAGGTGGCAAATAAGCATATAGCCCATCTGATGGTAAATGGTCACTGTAGCCTATAGATGCCAGCAACACTAGGGGCGACACGTGCACGTTGCCGACCTAGAAGAAACTCTAATATTTTGAGTAACCCCATACTGTAGTCTTTAGGGAAAACCTTGGCAGCTCATCCATAGCCTGAGCGTTCATGGGAGAAAAGTTCTCTGAAATTGCGCTGTACGTGACCATTTAGGCTCAAGTGTGTGAGAATGAATTTCTGTCGATGGCGAGCGGTGCGATGATAAAAGGTGGCTGTAGGCATTTCAAACAATTCCTCAGGATACAATCAGAATAGATTCATCATCAAAATAGAGAATAAGAGAATAGAATGTATCATTTCATAATATCCTTGACTGTGCAAAATCAATACTAACGAGTACATATACCATAGGTATTGCATCAATTAATTAATACACGTCGACTTTGTGTTGTGAAGTTATTACCACATTTTAATTATAGTTCTAGGCATTATGATCGATATTGGTAAATGCCCTTTTGTTGATATTTGTGGAAGAGACTTTTGTTTAAGTATAAACAAAAGTCTTTTTGACAAATATAAACAAAAGGGCTTTGTATATATATATATATAATTACTATGTAACATATAAATATATCTGTCACTCCTGTTCCCCATTTTACGGTAGACAGAATTAATGGAACGCCAAATGCTTCGATTCAAACAAGCCTCAACACAACTATGTAGCGATACTGCAAAATAAAATAGCGAATGAAATTAGACATAAATTAATGAATGCGTATTTACTTTTTATATAAATTATATTAATTATAGAGATAAAAAAAAATACTAAATAAAACGGTCGTTTGTCGACGAATTGCTGATAGTATTTGATTAATTTTTATTTTAACAAGCAATTATTTTTGCTTATTGCACTTAGATGTCCATTTCTTCAAATTTCACTCGGCATGCATCTCACATGTACACACACACACACACACACACACACACACACACATTACACCAAACAATTATTTTTAATTGATTCAATCATAAATAATTAGCGTAATGGAAATAAAATGAGAGAGAGTAGTTCTTTAAAAAAGGCGTAAATGTCTTCTCAGATATGCCTTTGTGTAGCTTCATTTGCATTTTGGAATAGTGCATTCATCTCCTCTGTTAAATACACCTATAAATTTAACATTTATGATTGCTTGTCGTTTTTTTAGCTAACGTCCGCGCTGATTATATCTGTGGGCACGACGATATACGCCATCTACCACGATGTCTCCTTCTTCCTGGATGACCACTTCTTCTCGCCGGCCATGTTCGTCATCGTCATTGGCATCATTATGCTGTTCGTATCGCTGTTTGGCTGCATCGGTGCATTGAAGGAGAGCACCTGCTTAGTCAACATTGTAAGTACACACTTCATATTTTCTTTTTATTACCAGTAACATTATAAAAAAAAAAAAAAACATTCCCCTAACCGTCATAAACTAAAGGCCTTTAACATTAGTTTTTCCGTACAATTCCTTCCACGCACTATTACATTACGGAATCAACTCCCAATAGTAGTATTCTCGAACAGATATGATATTAAAATATTAAAAATATATATATTACATGTTAAAAGACTGGCAGCATACCTGCAAAAATTGAGTTTTTACGGCTCTTATTTTTTTTTAAGCTAACATCCCATCAGATAAATAGTTGTAAGCGTAGGCTATAGACATAAACAGTACCATAGCCATCACGGAATATACTGTGACACCCATTGAGCATCATGAATGGTGGTAGTCACTTACCATCACGTGAGTCATGTTCATGCAAACATGCACATATTAGTCCCCCTTATTCATAAAAAGTTCAAACCTTTCATAAACCTATTTTAGCTATAGAATTGTTTGTCTCTTTCTCTGTTGCTAAATGATGAGTTTGAATGAATGTGACAAAACAGTGTAATAGTTAAAATAGATTTACAATAAAGGCCTTCTACAAGAAGGCTTCACTTTTATGAATAAGAGTGTAAGTATATTACTGGCATTCTACAAGAAAAATAACTCGAATGATTTCTCAAGAACTTTGACGTAATAGTAGGTAAACATAAAGAATGTGACGTAGCAACCGTCGGATCATCTACCGCAAGGTTAATCCTTCAAAGAGATTATCTTCATTATATTTTAATGCAATAATTACTGGCTTAGCTTATGTGTGTTTTAGTCTAGAAAACTTGACTAAAATAAGTTACATATTATATAGTTATTACATTAAAATATAATGTGTACTTACGAAATATTTAACAATAAAATTATCTTCATTATTCTCATTTAAGATATTTCTCATACATTTATATATATATTTATGGGTGATAATGGAATGGTAATCCTACCCGTGCTATCGGTATACACCAGTGAAAGTTGATAGGTGAGGATGAAGTTGGTCAGTTAGCCCATCGTGACGAATTCAACAAGAATTGTTCATGATGGTTTCCAGGGGGGAACCAAGTGGAGGTCGACCTGATAGGGGATATTGCTAGCAATGGGGCTGCTAACATGCTATTTGCCATTGCTAACAACTCCTTTTCCCCCTACATTTATATACTAAAGTAAGTATACTAGGTGGAGATATATTTTGTTAAAATATTACTACTAATATTACTCCTATAAATAAATGTATACCATATAAGCTGAAATATATTAGAATTCAGTAAATGTAAAGAGGTCCCGTACGATCCCCCGTATTTTATTTTCTGACCATCCTTCTCTTACTTATATTCGCATATTGTTTTTCCTAGTTCGCAGTAATTCTCAGCATCGTACTGATTCTGGAGCTGGCAGCAGCGATCGCTGCGTACAGCCTCCGTGCGCAGATCAGCGAGATGCTTCACGACAAACTAACCCTCACGATGCCGTTCTATTACAACAACATTGAAGTTCAGGACTCATTCGACTTCATCCAGAGCAGGGTAAGTAGAAATATAATAATAATGAGTGCCGTACAATCACAAGAATCGATTAGTCTTCAAGCTGGGATGGCTGTGTTATGTGGATTCAGGCGACGAACATCTGGAGGCAATTATATTAATATTAATTTTGACACTACATTTTTTTTATACAACTCAGAATGGCAAACAAGCTGACAGCCTACCTGATGGAAAGTGGTAACCGTCGCCTATAGACATGAGCAGTACCATGGACATAACAGAGTATACTGTTTCGCCCATGATACCCCCATGCCTTGCCATTCCTGAGGACTCAGGTGTTATTCCTAAGCTGACGGATCACCTGATGGAAATGGTAACCATCGTCTATCTATCATGAACAGCATTATGGACATACATATTTATAATAAATTGTAAATATATGTTTGCCCCTAGTATACCATAACCTGTTATCATTCCTGAAGGCGAAGCTGTTATGCCTCAATACTCAGTAATTTTACTGCTATCTCCCAACTTTGAAACTGGGGAGAAAGGGGTTGTTAATATTATATAGTAATGGGATCGAACAGTTTCATTACTAGCAATGTACCCTATCAGATCGACCTCCATGCGGTTCCCCCTGGAAACCATCGTAGTTATTTCTCACGGAATTATTTACGATGGGCTAACTGACCTGCTTTCACCCTTATCTATCACCTTTCACTGGTGCCCTGCCAGCGTATACTGATAGTGCAGGCGGGGTTACCATTTCATTTTCACTTATTAAAAAAAAACTTTGAAACCGAAACAAAGCCATAAAAACGCAACTGTTTCACGACAGAAACATCTATAGGACAGAGTTATCCATGCAATGACTTGTATCCTTTGGTAAAAAAAAGTCTCTGGTAAGAGAACCCGTGTATAATTATGGATTCAAAAGTTCCTAATTAATTAAACGATCGTAAAACTAGTTTCCTTAAACAAGAGGTAAATAACCTATTGATACACGTTATCGCTATCGCCCGCATGAAATAGAATGAGACAGTACGTTCGACGTTTTATTTTTTTTCATTAGTACGCTAATGAAAACATATTTAGCGATAGAGCGGTCCTCCTTCAAGTAATATTTTACACGCTAATGTTAGCAAAATGAGTTATAGTTATAATATATGAAACCTGTATAGAATACTTAATAATGTATCTTATCAAGTCGACCTCCTCGTGATCCTCTTATGAGAGCATTGTGTCTGTAATTATCCAGGTTGATTCGGTACGATGGTTTTTTTAACGGATAATAATGGAATGGTAACTCCGTCTGCGCTATCGATATACACTGGCGGGGCACCAGTGAGGGATGATAGGTGAGGATGAAGAGGCAGGTCAGTTAGTCCATCGTGACGAATTCAGTGATAAACTAGTTACGATGATTTCTAGGAGGAACCGCGTGGAGGTTGACCTGCTAGGGAATATTGACAGCGATGAGGACTAACTTCCTCATTGATAACAATTCCTTCCCCTTCCCCCCAGTACGGTGGAATAACTCAGTTTAGCCTAACTGCCTATCTATATGTTCACCTATCATTGCTTACTATGGCGTTTATCATTAGCACGGGTGGGTTGGCCATTCATTAGCATTATTTCATTTTCATCCATTAAAAAAATTTTACACATATGTTTATGCAAATGTTAAACTCAATATTATTTGAGTATCACTAATTTCTAAATACCTAAACTGTTGGGCAGATGAACTGTTGCGGTGTGAACAGTTACCTCGACTGGGGCGAGGTGGAACCTCCAACAGGCGTGTCTGGTATCAGCATCGACAACATAACCGTCCCCAATTCCTGCTGCGCCGCATCTCGCATCGAGGTCATTGGAGATATGGAGGTTGATGAGTGCACAAAATTATATGCAAACGGATGCCTGCCCAGAGTCTTCTACTTGGTGTACCAAAGTGCCGGTCTCTTGGGAGCTGGAGCTATGACTATTGCTTTTATCCAGGTAGGTGTTATTGATAACATTTTTAGTATTAATGTAATGATATTTAATAATAATAATAATATAAGCCTTTATTAAAGAAGTAACATAATAAACAATTCAATGTAATTAATATTCAATCAGTAACTGTTCTGTCACCCCTCTCTTGTCCAAAGACAAAGGTCTCCTCCGGAGTCTTCCATTCTATTCTGTTTTTGGCTATCATTGTCCAAAATACTACTGCTTATATATCTGTAACCTATCGTGTAATAATGTAGTGATATTTAAGAATAAAAAAAGTAAAAATGTTTTATGATGTACGAACACAAAAAATAGTTAATCAACTTAGAATTTATTTTCACCTATATTATTGGCAAATAACATCGGCAAAAACTCACTAACCGCTGTGGTTTCTGCCCTTTGTCGCGTAGGATTAAATATAAGAAAGAAGCGCTTAAGAATAGTGTGTTACATTTCCATTAAGACAGCCAGAAACCTTCACATAGCTTAATTGTAAAATTGATATTTGTAAATATAATAAAATTTGCGAACTAAGAAATAAAGATCGAATTGAAGTTTTACCCATTTTCATGTATTTTTATCGGGCAATTGTTCTAGTTGTAACTAATAATAGTTTGGTTTCTAATACATGCTGCCTGTTAGATTTGTAGGTAATAAAATAGATAATTTGTAATATCTACTCGAAATATAATCATAAGCATTTTTTCTGCCCTGCAATTGGGTATAATTTTACAATTTCTATTCTATTTCGTTGATCATGGATTCATTTTTTTTGTTAAAATAATCCTATAGTTAATTAATGTTCAATTAACCTTCATTATATAACATTTTCAGATCATTGGCATCGTGTTCTCCTTCTCGTTGGCCAGATCTATCCGAAGAGCGAAATCTGAACGTCAACGCAGACTCTGGGAGATTCAGGAACGGGTACTAAATAATGAACAGTCCTCGAAGTTGGGTCACGAAAAAATTGTTCCTGTGGTCTACATCCCATTCCATGGACAAACAACTGCATAAAATAGAATATATTAAATATATATTTCATACTAATTTATGGAATGATGTTAGAAATTGATACTGTCAATAAGACAATGTTACCTACTTAAATATAAAAATAAATAGTAAATGAATTTAAAAATAATAAATACAACATGATAAAAAACTAAAAACAAGAACAAAATGTATACGATGGATTTTTATATATGAAAGAAAATGCAATGATTTTTATATAGATATAATAATAATTTTAATGCAAACAAAGTCTTGATTCAAGATGCAATCAGTATTAATTTTCTAGCGATGTATTGTACATTTGTTGAAGGTAACCATAAATTCTGTTAGCTCTAAAATTTTTTTTAATAACTTGATGATTTCAATCTAAAAGCAATAAACACAAGCTACTTGATAATAATTTAGGTGAAAATAGCTACGTTAATTCTATCGAGTTATTCGGCAATAATGTTTGAATATTTGGGTTTGTAAGTACTATTCTTAATTTTTGAAAAAAACTAAATAAGTAGGTAATTTTAAGGGAAAATATCGTTTAACAGTGCAACAAATTTTTGTATGTTTTAAAATTTTAATATCTTTTACTAAAAATAAAGAAACATATTGTAAATATTGGTACAATAAAGTGTTATTTAAAAATAATAATTATGTATATCCATACCAGATCCCTTGCGGGATAAGCAGAGAGTACCTCATATACATCTTTTATTTCATCCACTTTCATAACTGGTCGCATGCATACATATTGGTATTCAAGACTCCTGACTTTTTATTTAGACAGCATAAGATTTATCTATCTAACGACAATATTTCACTCCAGGGTTTCCTCTTTTTAGAATCTTTATACTCGTACATTTCACTTTTACGTGGTATTTATAATATGCAATTTCGTATTTCAACATTCTTTCATCGGATATACTTACAAACTACTTTGCCTTCTCTCATTTTTACAAACAATCTCAGTTAGATTGTAAAAGTTCTCAAAAATATTTAATAATAATTCAAATTCTTTTACGTTTGAAACTTTTATAAAATTAAATAAATGATAAAATAGAGTTTCTATATTATTATGATAAAATAGTATGAAACCAACCTTGTATTTATCCCATACTATTTTATAAGCTTCTAGATCCTTTTATAAAAAAAAAAAATATTAAAATTGGTTCGCAATTGGTGAAACGCATGATACTCGTATACGCAAGGATTTACACTTTTCAAATACATATATCCGAGTACCTTAATCTCTTTGAACTTGGATACTTTTTTAAAAAATATATATATGTAAGGTATTAAATACACACTACGGAAAAAATAAGAAAAGTATTGATAAGGTCAAATAAGGAAAATAAGCTTGTATAAATTTCTAAATCCAATTTTAGAATTGGCATATTATTGAAACAGGTGTTACGTTTATTTATATGAATATGTAGTTTAATCAAATTAAAAATTATTCTTCCATAAATTTCCATGAAAATAATATGTTAGTTCTGATAGTGAATCATTAGGCACAGTGATAAGATAGGCGGCTCAAGATAACACGAATGAATCAATGTCACACCTAAATATTGTTTGACGGTAAAACAGTGAATGAATGTACTTTTTTTATTATAATATCAATATGTTGCTGAAAATGGATGGATGGTGGTTCAGGATCATAGGCGTATTTTGGGGGGATTAGGGGGATAGGGCAATGAATGATTACAATAATGATTATTATATAAAAAGGTATTTTACACAAAAGTCTGCATGGGCAAATTAGTACTTTTGTCCCAATAATAATTTGTCAACTGAACTACCTTCTCCCTCTTATCGGTATCTCCTCTTATGACCGCTTATCACTCACGACAGAAAATACATAAAATTGAAGAAAGTATCTATGTTTTGTTGAAACACCTCACCTATTCAGTAGGATTTTATTATTTGCGATTATATTATAATCGCTGTGTAGTCCCAGTACAGAATTAGCCATCTCTTAGTAGATATCGTCAGAGGCGACTAAGTGATTGAGTGCTGGGTTTTTTTTAGTGCATGATAATGGAATGATAACCCCGCCTGCACTAACGGTATACGCTGGCGGAGCATCAGTGATGGATGATAGGTGAGAATGAAAATGCATGTCAGCCCATCGTGATGAATACGCTTGGTATTCAGCACGGTGGTTTCCAGGGGAGACCACGGGGAGGTCGACCTGGCAGGGTATATTGCTAGCAATGGGACTGGTAGTCCCCATTACTAACAATCCCTCCCCCCTTGAGTGCTGGGTTAGCAGCGTCCTTCTTTAAACATGACCAAAGCCTAACTGTAGTTGCCAATCTGTTTGGAAAGTGCGCTAACTAAAGGCAAAACCACCGAAAAGGGGAAGGCCTATGTTCAACAGTGGACAATTAATGTCTAAAAGTGGAATATATTATAATATTATTCAGGTTAATAACAAATTACTTTTAACATTATTGTTTGTTTTTAATGGGTGATAATGGAATGGTATTTTCACCCCTCCCACGATATTGGTATACACCGGCGGGGCAACAGTGAAGGATGATAGGTGAGTATGAAGCAGGTCAGTTAGCCCATCGTGACGAATTCAACAAGAATTGTTCACGATGGTTTCCAGGGAGAACCACGTGGAGGTCGACCTGATAGGGCATATTGCTAGCAATGTCGAACTCCATTGCTAACAATCCCTTTCCCCCCATTATTGAGTGTTTGGAGTAGGTATTTATATCCAATACATTACAGGTACATATCTTCACTGTGAAGATAAAGGCAAGACAATAGAAGCGACCAAGGCGATTGAAATGAATAGCAAACTAAATACCTACCTATTCGCTTGAATAGATAAAACTGTCATTAAGAGGATAATATACTCATATTATCGTTTATGAACCTTCTATGACCGTAAAAACGAAACAGCATGCTTCTTATTTCGATGCATACCTACTTACGTACGTAATTTGAAAACCATATTGTGGTAAAGAGACTTATTACGTTTTATTATAAATACATAAAATCATTTGACTTTTACTAAAGGCAAGTAAGACTTTATGCCTGTTACACTAATGTATGTACGTACTACCTTTTACCCGCAACTTTGTTCGTGTGATTGGAATGTGTTCAGTAACTGACATGAAAGTAATCTATATCCTTCTCTATCTCATATAGTAGATGTGTACCAAATTTCATAGTTATTGGATCAGCCGTTAAGGTGATAAGAGTTAAGAAACAAACAAGCAAATTTTTATTTATTTTTCTATTTTTATATTTATTTTCACTTTCACATTTATAATATAAGTAAGAATTTAATGTATCTATGACGTTTATCAGCTAAGAATACAGACCAGAGATGATTTTACTCCATAGATAGACTAGGTAAGTATATTAGAAATACAACTTTAACTGGCTTAGTAGGTAAATGGATAAATTTTATTGATTTAGATATCGTACTGATAATCTTTCAATAACGTGCTATAAATAATTATGGAAGGGAAGAAAACATTCTAAATATATATATGTTCTACCTATATGAAGCCGCAGAGCCGTGTTTAGACAAAGTTAACTACATTTCTAGTTTTGGGGGAAAGGGATTGTTAGTAATGGAGACTGAGAATCCCATTGCTAGCAATATACTCAACCAGGTCGACCTCCTCGCGGTTCCCCCTGGAAACTATCGTGGTTAATTCCTGATGAATTCATCGTGATGGGCTAACTGACCTGTTTTCATTCTTATCGATCACCCTTTACTGGTGCTCCGCCAGCGTATCCCGTTAACGAAGGCGGGGTTACCATACCATTTTCACCCATAAAAAAAAAGCTACATTTCTAGTAGGGGCCGCTTAGAGATTGACCTAAGAGAAGATATTACTAGCAATGGGACTAGTTGATTCCATTGTTACCAATTCAATTGTTAAAAATACCTAACATTCAATTTTAAAGTGGTTAAAGTTGAATTTAAGGTATTTTGGGATTAACTTGGAATATTCTTTTTAATGGATGATAACGGTATGAGAGCCCCGGATACATTATGGGTAAGTATGAAATGCTTATCCCGCCTATGCTTTCGGTAAACGCTGGTGGAGCACCAGTGAGAGATGATAGGTAAAGATGAAAGCAGGAAAATTAGCCTATCGTGACAAATTCTACAAGAATTAACCACGATGGTTTCGAGGGGAAATCGCGTGGAGGTCGACTTGATAAGGCACCTATCAATGAGGCTGTTATACTCTTTTACTAACAATTTCTTTCCCCCAGTCCGGATATTTTTTTTTCTTTTTTTTGATGGATGAAAATGACCCCGCCTGTGCTAACGGGATACGCTGGCGGAGCACCAGTGAAGGGTGATCGATGAGAATGAAAACAGGCCAGTTAGCCCATAATGATGAATTCATCAGGAATTAACCATTATAGTTTCCAGGGGGAACCGCGAGGAGGTCGATCTGGTTGGGTATATTGCTAGCAATAGGATTCTCAGTCTCCATTACTAACAATCCCTTTCCCCCCAGTCCGGAAATTAGGTGCCTTTTAGTAATTTTGACAAATCGGGGGGGGGGGGGTGAGAAAATGTTTCTATCTAGTCATCCAGTCTTTCAGGTCGGCTTTTGCGCAGTTTTGTAACCTACAGTGGTTGATTTGTTTTGAATTGGCCCAGATGGGTTAACTGACCTGTCTTCATTCTTATAATTTTATCCAGAATTGGCACCCCGTCATTGTTTTGTACCGCCGGCATAGACGGATGCACCGCAAAAATAACGTCATATATTTTATAAAGAGACACGTAATTTCGTGCGCAAAATGAACCTCGATAATATACCTATCTATCTAATTATACTTTGATGAATAATAATTAAGAATAACAGTGTCTTTATACAGAAAACTCGCTGCGACTGCGGTAAACATTCGTTATCAGATTCATACATTATCTCTTGATAGTGGCCTATTCTAGATAGAAATTTTCAATTATATTATACGTTTCAGAACGTGTTAGGTGCTTGCTACTGATTGTTGTTTACAAAATGACGTCTCCAATACCAAACAGTCGAATAATGAAGTTTACAAAAACGGAAACGGAATATAATATGAAATCTATAAGATTTCTGTTGCTGACCATAACAACGATGTTCATTGTAAGTAATAAAGTATATATATTTATTTTGGGTTTAGTTTGTGTAGGTACTTTGCAAGTTACATTTGAGTACGTCGTTAGCAATTCAGTAACCTTCTATTGCTGGATATAGGTTTTCCTCTATAAGAGCCATATCCTTATAGTTTATTAATTTTATTCAACTTAGAATGACAAACATGCTGACGGCCCACCTGATGGAAAGTGGTAATCGTCGCCTATAGCCACCATAGAGACTTTTTTACCCATGATACCTCTCATGCATTGCCGTTCCTGAGGACTAAGGTGTATGTAAAAGGTTTTATTTTTCTTTTCTTATTTACCTATATATTATTTATCTTACCATTGCTTTTTTTATTATCGTACTTGGTTCCCTCAATTGCCACTTACGACGTCCTGGAGATTAAAATGAGTAATAATACGTTGGTTGTAATTTTTATGGCAGCCTATTCAAAACATTGTATATATACTTTACCTATAATATTTATTTTACATGACGAATATCTACTGGCATAGATAGGGCTACATGTACTGTCCTTAATCTATGCCCGTTGACGTAGATAGAAGAGATTACAAATTAATTTAGCCCTTGTAAATTCATTGACTCATTGATACTATAAAAAAAAAAAATTATACACTTCTGTAAAAAAGCAAAATTCCACCAAGTTTGATAATCACAACTATTAATGCATTATTGATTCGTCTTCAATGTTTCAGTAATATATTTTTCCCTGCTGAATACATCTGTAGTTTGCTATAGGTTCTGACTTCAGAGCTTATACCTATCGTTCAGAGATTATACCTATCGTTTCCCTGAATATATTTAAGGCAGTTGCTCATTTAATTCTACTTCAAGAGTCTTCTCTTAAAGTAGAAATAAATAAGTAACTAAATATAAAAATCTGACTTGATCCTTAGTTAATCCTTCAACTAATTCCTCGCGCAGATGAGTGTTATTCCACTATCATCCATAAAAAACAAATAGGTAGGTGAATTTGAGGATTATCGTTATCATACTATGGCTGAAGGTGGGGGGGGGGGGGAGTAATGGTGGAGATTGTTAATAAAACAAATTACCAGTCCTATTGACAACAATATATCCCGTCAGGTCGACCTTCACGTGGTCCACTCTTAAAAACTGTCGTGGTAAATTGCAGGTATTTAATACAATGGGCTAACTGACCTGCCTTTTCATTCGCACCTTTCATCCATCACTGGTGCTCCGCCAGCGTATAACGTTAGCACAGGCGGGGCTACCATTCTATTATTATCCATTAAAGGCTATGACTGAAGTACACGTATATGTTAACATAGATACTACTTGTTGTTTTCCTCCTGGATTCTAATATAAATAAGTTCGACACAATCATAACAATAGACTGCCCTTCAAGTAAGATTACTATGAATCATGAGAAGCTAGGCGACCAACATCAGGGAACATCATCCGGAATTATATTATATATATTACAGAAAAAAAAATGTTTCTTCAATCGATCCCAACGAGAATTGAATCGGAGACCTTATTTCCATACTGCAGTGTATCTACCACTGCACCATGGTAATGAAAATGCTATCTTCCCAAGGAAATATTCAGATTACCCGTATTATTGTAGTCTTATAATTTTTCAAGAAATGTATTATCTGAAATATACTCGTACATGTGCCTTTGTTAGATTTTAAAATTCTGTATCAGTAGTTGAGCGCTGAAATACTCAGTAATTTAGGCTCCTCTATATGTATGCAGAATCGCAGATACATTTCTACGTATATATTCAAGTACCTACTATCGTGGATAAAAGTTGTATTGATTAGATATATCTAAAATCTTTTGTCCAATAGCATGACAATGTAAATAAATACGAATCTTATACAAAAATATCTTTATGTTAATTCCCTAACGACATTAGCTGAGAACCGAGTGCCAAAGATCTGTATCCTCCTTCCATACTCACATTATATTACATTTCATAACTCGATTTATGCATGTATGATGATTTTTTTATACTACTGAGAATTATAAACAAGCTGACGGCCCACCTGATGGAAAACGGTAACTGTCGTCTATAGACATGAACAATACCAGGGACATAACAGAGTTTACTGTTTCGCCTATAATACTCCCCATGCGTTGCCATTTCTGAAGACTCAGGCGTTATTCCTCTGTACCCTGTAAATTCACGCCATATCCCACCCTTCAAACCGAAACAGCCATGTAGTCTTGACTCCATGCACAGTTGGGAATAAATTTACAGCCGTCACTCGGATGAATTTGGTTCGTGAATTATATTTTTACGTTACCGGAGAAATAGTCGGTTTATTTAAATGATACTTAATGTTGTTAGTTTTGCCCAGATTCAAAAGGTATTTACTATTCGAAATAGTCTGCGTGACTAAAACCTTCTACAAACATGAGTAAACTAACCAAAGACGCAAAAAGGTAACAAACACCCAGTTTCTTATTCATAACATTAGCACAGTATAATAGGAATTTTTAAGGACTTTACTGTTTTTTTTTTTTCAGATCATCGGAGGCCTAATGATAGTGCTCGGTATTTCGGTATATAGTCACTACCACAGCTTCTCTTACTTCTACGAGAGCACAATGAGTGGCAGATTCATCACACCCTCAGTGCTGAGCGTGTTTCTTGGTCTGGTGCTTTTGCTTGTTACATGTTTTGGCTTCTGTGGCAGTTTGAAGCAAAGCACTTGTATGGTTAATTTTGTAAGTAAATTTAGATTTTTATGAGTACAATAATATAGCCTAATTATTGAATTTTAAATTATTTAAATATTTGATAAACTTATGTAGAAATATTAAATAGATGTATTATCCGTATGGCTTTGGCATAAAATGGGCTACTTTTTCCTTTCCCCTAACTATGGTTGTCAACTCGTTTACCAAGTGTGGCAACTACTGGCAAACCCCTCTAAGGGGGAGGCCTATGTACATAAATAGCATATCTTCGCATTGTTTAATGTAAAATCTAAAGTAAATATCCACAGTGTAGACAGTTACTTTGTCTCTACAGTTACTGGAAATATAATGAAAGAAAGTCATATTTTACAGAAAATGTTGAATGTGGAAGAGAGAGGTGAAGGGACGATCTCCTTGGCCGTCCCACATTGGCGTATTTAGGTATATTTTCTAACGAACCGACACCCTTGTAAAAGGCGTATAAATACTCTCAGAATCTCATTTTTGTGATGTTTCGCTTGCATCCTGGGACTGGTACCATTTATTTTTTAGAATTGGCTGTTCGTTAGTCTAAATACCTCTATGCCAAGGAATAAAAGGATGGACTGTACGAAAGTCGATTACGGATGTCTTGGATACCATATAAAAGAAGTGTGACTAATCGTATACTTAATTGCCAATGTTATATTTTTATTTTCAGTACGCACTGTTACTTGGTTTCATCCTATTAATTAAGTTGATCATCGTCATTCTGGCATTCACAATAGATGCAGAGACAATGATGAATTACATATATTTCCCAATAGATTATTATGAAGCCGACATTGAAATTCAAGCTGAAATAAATAGTTTACAAACGACGGTAAGTTATGGAGATAAAGTATTTTCAACTTATTTTGTTGCTATACTTACATAATGCCGTGTGGTTCCCGGTATAGAATGGGCCACCCCTTCCTTTCCCGTGGGTATCATAAAGAGGCGACTGAAAGAACTTAATGGTTAAGGAATAGGCAGCAGCGTCCCTCTTAAAACATCACCATGAACCTAACTGCGGTTGACAACCCGCCTGCCATGCGTGGCAATTACTAGCAAAACCCCCTTATGGGAGAGGCTTATATTCAGCAATAGACAACTAATATGATACCTTTACAATAATAAGCGCTTCATAATCACACCAACTTAACAGTCGAAAGATAGGCAGTAGCGTCCTTCTTAAAATATCTATAAGTCTAAATACGATTGCCAACACACCTGCCCAGCATGGAAACTGCTGGCAATCTCTCCTTATGGGGGAAGCCTGTGTTCAGCAGCGAACAGTTAACGGCTGTTATGATGATGAATCACACCTATTGCCTATTCCTCAAGTGTTACATTGTCTAGTGTCTTATAAGACATCCTGTGTTAAATAACGCACATTAGCGTATTCAATATTATTTTTCCTAAAAAAAATCTCTGAAAAGGGGGCTTGGTCCGTTAAAAAAGACATATTACTTAGATATGTCTTTTGCACTTAGTTAAAACTCCACTTGCAACCTGGGATGGGCACAAGACAATTTTGCGGTGGGCACGACTTTCCATCTCTGGCAACAAATCAGTTGTAGCACAAACCAAAACACCAAGACCCGAGCTAATGCAAAAGAGTTCATTTCCTGTATTGGCCTGATTGGGAGTCGAATCCGGACCTTTTTTTATGTACAAAAAATGCTCTTATCACAAATATGGCACATTATATTAATGTGATAAATTTTTTTTTAGCTAAACTGTTGCGGTAGCAGTTCTTACCTTGATTACGCTGGTATGGAACTATCTGGTAACGAAACGGTTATGTACAAAAGTAGTACTGAAAACGAAATCATCTTCATGGATATTCCAAAAAGTTGTTGTATTATTGCGGACGGTAACATGTGTTTGAGGGTGCGATCGATAGGCTGCAAGAGGGCGCTGATCGGTGCTTTGGTACAGAACGCCAGCGTGCTGGGTGTTTTGGGTGTCTCAGTAATGTTCATAATGGTATGTTTATTTTTATGAATGCAAATATGGAATTGTAGTCTTGCTTGTGGTATAGTAGTTACGCTGGTGTGTGCCAGTGAGGGATAAGTGAGGACGAAGTTAGGTCAGTTGGTCCATCGGGGTGAATTCACCAAGAATAAATGCACAGTTTCCAAGGAGAATTACGTAAAGACCAGCTTAAAAGAACATATATTAATTACTTCAATACGCTAAAATCTTCTCTTACACAGACCAATAGAAACAAATGGTAATAAGTACTGCCTTTTAGCCATGTAGGTTCTGGCATAGAATGGGCCACCTCTTTCTTTTCCGTAGGTATCGTAAGAGGCGAAGGGACGGGCAGCAGCGTTCCTCTTAAAACATCACCAAAAATCAAATCAAACTGCGGTTGCCAATCCGCTTGCCAAGCGTGGTAACTACTGGCAATATTCTTTATGGGGAAGGCTATGTTCAGCATTGGACAGTAACAACTGATACAACAACAATTGCCTTTTACTTAACGGCTAGGTTAATGTAGTAAAATCCCATTCGTGTTTCAACCGTAAAGCAGTTGTGTTTGCATGGCTGTGTTTCGGTTTGAAGGGTGGAATATGGTGTAAATTTACAGGGTACGGAGGAATAACACCTGAGTCCTCAGGAAGTGCAACGCATGGGGGGTATAAGGGGCGAAACAGTATACTCTGTTATGTCCATGGTACTGCTCATGTCTATAGGCGACGGTTACCACTTTCCGTCAGGTAGGCCGTCAGTTTGTTTGCCATTCTAAGTTGTATAAAAAAAAGTTTATTGATATTAAACCAGACGGGGTTTCTAATTGTCTTACTGATAATATAATAAAACTGTATCAAGATGACGTCTGTACATGGGAGATAATTAAGAAAAATTGATATGACGGGATTTAATAAGATCAATAACAGTCAATACAAATTTTAGAAATTTTGTCTGTCTGTTCGTATATTTGTTTCGGCATCACGCAAAGATTACTGCGCCTAATTGGATACGATTTTCACAGTTATGTTCTTGAAGGTCGAATTTAAAATGTGGTATATATTTTATTTTGATATGCCATTAGAAATAGACTATCTAATTGGTTTTTCTACTTTAGAAATCCACATAGCTAACGTACTACGTTTATAATGTAAGGAAAATTTACGTAATAAATTTCCACGTGGTCCCGGCATAAAATGGGCCACCCTGTCAAACGTGGTAACTACTGGCAAAATCCTCCCTTATGGAGGCGTCCCATCAGCAGTGGACAGTTGATGGTCTTGTTAATTCTTTTTTAAATACAATTTTTTTAAAGAACTTAGAATCGAAATATAGCTGAATCAATTAAGCTCTATTGCACTTTATTTAGGGCTAAAAATTTACACGTAATATCTTGCATGTAAGACACGAAGTAGCAGTATTTATTACATTAATTCATATCTATAGACATTATGTAACGGGAAATATCTAATTAACTGTCAAATTGTGTTTATATTTGCAGTTACTTGGAATAGTGTTTGCGTTGCTGTTGGCACGGTCCATTAGAAAATACAAAAGTGAGAAAATCATGTTACAGTGGAAAATAAGGGAGCAAATAATTATGGCTCGCGAGAAAGAACTCCAGAAGACAGATGACAACCAAACTATGTATATCACTGCACCGGAGTCTAGTGTGGCTTAATGTTTTAACTAATTTTAGTTCTTTTTAAGTAGAATTCCGTCTATAAATCCTCTCTACGTGTCACAGCTGTTACAAAGTTGAGGTACTGTGTAACTTTTTTATGAGGGGATCTCAAAACAATGTTACATACGAAGATATATAGAACAAATGTCGTCTTGTAATTATATTGTGATATCAATGTATTGTACTATTATGATTTATCATAATTAAAAGAGAATATATATTGTTAAATATATTTCATTGCTCTTCATTATTGTATCTATTTTACCCCCACTTATTAATATATGTATCTATGTATCAACTCATACAAAAAATGTGGCAAGTAATGAATCCACAGCTTAGTTTGTATGACTAGGATATGTTATTACCGGATATTATTATTCACTGGATTAAAGGTAGCCTATATTCTTCTCCATCCCATATAGAATATGTATACAAAATTTCATAGTGATTAGTTAAGCTGTTAAGATACTAAGAGGTAACAAATAAACAAAACCCTCACTTCCACATTTATAATATTTGTATAAGCATTGACACAAATACATTAAGAAGTTAGTAATTTAGAATTATTTCCTTCAATTCTGCTACCATTAGTATGTGTATGACTGCCAACATTTCAAGTTTAACTATTATTATCAGTAGATTTACAAGCTTCTATATTAGTCATCAACCTCTGACCGTTATTCAATCCATGCATATGTTGCATTTTGATATGTGTTTCATCTCTCAAGGCATCTTCAAACAAATTGATAGATCGTTGATCGGATCCTACTGTTGTTCATTCTGTAACTAGACTGCTAATTAATAAACCATAATAACACCTAGTTTAGTAAAATATTTAGAAGTACTTTTAATAAAGAATTTAATTTTCTCTAAGCACAGTTGGCATATCGATCTTTGTGATCCCAAAATAATTTTGCCTTCTCTCTAATTTCATCACCAATGTCTTTGTGCTGTCCATGCTTAAGGTAGGGTGGTGTGAATTCTCGATAAGCCAAGCACACTCTGCGAGATGTTATGTCTTCACGGATCACACAATGTTCCCAGTGATATCTTGGTTCTCCATATAGAACTAAAAGTGATCTCCTGAAAAGAAGTTATTTATATATTAATATGTGAGTCCTAAAATTATTTTTTACTAACCAATTGCCACAGCTTTACTAGTGTGAATAATTGATAGTTAAGATACAACTTATTCATGTATCAAATTATGTTCAAATTTGTTCAGTAATTTAAACATGATTGAATAACAAAGATACAAACATTTTTACAAAGTTTTACTATTTACACATTACATTATTTAAAAAAAATGAAAATAATTCATTTGTTACTTGGTAATTACTACCATGCAATTTAGCACTCATCTAAAAATTTTGCTGAATTATTTAATGGTCCCTTACATATTTTGGTATAAACTAACAAATCAATTTGGTGTTTATGCCAATGCTATGTGAAACATCATAAAACAATTCTTTTCTTTTTGTTAATATTACTTGTTAAAAAAATTGAAATAATATACCCACCTAGGCATAGGTATCCTTACTATAACATCTCTTTCTCTGGTTGGTTTATTAGCTTCCAGGGCTGTTTCCTCTATTCCATTCGTGATAATTCCATCAGTACTAACAATAGGTGGATACTGTTTTGCACATAGAAGGTTGTATTTATTGATATCTCCATAGTATCGAGTCATTGTCAGCACAGAGTCTGATAAACAGTTTACAGTAACAATCCGTTCACCCCATATCCAACAGTCATCTATATGGGGGTCTATTGATGCTCCCTTAGCAGGGTTATATTCAAGAGAACATTGCTCGATTACTTCATAACCTTTCAAAAGAACCACAGACTCGAATCTTTGTTGTAGGAATTTAGAAAACTCTGGAAAACCATCAAAGCTGCCAGCAACAATTTTTTTCTTTTTAAAATTAGTTTTTGGACCAAAGTTCTGTTTTCGCCGACCACTTTGTGATATATCCCATGGCACTTCATCTATATTCTTCATTAAAAACCTTTCTTCTTCTTCGCTGATAAAGTCCATTTGTATATAAACACCAGGGAATTCAATACTATCTCCTTCATGGTCAGGGTGTTGTTTGTATATATTCATGTCCCAACCTTTCCATGCTTTATTGCAAAACGGGCAATACACATATCCTATGTTTTTGTCGAATTCTAGCTGTAGTTTTAAATTTTCAGCACCGTATTCAGTTTCACATATTAAACATGTTCTACAACCTTTGCAACCACATGGACGTGGTTTTGTCATGATTCGTTATTATTATAAGCACTAAATTACTAGTAAATACACACAAATAAAACGGAACCTGCTAGGAAATCGTGATCGCTATCTGAAATAATAGAAGTTCAAAATTTCTGAAATTCACCAAATTTACAAAACAGTGAATGTTATTATGTCATACGTTATACGTCAATGTCAAAGTATAACCAAGCAATGGTATGCATTGTCAATTATTGGCCCTGTAAACGATCATGTCTGTAGTTTTGTGTTACTATCTCAAATATTTAAATATATTTTATACTTTAGCTTGTTCTTAGTAATTTAGAATGGTAATATATTTTTTTAATATTATTATTTAATATTAATATTAAAAAATATATTATATAATAGTCTTTCAATTATGAAACATTTTATTTTTGTCATATACTAGAATACTAAGTCAAAACTTGTTTCTGGGAAGAGATATTATCGGGTTTTACGATCATTGGATTTTTTAAAATAAATAACTAGGTTGCTATTATATGCATATATCATATGATACCTTCACGCATCATGGAGCAGAACATTCTGTTGTGCCCATGGTTAAGGTATTGCGAAGTTTCAGTGTGTTTCTTGGTGTTGCGGTGGTATAGGTATATGTTATGGTGTACTTGTATATAGTCGTTGGTTACCACTTTCCACCAGTGATGCCCATTGTGTTATTTATGACAGTTATCTACTCAATTGTTTTTAATAAGTGGTCGTAGTTTTTTTTATATACAGATAGCAAACAAACATGGGATTACCAGGCGAGAAGTCATCGCCGCCCATGAGCACTCGCAATACCGGAGAAATTATAAGCGTGCTGGCAAACTTGTAAAAATGAGTATACTCTTTTGTTGAAAGTTATGATGTCGTATTTATTCGGAAATAGGTAATACTGCTGCTGGAAGTTAATTCCAAAGCGTGATTGTGCATAGAGGGAAAAAAATAAAAAAAAAACGCACAGTGGTAAGCCACCACAAATTAAAGTTTTACTAATCATCTAGCCTAACCATATATACAGAGAGTTAGGATGGAATTTTAGTTTGTGGCGGGTTATACGATGGTGAAATTCAGCAGCGACAATTCAATTCCTCAGAATAATCCCAAAAATTTTAGGTAAATTACATCAAACATACAAAGTTAAATAAATAAAACACTTATATAATAATATGAATTCAAAACTTTATTTATGACATCAGTTAATGAGACAAAATATATTGATCCCCGAATCAACTATTTGTTTAATTTTCATGAATTTTAATTTATAAATATTTAGGTAGTATATCTAATAGACGTGCTTATATTATTGATCATTCTTTATTTAAATAAAATAGGTACATAATCAAAAACAAATTAAACAACAAATATTTACAATGAAATAGGTACATTGGACTAGAACATGTAATCAAGTAATTAAACCTTATCACTACGTACCTAACTTTGAGGGCTGTAGTGTTGTATTTTATAGTATAGCAGTGCCTTACTATTGTAAGGTCTCAGATTCAACTTTTGGTGTACGATCTACCAAAGATCATAGGCGTATTAAAAAAGTGGGCCAGATGGGCTGTGCCCACTCCGGAATCGTCTGGTGTCCACCTTAGGATCAGGGGCGGAATTTTCAGTTATGAAAAATAACTCTGTAATATTTCATACCGAAATGATATCGAATTATTTAACAATAATTGTGATCAAGATATGTACCTACCTGTTATATTTTACAAAAAAAAATGTAATGACTAAATAGGTTTTTATCCAGTGCAACTCAATATAGTTTAGTTTTATATAGATATCTATACATATATATTTCTCTTCAACAACACAATATTTACTGCATTGTTTACTCTCTTTCGTTAGCATTAAATCGTTTTTTGCAAAACAATATAACATTTTGTAATCATTATATTTATTATGTATATAAGTATGTTGTGTATAATTGTGCAATATTTACTTTATTGAATTACGGCCATTATTTTACTTACCTAACTACTTCATTGGTTACTACAGCTACGTAAAAATGTGATAAAATGTAAAAAGTGTTACATTATGTAGTGTTGAACTGATAACATAGTAATTTATCACTAATAATAACAATAGTAGTGAAATGTTTAAATTTGATAGTATAAATGTCACAATATTCTGTGATTCCCATCGTTTCAATTCAACATCTTTTAAGAGTGTTCTGCTAGAGCAGGTAAACACTTTTTCTCCTTCAAAAAAGCCATGAGTCAAAAAACGACGTAGTTCAAAATTTTAAGTTGTTTTTTTTTTGACTCGTGTCTTTTTAAAAAGGAGTTCAGTTTCAAACGGATTTCGATTTCAAACTAAAGTTGTGACAATTTAAAAAAAATCATGTCTCAGGTTCTTTATATAAAAAATATATGGATGGGATGTTTATTACATTATTAGGGCTTCGTTAAAAATGAAAAATATATCTAGGTTTAAAAAAAAATATAGCGAAAGCTTAATATTACGATCGTTATAAAAACAGTAATTTTCGTGGCCAGCCACATTACGAAACAAACACAAATATATACGAATTTATGGTAAATACTAATTGTCTACAGTTTTGTGCATTTATTATTTATTTATTATATTTTATTACTTACATAATACATATATTTAAATATTAATTAAAAATGTATCCGTGAAAATTTTACATGGAAGTTAAATAAATACGCCTTTACTAAAGTTTATGGTTGTATCGAAAAAAATTCTTTTGTTCAAATACAACTCAACACGCTACGACTAAGTAAAAATAGTTGATTAAAATTTTTATTAATAAAAAAAAACAGTATCTCCGTCTATTTAAAATTTAAACACCGTGATTAAATCTGTCTGATTTTATAATATTATGTTTTATTCAGAATAGATAATTATTACAAATCAGCACCAAATACGCACATCACATATCCATACCCTATTAATAAGGCCAATATTGCAATTTAAGTAAATAATCCAATAGTTAATAATAATAATATATATATTTTAATGTAATAACTACTGGTTTATTTCACGTGCAATTTGGTCGCGTGCACGAGCCTGACTGAACTTCAGTCACGGCCTTTTAACTCTAAAGGACCCAAATGGTTCCGAAACTAGTCGAGCTTTCTCGACCCAAACTGCACGTAAATTAAACCGGTAATTATTACATTAAAATGTAATATATATTCACGAAACATTTAACAATATAATAATAGTTTATTATGTTTCAGCGTGATCTACATATAAATTTATTAATGCGATTAATTATGGCAGTGAGTAATATAGGTACTTTGATTAATACCTATCTTCAATTCAACAGTAAATTTCACTTTCTCGAGATCAAATTGGTGACTTATTTTTAAGGGATTTGTGTATACAACATTACATAGATGTATCCTGAAATATTATATTTTGTCTCTTTCTTTGAATAAACAATAGAGACTGTTGCATTGGTGTATAGTCATGTCCGTGTTCTATTTAATATGTGTGTGTGTGTGTCTATATCATCACTTAGAAGTCGTGAGTAATATTAAGGTGGAGTTAGATCTAGACTAACCGAGCGAATGTTCGTTTATCTTCCACAATATTTGTTTATGCTTTAGTTGCAATACAATGGAGTGATTATAAACCCTTTGGATGTAAACTGATGGCCCAATAATGAAAAGTAGCAGCCGTCGTCTATAGACATCATAGAACACCTGTCCATGGTACTCTAAATGCACTTCTTGCTTTTTACTGTAATCCTAAGAACGTAAGGATGTTCCAATATCATCGGTGTAAACTTACCTATATGCTACTTCTTTTTCTGTGCTCTTGCTCTAGTCTAACTCCAACTTTATGCGATTAATTCAGTACATTACCAATCGATACGTAATCGATACTTTCAATCGAGCTCCTCGAAGTCGAGCACCCTGAAGGTAGAGCGGGGGTGGAGCGCGGGCGGCGGCGGGGAGGGTGTGGGGGGCGCCACCACGACGGCTGGCGGGCGCAGTCCCGTCGCCTCCTGATGCTAGTCGTCCACCAGCTCCCACAGCATCAGCGCGGCGTCCTGGCCCCCGGCGCTCACCATGCACCGGTCGTTAAACAAGAACCGAGCGCAGTACAGAGCACCGCTGTACACTTTTGTTTCGTTGTACTCAGCTTTCGGACTGGCGCAGGGATATCTGGAATTTTTATATATAATTTTAGCATGTGGACATTTTTATTGCGTACTCCAAGAAAACCGTCTTGTTTCTTTTTAAAAAAAATACAGTCGAATATAGAACCTTTTTCCTTCTTTTTAGTAGGTTAAAAAGGAAAATCAAGTTAGTGGGGAAGGCACTTGGTTGCTAGTAACGGACTAGGTTTCTCATTGCTAGCAATATACCCTATCAGGGTCAGATTGACCTCCATACAGTCACCAGAAACTATCGTGGTTAAATTTAGTTGAATTGACTATGACGGATCAAATGACCTGAATTCAAAATTACATGTCATCACTCATTGGTGTCCCGCGAGCGTATTTCGTTAACGTAGTCGAAAAAAAAACAATCAGGGCTTCCAAGAGTGTGTGTCTTATACAAGTAAGTGTATATGAATTTGCAGCAACAACTTACGCGGATGGTGGAAAAAAAGATATATTTTTTTTATGGATGATAATGGAATAGTAACCTCACCTGCGCTCTCGGTATACACCGGCGAGGCACCAGTGAAGGATGATAGGTGAGGATGAAGCAGGTCGGTTAGCCCATCGTGACGAATTCAACAAGAATTGTTCACGATGGTTTACAGGGGGAACCACATGGAGGTCGACCTAATAAGGCATATTGCTAGCAATGAGGCTGTCAAACTCCATTGCTAACAATCCCTTCCCCCCCCCCCCCTCCAAAAAAAAGAAGATATTATGATCTTCTTATTAGTATCATATTTTGACGACAATGTCGTATTCACAAAGGTATTTATTTTTTGTCCTGTTTCTAATGCTGTCGGCTGCAGATGGATTTGAAAGTTCATAAGGGCAAGTGAGTGGAGTGTTACTTCAATCCAGTCTATTCATGCTTATTTTCTAAAGTCGGTACTATATCCGAATTAAAGTACGTAATTATCTTACTGACCTGAACAAGCGCAAGTATCCATCGGTGTCGCCACTAATTAGCAAATCGTGGGCGGCTGACCGACTTGCGGTCGATATCAATGTTGTCATTGGATAGAATCGGTTATTCCACATTCCTGCAGGAAAGAGGGAACATTAAAAATACCTACTTAGAAAGGATATTTCCTAACTTGTATGCTTTCGATTATAATGGCAAAATCATCCTAATATTTCTCATTAGACTATTATCCGATGTCTTTATACATATGTATCGAGAAATTAATGAAGTCACTGTGTTTTTGTCGCTTCCAACAATTGTTTCGACTTCATGTCAATTCCTCGCACTATGCGAGGCCAGACGCAAAGCGCCAAACGCCCTATAGATTATATTGTGTAATACCTACCTGACACAAGGAATCCAACAGTGGAATTGTAGGTAGACCATTTAACATCCTTCATCGCTATAGGGCTCTTTTCTGGCGATAAAGCCTTGATATCCCCTGTAAGAGTATTAAAAAGGATCTAACGTTAAAAATTACGTAAGAATAAAAATATTTTTTAATCAAGTAAACATAGGCCTTTTGAATTATGTTTTTTTTTTATAATGATAGTTTAGACGAATTGTGCTTGACTGAGGTCTGAATCTAGAAATCCCAAGTTCCAATCACAAAGTCTGGGATTATTGAATTTTTCAAATTCATATTTGGATTATTTAAAATACTTCTGAAAGCACGTAAAACTGTCGTATTATTATTATTTTTGTGTATCCCATTGTTCAGTAAGTCTCTTTAGAGACCTCGTAAAACTGAGGCGGTTTAAAACCTTTAACCAGAGGGAGATTTTCTACAAAAGTCGATTGCTTAGGTACCTCTGTCCCATTCGTGTTTCAACCGTGAAGCAGTTGTGTTTGCATGACTGTGTTTCGGTTTGAAGGGTGGGATATGGCGTGAATTTACTGGGTACAGAATGGAATAACACCTGAGTCCTCAGGAATGGCAACGCATGGGAGGTATCATGGGCGAAACAGTATACTCTGTTATGTCCATGGTACTGCTCATGTCTATAGGCGACGGTTACCACTTTCCATCAGGTGGGCCGTCAGCTTGTTTGCCATTCTAAGTTGTATAAAAAACTATTGGGACAAAGGGAGGTTTTGTAAAAAGTCGTCTCCTTTGAGTACTTCTATTCCACTCCTTGAGGAGCTTCGCTTGTGTAACTGTGTGTATTATGAGGGGCTTGACGTATATCATAGTAAGTGACGTATATATACAGTTATTACTATGGTGTTGCTTATATCAAGAAGCGACGGGTTCATTTTTTATCAAACGTGCCGTCAGTTTCATTTCCATTCTAAATTATGTAAAAAGAAACTGATGTTATTAGCCATGTGGAATACAGGCCACATATATTATTTATAGCTATATATTATTATTTACAAAATTCGAAATTGACACGCATATCTATTGTTTCCTTTTGGCTTTCCTTTACGGCCCTAGTCTTGTAAGTTCCTTTGACTATTATATACATATTTCCAATTTCCATTCTTGGTTTCCTTTGTCGCCCACAAGCCAGAAAGCGCTTATGAGGATTGGCACTGTTATTAGAGATACGATACTATGCAGGTCACTAGTTACTACTTTCCATCAGAGGGGCCGTCAGCTTGTTTGTCAATTTAAGTATCATAAAAAAGTTGAGTACTTACAAAATGCCAAATCATAATCAGCCGTAACTGTTTGTAAGTAATTTCCGTCCAAGCTCCAGTCGAGTTGCACAAGCGGCTGCGCACCTCGGATTTTATTCGATTTCTTATAAGAGAAACCGTCTCGCGACACGCGGAATAAGTATATGCTGCCATTTTGTGATCCAATAGCTAGAGTGTCGCCGGCTGAAATTAATATCTTTTTTTAGAAAAAACAAATTGGCAACTAACACCTTACACCAACAAAGTACTTTAACTTTTTCTATAATATCAGTATACAAAATATATTTAAAAAACATGTACCAAAACGATTGTACCTTAATTCTTTCTATTGTATAATATAAATAAAAAAATAAAGAAGTGTTTTCCAAAAAAAAAAGAATCTTAACTTAAATAAAAACATTTTCTTATCATTAAACCTTTTCCACACATAAAATAGAATACACACAAAAATACATCAATTTAAGAAGTTCTTTTATTTAAAGTTTACTAAAAATTTATTAACTATTAAGATACATATAGATATATGTATTTTAAAACTGATTCACATTCTAAGAAGACTCGGTCTGGTATGGAATAGAAGGTGATGGTTCAAATAGTTCACGCAGTTCTAAGGACTGTGAAGATTTCATAGCGCTTCGGATAATAATTTGGGATCTTTGTGCCTAATTATTGGCACTTTGTTAATAAACGTACTTCTATCTTCACGACTCAGCATTTATGTACCTCTCATGTATCATGTAACATCTATACGAGTTATTTGTTTGCCAGTGAGAAATGAGCGCCATTTAGGTTCCGGCATAGAAATTGGATTCTCTTTTGCGCGCTTAGCCTCTCATTTGGGTCGTTGTGCGTAAGATTCCGGCATAGAATAGGCCACCCCTTCCTTTCCCGTGGGTGTCGTAAGAGGCGACAATGGGAGCTTATGGTATAAGGATGGGCAGCAGTGTCCCTCTTAAAACATCACCAAAGCTAAACTGCGGTTGCCAACCCTCCTGCCAAGCGTGGTAACTTTTGGCAAACCCCCTATTATAGAGGAGGGGGGGCTATGTACAGCAATGGATAGTTAACTGGCTATAAACTGGCTGATACAACAATAACAAGAAATGATTACCTGAGTTATACTGCAACGTATTGAGCGGGGAGCCGCACACCCTGAGCGTGGCGACGTGTGCGCCCGCGTCCGCGTTGAGCACGACCAGGTGGCCCTCCGTGCTGCCCGCGGCCAGCGCGCCGCCGCCCGGGTGCCACGCCAGCGACACGCATTCGTAACCCACCTGGTACACATAAATAACCTATAGCTTATTTTTTTTTATACTACTTAGAATGGCAAACAAGCTAACGGCCCACCTGACGGAAACTGGTAACCGTCGCCTATACACATGAGCAGTACCATGGACATAACAGAGTATACTGTTTCGCCCATGAAACCCCCATGCGTTGCCATTCCTGAGGACTCAGGTGTTATTTCTCTGTACCCAGTAAATTCACGCCATATCCCACCCTTCAAACCGAAACACAGTCATGCAAACACAACTGCTTCACGGTTGAAACACGAATGGGACAGAGGTACCCAAGCAATCGACTTTTGTACAAAGTCTCCCTCTGGTAAATTAGATTATATAGATAGAGTATCGAGCCTCAAAAACGGGTCAAGTTTTAGTCAGTTAATTGTCAAATTTGCTAATTCGTTTAAGTTATCATAAATATTTTACTAAATTAGGTATTATTTTCCGAAAGTCTTTATTAGTGAAATTAATTGTAATTGACTAATATGTAAGGTCGTGAAAATTCTACTGATAAAAATAAAAGGCAATCTTCAAATGCGAGCAGTCGAATAAATACTAATGATAGTGGAATTAAACAAAATAATTATAATCGACTAATTAGCTCAAAAAACATTCTATAAATGAAATAAATAGTAACGATCAATTCGTTCATTCAATTAATTAATCGATTTTTGTCTTACACTACTACTGTTGGTCATCAGTCCGCTGATGTCCAACATTAGCCATCAGTCTTACCTGTGTAGCGAATACTAGCTTGTGACCTTTCCATAGAGCAATATTTTTGTCATGGCCGGCTGTGGCAAACATCTCGTCATCAGGATGTACAGCGAGTCCGATCAGTTGCTTGTAGTGTCCGAATAGTACCTAAAATCGAATTAATTCGATTAACAGGGACTGATTTGATTAAATTTGTTATAATGAATTGTTAATAACGAATAGATGTTAAATTGGAGTGATGATTAAAGTTGGTTAATTACGATTTATTCGAAATGATTAATGTAAATATTTATCATTTCGAATTTATCTTGTCTATTTTTTTTTTTTTACGCAAAGTTCTTTGTGGGTTAGGTAGAGAGAACCGAGCGCCAAAGGTCCCTTTCCTTTCATACATACATCACTAAGTTTCTGCACTCTCATCTTTTGTACAACGCCCGTTCGGGAAGTTTTCGATTACTCCTTCAGAATGTTCAATTTACATTAAAAAAAAAAAACAAATGATAACTAATAATAACAGATCCGTCCATCAGTGATTTTGCACGATCCGTGAAAGTACATTATTAATATAACCATAGAAATTGAAAGGTCATTGCACTGATTTGTTAAAATTCACGATCCATCAATGTGAGAATGCTTACATGTATTCATTCAATTACAATACATACCTGATTGAATCGCCTTTGTAGAGATCCTTCCATTATGTTATTTCTAGTGGTACCTACATACAAATTGCCATCGTTACGTCCCGGTCTTTGAGGATAAATACTCCGAACACCACCAGCAGACTCCGGCAGCTGAAACATTTTTATAGGTAATTATGGAATGGTAATTTCGCCTACGGTATTAGTATGTGCTAGCGGGATATCAATGAGCGATGGTAAGGAAGGATAAAATCAGATGAGTTGTTAGCATATCGTGATGAATTCACCAGAAATAAACCACGACGGTTTTCAGAGGGAATTTAATGGACTATATCTAACAAAAAGTATCCACTTCTAAAAACCCCATTCAACCAATTGAAATATGTTTAATTACAAATACTGCCTTTCGTAGTATATATATATATATATATATATATATATATATATATATATATATATATATATATATATATATATATATATATATATATATATATATATATAATACATAATTTACATGTAATAATCAGGATAAACTTGTTAATCTTATCAAAGTAATATTTTTTATTTAATTATTCTTAATTATTTATTATATAATAGAATTAGTCAAATCACTTTTATAAATTTTTAAACAACGAACTATAAAATGTAATTAAAACTCTGGACATACTTTAGTTTCTGTTATCCTTTTGTAGTTTTGAAGAGAGTCCCAAGCGGCGATCTTTCTATCTTTCTCACCTCCCGATATTAATGTGCCTTCAGAGAGCATTACCAGTGAACTGATTCCTTTTATGTGTGCCTGAAATATAATAAATTGCACAATATTATTTTGTAACATAACATACATGGTAATAACTATATTTTTATAATAAAAATAAGATTCTAAGCATACAGATTTTAATGATATTGCATTCTTATATTTTAACAACCTATTTTAAATATTACACTGTTTTGTCACTTTCGTTTAAATTAGGAATTAGATGTAAAAGAAACAGGCAAAACAGTTCAATAGCTAAAATAGGTTTATGGGAGGTTTAGCGTTTTTAAGAATAAGGGAGTAAGATCCTACTGCTGAATTCTGCATTTCTGCACTGGATATTGTAAAGAATGATTAAGAGAAACAAAACAAAGAAGTCCAGAAGAGTTCAAAATAAGACTGTATGGTAAGCAGCTATAGGGTTTTATTTGGCTTACAGAAAGAGACCAGTGCCGAACAATGGCACGTTAATGGGCTAACACATAAAGAAGTTAAGTCACATTTACGTCTAATCAAATTGCTTAATTTACATGAAACAAATACGATACGAACCTCAAATTCCATTCGTACAAAGTAAGCACCATCACTATCTACGCTGTAAATAGTTATGAACCCGTCACTATCAGCTGTTACAACGTCGCCATCTTGTTCAAATTGTAGCGCTGTTACGTGTGTGCGGGATGGCTAAAAATTAAAAATATTAGTTGAACCTTTGCAATCTAATTATTTAAATATGTGTTAAAAATAATATAACTCACATCTTTTTATAATTTTTTTTCAATAAGTTGACAGATTATACACCCAAAAAGATGCATATTTGTAATAACTTACAGGTTTGATGATGTCTGTTCTTTCAAAGAATCCGTCTTTTCTGCGATTCCAAAAAGTAAGGTGACCTTTGCCATGTGTGATTAATAAATTGTCATCTAATGGGTGGAAAGCAGCTCCGGTTAATTCTTCTTGTAGAGTCTGAAATACGAAGATTTATAAGAATGAAAGTTTTTCTACATAAACTTAAAAATAGAGATACTAGACGATAACTCATGTACAAAGTTTTTATCTGATTAGTCTAATGATTGTATAGTTCGTGTATTGTTATCCAATAGCGTGAATATTAAATAATTGATTCTGCAATTTTAGAAGTAATGTAAGGCGTAGATAAAAAATAATTATGTAGCCACAAATGTAGTTTGTAGCGTCGTAGCGGCGGCGTAGCGCAGATCGTAGAACCTGCGTAGCGAGTACACTGAAATTCTGCACTGCAGTTGCAGTTCTTTTTAACCGATTTCAAAAAAGGAGGTTTTTATATTCCATTGTATTTTTTTTACTAATTACAGGAAGAGTGCATCAATTATATTTGTTTGTATTAAACGTTAATGAATTATTTCTAGAAGATTAGAATATTATTTAAGTTATTTAAACATTCATGTAACCGCATGGGTTTTCTGACAAGTTGGAAAATTAATTTTGAGATTTCGACTATGTTCTTTATTCATACCTAACCTACTCTACATAAATTACTTATATATACATATATAATGTATATAAAAGCGCAAAAAATGTATATTTTCTAAATATTCTACGGTCACATTTATTCATTAACCTTTTAAAAAAATATAGGCATTATAAATACATTAAAAATTACTTAACTTGTGAACCTAAAATAATAATAAAAACTCTTTATAAAGTTTTGTAATATACTTAAGAATTATGTCAGGGCAGAACCACTAGTAACAGCTGGGGGGAGGTAATAGATGATTGAAACCATGAATGTCAGGTTGGCCTCTACGCGGTCCCCCGGAATTGATCGTGGTCAATTCGTGATGAATTCGTTACAATGATTCCAAAGATCTGCTTTCAAAAAAGAAACGTGCAAAGCGTGTGTGAACAAAATGGCAATTGGAGATTGACGGTTAATATGGAAGGTTGTGGAACATCTGGTAGTAATATTGGTGGGCAATCCTGAGAGGCAGCAGTTACACATATAGTAATAGCAGTGGAATTAAACAAAATATTTTTAATTAAATAACCAGATATCTGCTTTCATTCTCATCTATGATTACTAACTACTACCCGCAAGCGTATATCGACAGTGATGGCGAACCATTTTATTATCGCCCATTAAAAAGGAACTAACAATAGCTAGTATAGTTATATTTACACTATTTTTAAAGATTAATAATTTAATTATAATAAGGGCTGGAAATATTCGTGTTTGCTATCAAGTGACGCGAATAATAAAACGTAGCAATACACGGCGAACAAGAGGAGAAGGAGGTAGCGACACGATACGCGACCTCGGGCGACGTGTCGCGTGACCGATAACACCAATTCTCGACAAATATAAAGATTAATTTCAAAATGCCAAGAAACTTTTGTAAACTGCTGCATTTAGATTAGTGTAATATTTGCAACACCTATTCTACATGAGAAATATTAATTTAGCGTTTCTTATTTAGTTAAAGAGGTATGTTTTTATAATAATCTGTAGAAAGTATAGGGATCAAACTGCATTTGAATTATAATTCTGATTTATTTATAATTTTACAGATATAGACAGCACAATGTATAACGCTTTAGATTTGAAGGGCGGAAATCCGGTGACAGTGTTGCCATATTTACAGTGATGTTTCCCTATAGACATATTCTGTTAAAATTGTTTATTTGTTAATTATATATTTAGATGAACTACAAGTTTTGGATCTTAACAGAAAGTATTTAGTAATTTATTTGAAAGTATTTAAGTAATTGTCATGGATGGTAATAGATCATTGGGAAAAGAGCATTTTTTAAGGCCAATAACACACGTGAAATTCCTCCGGTGTTGCGGGTCTTCATGGGCGGCAGTAGTCATTTATCATGCCCGTTTACCCCCCATGTTATAAAAAAAGGAACGGTAACCCTGGCGGGGTACCATTGAAAGGTGGTAGGTAACAATGAAATCAGGTCAGTTGGTTCAACATGACAAATTTATTAGGAATTAACTATGATAGTTTCCAGGGCCGGACTGCGTCGTGGTAGACTCGACAGTATACATTCAAATTAAAAATATTTATTTATTCTCCACAATGCTGTAGGTATGAACAAACTATTTACTTAAGAATTCATTGCCAGCAGTCTGGCTGCTAGAATCCATTACTAACAATATATAATAAAGTAAGCAAACAAATTGTATTATAATTTCCTTGTTGGTGTGGTATAAAACACTATATAACCTAATAAACTCTATGCAATGCGTGTAGCACTCAGGCAGAAGTACAATTTATTCCCAATTCGTGTGATTTCACTGTTTTCTTGGCTAGATTGAGCGTACTAAGTATAATTGTATGATATTAAAACAACTATTATACAATAATAATATGTTAATAATAAAAAAATCTTTGAAATTGGTGTTGAATAAAAAATAAATTACGTTTAAACATACACTACTGGTAAACGGGGTGCCACGCAACGATAAAAATATATTATTAACACAACTATCATAAGATCTAAGTGCTGATTTACACGATCAAATATAATCCTTATACCAATTTGTTAAAGATTGTTTTTTAACAATTGCCTTCTCGTGATACAGCTTTTTGTTCCGCGCAGCAAGGGGCGTGCCTATTGATGGAGGACTGGGTGTGTTGAGGTCGGACCGTTGAACTCGTAACCAATACCATTTTGTTGTATTTATTGTTTATTAACACTTTGCTGGCCGGTGACGAGTTAACCCGTCTTTTCATATCCAAACTTTGTTTACTGGTGACGAGTAAACTTGTCATTACTTGATGTAGGTAGGTACGTCCTCCTACCACGACAGCCAAGACAATTTGGATTACAAAGCGTTCATGACCAAAAAATGCTTTTTTTTGTATTTAGGTTTTTATCACAATTTTAGTTTAAATCCAAAGATTTCATCCATAACGGAATTTCCGGTTAGCCAAAAGAAAACAAACACACTAAACAACACTTAAAATGTAACACTTTAAATGTCATTTTTTTATTGGTAAGTTTCAACAACACACTGAAAAAATATATAGCAAAATTTTGCTTACTATTTACCAAAAAAAAAGGGGATGGATTCCAATGAACTAAGAGTTTATTATATGTATTGAATACTAGGTTTCGTACGAAAATTTGATTTATTTTTTATTAACTCTCTAATTCAGGTTAGGTTTTTTTTCAGTGTATACATAGAACGAATCAGTCTATAAACAGCGATTTACTAACATTAGATTTCTTAAAATTCCTACATTAAATAAAAGATTATAAGTATTTTATAATAAATAAATGACTATGGATAATTCTGTAATTATTATAGTCAATATGAAAATAAATTATGCAAATATAAATGCAATGTAATAAAAAAATCATATTATTTTTTAATCCTGCGATCCAATTCAGTAACAATTTAGACGTGAGCTGTTAGAAAGCCAGGTCAATAACACACATAATAAGTTTCTGTAGTTTTACCATATTTGTATGTTTCTTTTTTTTAAATTTTAAATGATAATTTGGCATTTGCATATCTTGTTGTCATAATACACTAAATAATGTTCCTGCAACCTTGTGAATGTAGACAGGGCTATATATATAAGTACATTTAATATTTAATCAACTACACAGTTTGAAGTGGAGATAACGAAAATAAAAGTAGAATAAATAATGTACTTTATTATAGAATATGTAATATGTAAATTGACCTCAATGGTGCAGCAGTTTAATATACTGCCTTACATTCATTACCATGATTGCGGGTTCGATCACAGTACATTAAAAATATTTTGTATTTTTATATATGTATGACTATTTGTATTGTTCTAACTAAGTTATACGTAATAAACAAATGTACGTACAAAAGAAATACAGTGTTTAAGTATGAATAGTACCTATAAAACAAGTTTTGCTTAGTTTGGTACCAGATGTGGATGTGGGATATAGTAAGAAATTTGAGGGCTGTGTATTTGACAATAGACAGGTGCAATTATAATTTTTATTTAAAGAATTCAGTTTTGGTACAAATCTAAGAATTCCTTCTATATAATTCCTTGTTCTTAGGGACATATAGAGAAGGTAAAGAATAGTAACATATAAAGATATAAGATAATAACGACGGACTTAAATCTGTGTGGAGTTAAGTCCGTCATTTACACTATCTAGGTGTATAAAAGTTTATTAAATAAATAAAATAAACAGTATAGGAATAATAATGAATGTACTAGAACTCACCGCAACTTTGCCCAGCAGATGCCCCCATTGCCACTGCCACACAGAGAGTATGCTTTCTCTGCCGGCGTCCACAGCTAATACGTAACTACCGCCATTCTGTGCAAAAAAGTATTGTCGTCAGATGTTTTATCGCGGATTTTCCACTGCATAAAAAATTCTGTACATGCGATGCGGAACATTCACCATTTAAGCAATGGGTATAAATTAAAATGCTTACGACTATAATCCCTAAAGGAGCACTCAGAGACATTTATCGATTGTTTTTTTCATTGTGGAGTGTTTTTGACATGCCCGCAACTCATCAACTATGTCAGTATTCTTATGTCACTCGGATTAATTTGATTTGTAGAAACAAAGTTATTAATATTTTCCATTACCAGAGAGTTATTCAAAATTAAAAATTGATATACAAAGTTTTTATTGTCGGTCAAATTCAAGTTTTTATTATTAAGTATTCTTTTCGAGTAAGTAAACTACTAAGTGAACCACAATCCGCCATCTTGAGACGCCGACGGCCATTTTGAAAATGTAACAATTATGAACACTTGATTATTGTATTATCAAAACTAAAGGGGCAGGTAAAATTTCAGTTCAATCGGGTAACAAGATGTAGTTCTAATTTAGCTTACAAGATTTGATCTAAATAAATAAACCAATTATTTTATTATACCATTTCATTGTAAGTTAATAAAAGCTTGTAATAATGAATGTACCAGTTGTGAGAACGCAACCGCCGCAACGCCGGCCTCGAATTCGGCCATGCCGAACACGTGCAGTGTCTGCAGCGTGTCCGTGCTCCAGATTCGGACATGGGCCTGGGCACGGCGCCCGCGCCCTGCCCGCTGCCCGCTCGCTACCAGTTCGCGGGACGGGTGCAGTTCCATACTGCATGTGGAATACATATACATACATACGTGTTCGAAAAGTGAAAGAACTCGATATTCGATTCTAAACATAATAGTGGGATACATTTTGTACATATACCCATTATCTATTAGATAAACATAATATTTTTTAAATTTGCAGTCCTGCAAAAGGAATTCAAGGCAAAATTGCATCTTAGACAAGTAAAATAGTGATGTTTATATTCTTGTTTCTTTTTCTCATGCGAGTGTTATTCGATACATATCTAGGTATCCATAAATAACGTTGTGATTACTTGATTTGTGGGTATTTAAATATTTCCTCAATAACAATTGCGCGCCAAAACGAAATGTCATTCTATAGTGACAAAAAACTTTATATTCCAAATTTAAACTTTTTTAAAATAAAAATATGTACGCAAATTTGTATTGTTCATAAACATATTGTCGAGTATTAAAAATGAATTTGAGATTAGAGAAATAAATATAGATTATTAATAATCTCCTATCCGATAAACAAACATATAAGATTACCACTGTATATCCTCGGTGTGTCCAGTGTAGTGTCTCTGCGATTCTTCGTCCCTGTCGTACATAACCGCAACAGCTGCGACGTAATATAGCAATTCGCCGGTCGGCAGTACCCACAAGTTGCGACGGCTGTCCGCGCCACGGTATCCATATCTATAAAAATTGTCAACCATAGTCATGGTTCTATACATAATCTATGACTAAAATTACTTTAACGAAATTGAAAGTATTGTTTCAGATTCTAAATTTAAAATTAAAGAGTAATTTCAAAATCGCTAAAACCAACACATATTTTGCTAATTTTCAGATGTGTTTCCAAAAATAAAAGTATTGGTAAAATTATTTATTTATAATTCGTCATTTACATCTTCTAAGTGTATTAAAATTTAATATATAAACGTCAATATTATACTTACACCCAGTCAAGTTGCATTTTCTTCTCCGGTGGTGAGTTGTCGATAGGTGCGTGGTGGATAGGTGGATAGAAGGTGCGTCGGAGGCCACGGATTGTGACACGGATGGGCTCCTCCTTCAGCACTTCCAGTAGGGTATAGTCTGTTGAAGATACTATTACATAAACAGTAACTAATTGCATATGACATAAAATTATTGTAACTATAATTGTAAGAAAGATTTTTAAATACAGGTTGTTATTATTATTAATTGATTACGACAAAGATAATTAATTGGAACGATATATTTAAAAAGTATATTTAAGATTCATGTGGTTTAAAATACAAGTAGATTTTACTCTACAAACAAAAAAAAAAAAACACTAACTTCAATCGTAGCAAAACTGACTAATTATTTGGACTTAAAAAGCAAACTGAACCAATAATAACATAATATGGCCGATATTTATCTTGTGCGATAGTGGATTGAACCTGCGATCCACAACATTGCACGATGTATACATATAGGTTCAATTTGCGTTTATGAATAAGCGAGTATATATCTGGGTGCTTTCAGTGAGGATATTGGGTTCGTGGGTAAAATAATATATAAATAGGTACCTGAATTACGAACAATTTCCCCTTCAGGTGCATAAAGTACTCTGGGTCGACTTTTGCTACGGGCGCGTCTACCGCGCATGTCCTCCGACGCCGGGGCAGCTGCTACGTTCGCTCTAGATCGGGATCTACGGATAAATGTCTCAAATAATACTATATTACACATAATTAAATTGCAAATATGGCATATGGCTGGAGAGTAGGCTGGACAGACGATGAGTTTAAGTATAGTATTATCTCTACAGTCTTCCTAAATCGCGGGGGAAAATAGTAAAGTAATACGGCATCGGGGCCGCATTACTAACAAAGGTTAGTGTTCTGTCTGCACATAGATGTAATATATAATAGGTTACGATGTTATAATAAGCTAAACTGTGATTGCCAATCCGCCTTTTTTATGCAATTTAAAATGCCTATGTACTTTGTAAATTCACTGTCAAGGGTGGGATATCATCCTTCAAAACCGACACACAGTCATGCAAAAACACCTGCACCTCTGTCCCATTCGTATTTCTACCGTGAAGGTAGAAATACGAATGGGACAGAGGTGCCTAAGCGAACGACTTTTGTACAAAGTCTCCCTCTAATGATTTGATTGCCACACGTGGGCAATTGGAAAACCATGGAGTATTTTTTTTTTGTTTTAAATCATTGTTACCTTCTGATCGGCGATTCGATTGGCAGTATTGGGGCACTGACTCCAGGGGTGAGTGCTGGAGCCACTATCACGGATCCCAAATAAAATGTCTCCACATCGGCGAATTCATTCCTTAATTGCGAGAAACTCCTCACCTGTTAAAGTAATAATTAATTATTTCAATTATTATGATTTACTTTTCAACCAACTTAAAAAAGGAGGTTCTCAATTTTATTGTATTGTTTTATATTTGTTATAATTATCATGTAACAAATAAAAAAAAAATCATTAACAAATTTAAAAAAAATTAAAAAAAAAACATTCGAAGAACCTCCTTATTTAAATTAGTGGAAAATTCAAATAAATTATAATCTATAAGGTATAAAAGTAAACACTTACCTCTTGTCCTGTTATCGTGTACATTCTTTTTGCGCCACTCATTTTCAATACTTGTCCTAAATCTTCCAATACTTCTTCGAAGGGTTGTGTTGTGCGTAGATTCAACAGTACACGGCACTGCAATATACTTATGTACAATATTTTGGAAACTAAACTAATTACATATTCTCTTTCTCACAACAATAGTTTTGGAACGAGAATGGTAATAATGCTCCGATATATCTACAAGCATATATGTATATCTAGTATATACAAGATATTCTTCGAGTTTTTTCCTCCTCAAAGTTCTTCGAGGCTATGATATTATGTAGCCAAAGAGTCATTGATATTTATGAAAAAAAAAATTACCATAAAGTGAGATCTGAAATCTGTGTATAAAAAACAGATCCGAACTTATGACTTTTGATTCTGATAACTCGGTGTTGAATATAACTAAGTTATACCATTCTAAAAGATAAAAATATAGAAACTACACTTTTATTAATATTTTCTACGAAAAGAAATGTTTTTTTATATCGCAAACATAGAAATTTAGGTGAATTGAAAATCTCCTCCCTTAGAAAATGATATAAATATGTTAATAGATAGCTTTTATGTTTTATGAGCTAATATTTGCATGACCTCAACAAATTTCTGTGTGAGTTACTTTGGCAATCGAAAGTCGGCGTCGATGTTTATTCCAAGGCCCTTGCATTGAAAGACCTATTAGGTACAATGAACAGTTTTACCTAGATTACTACTATTTTCGTTGTGGCGTTTAGGTAAACTTTTAAGAATTAATTAAGTATAATTTCTAAATTCCAAATTGTTTTAAATAACTAATGGGCAATGACGGTTTACGGGTTTCTCATTATGTTCATCCAGGTTCATCCATATATCATTCAGAGGTAATTGACATGTCTATAAAATCTATAAAGATTAAAATTTTAAAATTTCTATTGTTTTATAAAAAAAAATTAAGACTCCAATAATTACTTACTAGAAACAAAATACTTATTTTTACAGATTAATAAAGTTATAAAAAAGAAATAGGTTGTCAATTTTGAAATAGATTAATTTAAAAAAATAAAATTGCTGTTCGAATTTCAAATTACATGTTCTTGATTCGTCTCAAATCAGTTGCACCTTACTTGGGTCATGTTAGGTCACGGCTGAGTGTAGCGTTTTCAATATGTATATCTAGCAGTTAAATGGGAGGGGTTTCTACCCCATATCATTTCGTAATCATAGTGCGGCAATGAATTCGCATTTATGGATATTATAACCTAGAATTATGATAAGAGAATACATTTTATGTGAATTGATTGCTGAAAAAGTAAGGCCAAAAATTACACTATACTATTATGATTCTATACAACCCAGTTACATTCACAACTGAGGGGACATAGTTACTTACCATAAATATTTTTATAGGTATATAGGTATTGTACAAAGTGTACAATTTTTTTTTATTTATGTTAAACACATACATTTTTACAATATAGCCTATTTTCTATCGTGTTATGCTTATGCGTACTTTTACTGTTCAGTAATTATTTAATAAATAATAACTTTATGCGAGATCTTTTACAATTTTTGCAACTAGCAATATAATTAAAAAAAAATAATGGATTATTCATCGGAACGGAAAAAAATGGCGGAAACTTAGTTAAAATTGAAGAGTTGTAGTTTGAGTATACATAAATACGCGATAAGACAACGCGTAATTGTTACTTATATTGTGGTGTGTTTTGAAATTTACGTGTAAATAATTATAATTTTCGACTTACAAGCCTCTTTTATACATGATGCTGGCAGAAATAGTCGTAAAAATGGCCGCGAATTACCATTGAGGAAGACAGGAAGAAGAATAATCATCTGTCTAGATACTAGTGAGGATATATAACTACAACAGAGATGTTCGTGTATGTTATATATATATATATGTTGTATATAGCAGACAGTCTAGATATTTTTGTCACGAGAGGTCGCCACTGACCGATTAGTATTAGTAATACCAATAGAAATATAGAGATTTATAACAGTAACCTGTATAGAGTGGTCCATGTTGTTGATAATCCTGATGACACGTCCGCTGGCGGGTTTGCCACCACCCGGTGGTGGCGCATCAGACTCGGCCACCGACTGCTTCCGAGTACCAGCCCGGGACCATCCCCCGCCTGTTCCACTCACTACTCCCGATGTTCCTCCGTACCACATGCCGTTTTTCTTTCCGTAACTCGCAGCCTAGTGGAAGTAATATTTGTTGATTAGATGTATATTGTGTTTAAACGCTATTTTTTTTTTAATAAAAGAATGAAGGAATAAATAATGTTAATTTTTTCACGATTTTAAATGATGAAATCATGACTTATCTGGGTCTTAGAGATATGGTCTCAGCATCATCATTTATATCAACGTAGATAAATCATCATTATCATTTCAACCATTATCTGTCCACTGCTGGGCATAGGCGACATATATAGATAAATATTCTTTATTAATTAATCTAAAAGTGTTCATCAAAATACTTACCTAAAACAAAAATTACAAGAAATAGAAAACAAAAAACAAAACACTTTCAAACAACCTCAGGATGAAGAGAATTTTATTAGTTAAAATATATAATTAAGCCACGTATTCACTGAAATGTTTGTTAGGATACAGTTTCGGAAACATCACGTAAATGTTTCTAAAAACAATGTTTCAGAAATAATGCCGTCTACATGAATAATAGTTCGGAATATCTCACCCGAGGAAGTATGCTGTTGTACACTACATACATTTACCACTTTTTTAAAAAACTTAGAATGGCAAACAAGCTGACGACCCACCTGATGGAAAATGGTAACCGTCGTCTATAAAAATGAACAAAATCATAGATATAACAGAGTATACTGTTTCGCCCATGATATGCCCCATGTGTTGTCATTCCTGATACCTTGTAAATACACTGCTATATGCTACTCTTCTAACCAAACATGCAATACAGCCATGCAAACACGACTGCTTTACGGTAGAAACATGAATGGGACAGAGGTACCCAAGCAAACGACGTTTTTACAAAGCCTCTGGTAACAAAATACTTAGTCTAAATGATCCATACCCACACTACACCACCGTTAATTGATTATTAACTAGTGTAACGTGCGTCTACAATCGCATGCAATTGTTACGAAGGCAAGCTGTTTCTCTTGATTTCTATTGCCAATAAGGGCCACAGAAACACCGTAACAAATTAAGCTGTAACAAAAACATGTTAACTTGTTTCAAAAACACGTCGTTTCTGTAACAGTGTTTTTAAACAATTGAGTCTCAGTGAATACATATGTCCAATATATTTATTTTCGAATTTACTTGTATCTTAACACATTAAAGACGGGAGTACTACGATTTATCTCGACTGCAGCTTAAAGGCTCCCGCCTTTGACTGTAGTTTAAAGGTGGGAGTCGTAGTACTACGATTTATCTCGACTGTAGTTTAAAGGCGGGAGTCGTAGTACTACGATTTATCTCGACTGTAGTTTAAAGGCGGGAGTCGTAGTACTACGATTTATCTCGACGGTAGTTTAAAGGTGGGAGTCGTAGTACTACGATTTATCTCGACTGTAGTTTAAAGGCGGGAGTCGTAGTACTACGATTTATCTCGACTGTAGCTTAAAGATGGGAGTCGTAGTACTACGATTTATCTCGACTGTAGCTTAAAGGTGGGAGTCGTAGTACTACGATTTATCTCGACTGTAGCATAAAGGCGGGAGTCGTAGTACTACGATTTATCTCGACTGTAGCTTAAAGGTGGGAGTCGTAGTACTACGATTTATCTCGACTGTAGCATAAAGGCGGGAGTCGTAGTACTACGATTTATTCGATTGTAATTTAAAGGCGGAAGTCGTAGTAATACGAATTATCTCGACTACAGGTTAACCAGCTGACTGTGATTGACGAGTATACTCGTCATGGAGAAGTGGCAAAATCGCCGCGTTACCTAGCATACTTTCGTCAAGATCCCCCACCTGTAATGTGTTAATATTATTGTGTTAATATTGTTTGCGTTATAAAAAAAGTGACAACACAGTAAAGACCCAAAACTAAATTAAACTATAATCACTGAAATAATAAACTATATATATATATATATATATATATATATATATATATATATATATATATATATATATATAATTATATAATATAATTTATAATTATATAGCTAGTATAATTTATCATTTAACATAGCTAAATCTATGTTAGTTCTAGGTAAACCTTGATATATATTTTATAGTGAAGGCGTTTAAATAGGCTGAAATATGTGCCAGATACAATAGAACACATATAGGCGTGCAATGTGGTGCCCCTGACACAAATTCGCTAGTTTGATGAATGTGCATATAAAATTTACAAAGCTTCGATTTGCAGTCAATTCAAATTTATTTAATTTAATTCTAAAAATGCTGCATTTATTTCCAAACTTCCTAATTAAATAATTTCTGTATATTTAAAGGAAAAAATAATAATATCTAGAAGCAACATCTACGCGCTTTCGGTTCTTTCAACATAATTTTAGTGTATCATCTCAAATAGGCTCAATTTGTAATGACTTTAATTTAAAATCTCGTTATGGAAAAGACAAAAAAAAAATTACATTATTTCTCGAAATGTAGTAGTTTTCAATTTCACTCTATTTTTTTACTAACCTCAAATAATAATAAATCTTATATATTTCGGTATATTGAATGTTTATACTCCATAATCAATACTTACATTAAAAATATCTATTATAAATATCTATACATTTCATTTCATTTCCTTTTGTTTAACCAGAGGTGTGATAAGAACATACATATTTCTCACTTATTTACAAATTACAATGTATTTTTAATATTTTATGTAACCATTTATTTCTAAAACTATACAAAAAAATTGTGCATGTAAACAGGTATTTAAGTTAATTGCAATTGAAAAAAACAACGGTCACAGTTTTACTTCTTACTATGTCATATGTAAATTGCTGAACACATTCCCTTTGAATTCGCGCCGTGTGTCGACCACGTTAAGTAGTGAGTTTTTAGTTCTACTCGGAATTTTATAGGTTTACGAGGGGAAATTAGTTGGGTTCCGTACAGTAAAGATCGTAAAGAATTCTAGCAAATGCACCGTTTAACCCAGTCTAGCTATCATGATGAAAGTTGATTTATTATTATTTCGAAGTCTTTTTTTTCTTTTTAAAATATATTTTATTTTATAGAATTATTTAAAAATATTTAATGACTTTTGCTGGTACTTAGTATATAACCAACATCTTCATCATTTTGAATAAAACCTGGTTTTATCAAATTTATGCAACCAGTTCTTTAAATTTGAAAAATTTTCACTATAAATTACCAATCGATATCGATAATTTCAATCGAAGCATATTATAAATAGTCGACCAACACTAAGGATTTTATTAAAGTGAAGTGCCAGTTCTTCAATCACGTAGTGATTACTTACTAATTAATAATACTTTTATATTACAATTTGTTATTATTATTTTCATAAAATTTTCAAACTGTTTTAGAGATACTCATTCAGTACACACTTTCAATAACTCACCATTACAGTAACTCTCAAATCTTCAGCACTTTTATTAATGTATCTAATACTTATTCGCGGTATTTTGGCAATATTGTCGAGTGAACAGGCGCCTCGTTTGGCGACTACTAGACCACTGCTCGTGTAAACAAAGCAAAGTCCAAATTATTCCAAAGTCCTTGGCCGGTGGTACTGACCGTCTGCCAAGGACACCTCTTATCGCCTCAAGACTGTGCGTGCAATTACTATGCCCCACCCAAACTAATAGACCTTCGTATCCCTCGCTGACGGTAACTTTTGCGTTAACGTTAAGTTTTCTATAAGGGCCTGGTTACAATGGCTGAACATACGTTTATCCACGTGCGGCCGAGCGAATGTACGCCGCTTCGCTAGCGAGGTCAAGTCTCAAATTGCTGCATAGCAAGTTGTACTGCGGTGTTTTTGAAATTAATATGTCTGAAAATGTTGGTCATTTTGTCGTTTAGTTACTATCAAATTGTTGCCGTAACACAGTAATAGGAAATTTGCTTAATTTTTGTACAGCGAAAGCCGGTAAATTTTATTCGTAATAAAATATTTTAAGCAACTTGAAATTGTACAAGAGTTCCGATTTTTTTTTACCTGTAAGTTTAATTTACCCAATATATTATATAATAATAAATAAATAAGATAGCAATTTTTTTTATTTGACATTTAAACAAAAAAAAAATCACATTTATAATTGATAGAACCTGAACAAACATAGGTATTTAATGTTAATTATAAGCATTCTTTTGGAAAATAAATGAATGCCATATTTTTTAAATATAATTTAAGATTGTTTGCCTCAAAAAAAAAAAACTAACTTCAATCATCATATAATCAGTTATTTTGATTTAAAACTAAACTAATAAACCGATTGTGATAAAATTTTTATTAGACCAATCTGAATGTATATATTTTTTCATATAAAAAAATTATATTCCAAATGGGGTTATAATAGATGAAATTTAGAACTAACAAACAAAAAAAACACCATCGAGATGAAAATTCTTCTCTTTTTTTAAAGTTGGTTGAAAATGAAGTTCGAAATGATAAAAATGACAATAAATACATTGAAGTTTGTTATACTCATAGAAAAAAAAGAAGATATTAATCCTGAACTAAATTTGAGGGTAACATAAAAATTTTATCGTTTTTTTTTTATAAACAAACAAACGTATGGTGACTTTTTAACAAATACCATATTAGCATACCGTATGAAAGACAAATTTACATATTACAATTTAACACAACTTCCCATTAATATATAACTAGTCTATCTGTACGCAACATTTCGATATTAGGTCAGCACACGCGAAACATATGAATATTCACTAGTAAAAACATCAAGTTACATAATTGAATGTAAACACTTAGCCCATTAGATTATACTTACTTTAAATTTGTATTCGTAAGTCATTAATCGCGAGGTCAGATATACTGTATTAATTGTATTTTTTTAGGTCATTTCATGTAATTTAGTACAAAGCAATTAGTTCCTTACGACAAATTATTTTTGTATTGTAACGGCCGTTAACTGTTTACTGCTGAACATATAACCCACGGGGGGTTTACTAGTAGTTTCACCAGAGGGAGACTTTGTACAAAAGTCGATTGCTTGGGTACCTCTGTCCCATTCGTGTTTCAACCGTGAA